CCCTTCTTCGTCTCAACAGCTGCGAAATCACTAATACGATAGCTCATTATTTTCCCGTGAAGCCTCAGCAAATAGTGGCCTGTTAATTTACCTGTCGTTATACTAATGGAGAACCGGTCGGAAAGGAAAAAATCTATTTCTTTTTTCGCTTCCAATTTTGACCATAGCTGCCGGGTAAGGTTGCACGTGATCTCATTCAGCCATCTAGTATTCTCTTTTTTGTCAAAGGTAAGTTTTAGTATGTACTTTGCCGAGGACAAAGGTAAACCTGCATCGTGTGCATAATTTATTGTGGATAGAAGGGTTCCTGATCTCGCAAGTCCTTCTGCCGTACAATTACCTGCGATGTTCCTGTGTCCGGGCTCCTAGACCACGGGTGCGTTGCATATAATTGAGAGTTTATTCAGGTTGATCCTAAGGATGATTAAATTTTAAATATTTATGAGCAGCCTTTTATTTCGTCTCAGAAATAAACTCGGAGAACTTGGCATTCTCTGCGTTTCTGCTGACATGTAGCCCTAATTACTGCAAAAAGTCATTCAAAATCATTTTCAAACGATATCGCTAAAATAAAGCTAAATTCTTTGCCATAACATTAGATTATATGCGGTATATTTCGTTTTTTTAACCATACACTTTACCCTCCTTTACAACTACTTTCGCTGTAGTATTTGTACACATGGCAGCTTTACTGTTCTGTTATTTAGGCTTCTGATTTGAAGACGGTGCATCGAAGAGTGCAAACGCATGCTAAAATGATGAATGTATTAAATAACAAAATGAAAATTCTCAACAGAATATTCATTAACAACAACAGTTACCTGAAATTGTAGGTGAGCCAACAAATAATCTTTTGGACGGCGGCAACATTGTAAAACACCATAATTTACATTTTCTCAGCGACAGTTCAAACCGCCCACAAAGCCCACACACAACTTTTCAGAAGAGAAAACGGGCTTTAAGTTATGAGCATCTGCCGAAACTGCCACTTCATCAGCATACGAGTATATGTACACTCATATAATACATACATATGTACGAGTATGTTTTTGTAAATACTATATATTAATATCACATATCACTTTCTGGCGTCAATAGCCACCCACAGTAAAGTTAGCGCTCCATAGTGGAAGTGTTCACCTATCAATTTTGTGCGCTCATAAATTAATTATATTTCAAACAATTCCATTAACACCACAAACTGCAGCTACCATGAAAGCCCTGTAGAAAGATTGCAGATGATATCAGAATAAATCACCCAACCCGCAAGTAAATTTTAAACGAATGAATTGGAGCTTCTTTAGGTCATTATTGAATCGAATTGAATAATTTTTACTCTTAAATCGAAGAAAAAGAATATAGGCTCAAGGTAACGCAGCATGAACTCCAGGATTATGTGAACATAGTTTGAAGGACAGGTCTTTTGCAAAAGCTTACTGGACACAATGGAACAGCTTGAAACTAGTATTCGGATGTTTACGAAGATAGTCAATACTCACGCACGAAATCTGGATGTGGCCCACTTGGAGAGACTCGTAGAATCCGGAAAAAGTGTGTCTAATTAGAATAATCATACGTGAACCCAGGCCAGTGTGTCGAAAATGCCAAATACGGGTGTCAAATAAAGGGAGAGACCGGTAAACATATGTATAATTAAAACGCGTCAATCTTATACTCTCTTTGCAGATTGGGCCCACCATCTTCCCCTTCCTCTTCGTCCACCGGCGGCTACTTAATCGAATACTTTCAATGCTGGAGCGTTTTCTCCCATACGGACAAAAAAATCCGCCCAGCGTATCCGTTGTCTCTTTATTCGCTAAACAATGCCAATGCACCGTATATCTCGTACAGCTCATCGTTCCATTGTTGTTAGTATTAACGCTGGTACCAAGATTGAAGAAATTATCTCCGACTTCAAAGTTATGACTGTCAAGAGTAACGTGGGAAGCTAACTGAGATTGCGATACCAGTTTGTTGGATTACAGCTGATATTTAGTCTTGTCCGTATTCATTCCAGTCTGGAGAAATTTGAGCTCCCGGCGAATTGTCAATATTATCAGCGTAGGCCAGCATCAGCGATAAATTAAAGTAGTAAAATATCTAATATTTAAAGGCTTAAGGCCTGGATTAAATACTAATCATTGTGCTCCCAAGACGCTTTATAAATTTATCCCGGTTAGCTGTTTATAACCCCGGGGCTTAGCTTCCGTTTGTGATCGCTCATACGACATGTATGTACACACACACAAACACACAAACACATACACAACAAATAAAGTTATTTTTCTTATTATTTATCTGGCATATGTATGTATGTATGTATATATGTATGTGTGTGTGTTACCATTTCCTGTTGCTCACAGAGGAATCTATAAATTTTCCACCAACAAATGCAAATTTTTTCCTAGCAAATTGAATGCATGGAAAATAAATACGTCATTCGCTAATTCAATAGTAAAATAACGAGGCTAATTATAAAAGTGCGAAAATGTAATTCAAAATCCAAAACAGAAAAGGGGAGAACGAAACCCAAAAACTAAACGAAAAACCGCCGACAAATGCGCACATGATATGTATTTATTACGTAGATATATATGTAAAGGGTGCTTTTTTAGACATATGATTTTTAAGAAGAAATGAAACGCATATAATATAATGTTATATAGTGCCCCACAGCGTCTTTCTGAAATAATTCAGAAAATATGCCAGACTTTTTTAATTTCGTTTGATTGGAACCTTTTCATAAAGAAATCAAAACGTGAAACAGTGATATCTTCGGCCACCCCGTAGTCCTTATACCTTTCATGCACTAAGCATAATTTCTTTTCAATGATTCTCAGGCTCAGTATTCATCTGGATTTATTTACAGATTGTTATGTTTTGACAGATTTTATATCCAAATCTTAACAAATCGGTTGTATGGAAGCTTTGATACAGCATCCCTTGATGATGTTGAGGATTATTTTCAGTACCAATTTGAATACGCTCTTAGATGCTTTTTGACGGACTTAGTTCCAAAAGTATCAGGTCTGTCCGGTTTCGACAAATAAACGTTTAAATATACCAGTGCATCTGTGTACCAAGTGTGGTTGAAGTATCTCAAAAATTGAGCGACTAGTTTGCGCACAAACAAACAGATAAATTGGCTTGGTTACATCAACTCAAGTCGTCATTCTGACCCGATCAGTATAAATTTGGTGAGTATATCTCTTCCCTGCAAGAAGGAGAGCATATTCGGGCCTATAACTTGTATTATGTCTAAAATGGAATTTAAATTTACTTTCTTATTTTTTTCAATTGGCAAAGGCACCGCTCAAGCGATTTTCGAAGATCGGCGCTATAGTAAAGTCAGTCTTTCTCCAGCTGATCTTTTCAAATGGACGCAGTTCTTCTTCCTCCTCTGGTTCTAATAATTTCAAAGCTAGAGTGACTTCGACCAACCGGATGACATGAAGTAATCAGCGTACCCCCTGTCTCTTAAGGGGGGAACCTGGCTTAGTACGCTGAAAGTTGCATTATATTCGGCACAGTATTTTAGGTTGCCTTACGTATGAAATGTTTCAAGTACTTTTGAAATAGGGCATAGAGACACAAATCTTGCAAAAAAAATTTACTTTCACGTTATTTGATATTGTTAAGCAATAAGCAATGCGACAATTACACCTTTTTTAATCGTGTGCACAAACAGAAAAACACTGTTTTGAGAAAATCGCGTTCAAAGTTCTCGCGCCCGCTTATCAGTCTCCTGAGCGCATTGTCCCCCAGAGGCCATTTCTGCGGAACGATTAGGAATTTGGCTCTGAAATTTTGTGGAAATATTTCTGAATATATTTCTAATCGAATGAGATAAGTTTCAAAAAATCGATTTTTTTGACCCTCTAAATCAGGTTTTCTCCTAATAAGTTTCTGTATAATGAACTATTTGGTGTAAGGTAAGTCGCACTCATAACATTGTAAGAGTTTGTTGATGGTGAGCTTTAGTCTTTCACACAACACGCTCGATAGGACTTTTTTATATGCTTTCATCCGATCATTTTGCCGTGCGCCTTTGGAACGCTCTCCTTCATTAGATCAAACCCACCCAAAATATTTCGAGCAATAAAAATTAACTCTGACATTATTTTTTCTGATATGAGATTATTATGTACATATGTATGTATGCACATGTCTTCTCAATATTATTTTATTCCCTTTTTACTACGACTCAGCTTCAAAACCATCTATTTTCCTATCTAAATTTAAACTATTTTGTTATTATAATATCATTTTTTTATTATTCTTTTCCCCACATACTGGCTGCGAAGGGCTACCCTGTTGGAAACGCCACCAAAAGAAGTTTTTAGTTTTACTCAAATTGGATTTTTGAACAGAAGCAATCGCTATTCTATTCGTCTCGTGCCTTGAAAATCTTGGTTGATGTCTTTAAAAAAGTAAGTAATTGAGGTGATACCATGGCCAAGTAAAGCAAGGAAGAAAGGAAGGAAGTGAGCACGTGCTTGTGTATTACAGCGACCATATTGTTACGATTTTACTAAATCAACCTCGATTATTTTCTAGATCCTTCGGGTACGATCTCTGGATTGTTAAATAAAAACTCGCCAATTCAATTTGCAGTTTCTTTCGTTATAAAGATTTTATCTAATGTCTTTTATTTACTCCGTAATTCACAATACAATTACAATACACTCTACTATTTACAATCACTATCATCAACTTGCACAATTCACTCTACTTAAATGTACTCTCCAACGTGTTTACTTTACGACTTTACTGATGTTAACGCCAACGAGTTTACTTTATCACTAACTTGACTTGCAGCTGAGTGTCGCCTTTATATAGCAGTCGGCTGCTCGCAGACGAAAGCGTGGAAGCATCGAATTGTTCGCTATGGAAGGTTCTTGTTTTATCGTTTCTAGAACGTACTAGTTATCGGCTTCTCTCTTTCATCTGACATTCGCCTCGCATTTTCGCAACAATATAATTTGTGTTTTAGTGCAACTATTCAAGAGTCCCGTTCTTAAATGTGTCGAGGAGCTCCGTCTGTGAGGACGAAACCTGTAATATAAGTTCTTCCTATCACTATTGAAAGTGGGAATGCTGCATTATAGCCGTTTTAAAACAAACAAATATTTGGATGATTGTGAATATTTGCGAACGAGAAGAAGTTGTTAAACTGAAATGACATTTAGATTACTAAAAATATAGAAACCAAATTGTGTTGCGGAATATTCAACACTTATTATTTGCAAAGTTTTCCAATATATATAGGTACATAATATGCAATAATCGAAGTGGAGCATATAATGGAAGCTACAGGCGATCAATTAATTTTGGCCACAGGAGGCTATGACCATATTATAAAGCTGTGGCAGGCACACACCGGCAATTGTGTACGAACAATACGTTTTGTGGAAACATCAGTAAGTTCAAGACTATTATGTATGTGATAGCCTCCTTAATCTGAATGTTTATGTTTTGACTGAATTGAATGAAATTTTTTTGTTGCAGCAAGTAAACGCACTTGATCGTACACCCGATAAAACACGCTTGGCCGCCTGTGGCTATCAGTGCATACGTTTGTATGACATAGAGTCCAGCTGTGCTGCTCCAATTATAAACTTTGAAGGTGTACAAAAAAACGTGACGCGCTTAGGTTTTCAGGAAGATGGTAACTGGATGTATACTGCTGGCGAGGATCACCGTGTACGCATTTGGGATATGTTGTCACCACAACCACATTGTTCTCGTGTATTCGACTGTCAGGCGCCTGTTAACGCTGCTTGCCTACATCCAAATCAAGTGGAAATCGCTATGGGTTCTCAAAATGGGGGTGTTTATTTGTGGGATGTGAAATCGGAAGTTCATGATCAGCTCATACCTGAAGTTGATGCGTCCATACAGGATGTTGCAATCTCACCTGATGGCCAATATATGGCAGCAGTTAATAATAAAGGCAATTGCTATATTTGGTCACTTAGTTCGTCACCAAACCAACAGTTGAGCACCCTTAGTCCCAAACTGAAAATAGCTGCACATAAGCGTTATGTATTGCGTTGTAAGTTTAGCCCCGACTCACGACTACTTATAACTACCTCAGGTGATGGCACCGCTCGTATCTGGGAGACTGAGCATTTCACAATGTGGCGCGAACTATGCGTTGAAAACTATTGGGTGTGGGATGCGGCATTTAGTGCCGATTCCAAATATGTGTTCACTGCTTCATCGGACGGAATAGCACGTCTTTGGAAGCTGCAAACAAAGAACGCCGAACGTAAGTACACAGGTCACACCAAAGCCATTACAGCGCTCTCATTTAAAGATGAAATCGTTACCGAATAACATGAAGCATCAGGGTGTGAAACGGGCGGCGCGTTGTGGTATACTTCACAAATATCGGTTAATCGCCGCAGAGAAAAAAGAAGAAAAAAGAATGGTGGAATTTGTTGCTTATTCAGTACATATGTAAAAGGCATCTGAGAATCGAGAAGAAACACATGTGAATTTTTTGAAAACCATATTTGTAATTTCAGCAGCAACATTTTGCTCACAGGTTTATTGTTTATACTACTCCAGATCTGTTTAAATCGATGCTGCGAAAAATAAATAATTTGCATCTTGGTTATTAAGATTTAATGCAAATGCAAATTACAATGCGCAAATTTTAAAAACCTACTGCTAGTGAATTCTAGTCCCTGAAATTCAAAAAATATTGATTTTTAAATAAAAGGGAAATAATATATAGGCAGATTAGGTTTGATATGCCAATGAATGATATTTGTAGTAAAGCATTGCTAATAAATATACAAGAAACCGATTTTCAAAACCAACGGATTGAAATATTTATTTGCACTAAATAAGGTATAAAATGCACAGTTATATTACATTTTCGTTAACGGTTTAACGGTTAACCACAAATGATTAAAAATTAATGCATTTCACTTGTCTAAACTATGTATCTTTTATGTATATTTAGCAGTTATAATTTCCTATTTTATTCATGAAGCATAAACAAAATATGAATCGAACGTATACAAATTTAAGTTATAAAATAAAAATATTTATATAGTGCGCAGGCAAAAGTAAAATGTTTAATACCATTTTACAGTTTTAAAATAAATTTGTTTTAATCAATCTGAAGAACAAAAATTGAGCAATTGAAAAATACCTCCTAAATACAGTAAGACAATTCGCTTAAAATTTAATTTTAATATTTCAGTATATTTATTCAACATATGGAATGTCCTTAGCTACGTTCGATTCTTTTATGGGATCAGGGTCATCGCCGAGATTATAGCCCAAGAAGCAAGTAATGTCAGTCGGTCTGCCAGTGGGGTTAAGCAAAAGCATCACTTGATTGATAGGAATTGCCGGCCTAAAAGGTTTATGAGGTGCCATAGATGCTGCTGTTGGAGACAATAATCGTACTTTGCAAGGCTAAAAGCATTAAAAATGAAAAAACATGTAAATAGTAATAGTTTTTCACTTGTATGTGTGTTACTCACTTTGTGAACGCTTGCATCAAATCTAAAATTATGCACTGGTAATTTACTTTTGTTATGTACAGATATCACAATCACCGAAACCTCTTTTCTAGGACGATCTTTTGTGAAGCTCAACATTACTTTGATGTCATCATCATCCCACAGAACGCGTTCTCCTTCTTCAGGGTCTACTTTATCCAAATCAACCTCAATTTCAGCTAAAGAAGTAGTTTGTGGAGTTTCCGATTTAGGCTCTGAAATTTTTTTGATGTGAATTTCGGGAACCTCTGAAATAATTGCCTCTATACCCGTATTTTCATCATTTTTAATCGGCAGTATTAAATCATCTTCTTCTTTATCAGATACTTTTTTGAGAATATTATCATCATCCATTTGCTGATTACAAAATTTTTCACTAATTTTATCACTGGGTTGAGTTTTTGATTGCGTGCAAGAAATAATGTTATCTTTAATTTTTTCTTCGGCCAAATCGTTTAAAGTATGTTTCTCTGGGCCCCTGCGAAAAGCGATAATAAAATTGGTGTAAATTTAAATATAAGTATATCCATATAAAAAAAAAATAGGAACGCACTTTTTAAAACTGTAGACTCGTTCCAAATCCCTGAGGGATTCTTGAAAAAGATCTTCGCTTAATTTGTCGATCGTAGGCATTTTTCGAAAAGTATATTTATCCGCTACCATATCAGCTTCTTTTGGTGTTATGGATCCATCCGCTTTTGTACCAGACAATGGAGTGGGTAATGTGCTAATAGGCTCTAAAATACTATTGCTAAATATTTCATTTGCCCTTTTAACATTTTCCGACATATTTATATTTTTAGTTGCTTCAGCGAATATTTCATGCAAATCATCAAGTGGATTTGTAGAACTAGATATCTCTCTTGTAGCAACAGAATTCCTAGTTGCCCCCAAAATATCCGCATCAACTATTGATGAAGATGTAGTATCTGTAGCAGGCGACACTACTCCAATTCTTGTTTCGCTGCCAAGTAAATCGGATAGAAGATCGATATTGGTGCTACCTACATTTTCCTCTTCATTCCTTTGGGATTTATTAATATTACTTTGATCAAAGCCGATTTCGCGTGTAGTTTTCTTTGTTGGGGTTCCCACTAAACACTTGTAACGTTTAATAACATTTTGCAAGGCTTCATTATTTTCCACTGCTTCAACTAATAAGGATATGAAAATCATGTAAGTGTTCTAAAATATGAAAATATATATACCTATTAAAGACTCGTCTATGTTTTCCATCAGCTCAGGCAATCGTTCCATAATTGGTTTATGCTTTTTACAAGCTTGATACAGTTCCCGTATTACATTCATGCTTTCGCTCTCTTCATCGTTTTTATTTCCTTCTGTTTCGTATATATTGAGCATTTCATCCAATAAACAGACTGTATTAGAAACTTCTTGCAAAATGTTTTTGTGCTGTATAATTAAATCTCGCCGACGGGCTTCCTGTTGTAAGTGATAACAGAAGTTTTAAAGTAGTTAGTTGGGTATTTGTGAATCATTTTTTTTAACATACTTACTTGTTTTACTCGATTTTGTATTAACAGATTTGCACGTTTATAATTTTCAGGATCTTTGCTATTAATTAGCTTAGCTAACATTTCTTCATCAATACCCAGTACACTCTCCCGCTTAGACTCTACAGACGGTGCAACAACATGTTCAACTCCACCTTCTTTGCAAAGCATTTCATATACTTCTCGTATTTTTACTTTTTGAGGGTGTTCTGTTGTCCACAACAAAAGGCACTCCATAATACGTTTTTTTATAGGTGCCGGTGTTTGAGCACCTTGGTACTTCTTCGATACCAGCCGAATTAATTGGTTAAGAAAACGAAATTTGGAGGCTTCATCTTGAAATTCTGTGCCACACTTGTTCATACATTCTTCCAACAACTAAAAAGAGATATAAAATTAATAGAAATACCTCGGGGTCCTGGTATACATAACAACGCACAGTTATTGCTCTCGTGGATTCGGTGACATTGTTGGATCTCACTTTCAACATAATCATTTCCTGTGATCTATCAACTAGTTGCGGATTGCTTCGCACAACCATACAAAACATCTGCGAACTTAGCTCGTCTACACTTTCTCGAATAGGATTTGTCGCTCGATCTTTACAACAAAGAATAGGCAAAACTGTAGTAATTGAAAGTATTCATTGCAAATAAGCTTTATAACTCTTACCTAACATTTCCTCCATAATACTTTCGTTTGTAGTCATTTTTCTTTATAAATAGCTACTCTAAAATTTTTAAAATAAATTGTATCTTTTTTGCAGTCTCCTTTGTTTATGCCGAATTCTCAGCGTAAAAAATTTGACATTTTGTTATCGTGAACGACTACTAAAAAGTTTCCACTTTCACTGAACATACTTATTACATATATCAACATTTTTATTCAATCGATACAAAAGAAAATCTCAAAATATTACTAAACTCTGAGCGTCTCTTATCAAAAGATTTATTTACCTTTAAAATATATCAGTTTTAAGTTAGAGCTCAAAGTACGTGAAATATTTGATATTTCGAAAGCTATTTAATTTCTTTAGATGAAATCCAATTCTACTTGGTGAAAGTTAAGAAGACTAAATAAAATTGCTTTCGGGTTTACATATATCTCCGCAATCCTCCTATGGGTGCATTTACCAGTCGTCAGAATGGCGCAGTTGAGGAGGCAGATCAGCGTAATTCAACTCATGCCTACAAATATCCACCGCGTTCAGGTAACTTCTTCGGCACCCACTTTATTATGGGCGGAGAGCGCTTCGATACACCCCAGCCCGAGTCCTATTTGTTTGGTGAAAATGCTGACCTGAATTTTCTTGGTAGTCGGCCTACAGCATTTCCTTACCCTCCCCCACAAGCAAGTGAGCCAACAAAAACATTGAAAAGTCTGGTAAACATACGAAAAGAATCTGTGCGTTTTCTACGAGTTTCGTCTGAAAAGCAAGAAATAGTGACTGCTAATACTACAAATCTTGATGGCATCGATGGTAATGTACTTACCAGTGAAATAGGTGGTAGCGGAGATGGTGCTTTGCAATATGGTTCATTTTCATATAATATCGAATTCACATTCGACTCCGATGCAAAGTGCGCTATCACTATATATTATTTCTGCACTGAGGAAGTTAGTCCAAGTGGAGTAACACTTGTACCACGAGATGGGTTAACTTCCGAAACTTATCACTATGGCAAAGGCATAAATCAATTTTTCTCGCAGTCAAGCCATGTGTTTAATCCGCAATTAATTCCTGAAGATGATTTGGTCTACAACCCGACAAAAGAACAGTATCCGGTCGCTATACATTGTGTAGTCGAAGAAGGCAACGAAGATTGTCGACAATCGCATACAACTATTTGTGTTATTGATCATCATCCAGAAACCAATAGCTACGTTTTGCGGGCCCTGAAACAGAAAATATTTGTTGATGGTCTGTGTTATCTGTTGCAAGAAATATATGGCATCGAAAATAAAGTAATATTTTAATAAATCTTATATTGTTTTAGACTATTTATATTAATTTTTTATTTTCGATGTAGGCTGTGAACAAGAGCTCCATCGATGAGGATATTGATGATCACGGCAGCGAATGTGTTATTTGTATGAGTTTAATAAGTTAATACTTGTATGGAAATGTGTTATTTGTATGAGTGAAACTAGAGACACTCTTATATTACCTTGTCGACATCTGTGCCTATGCAACTCATGTGCAGATTCTCTGCGTTATCAGGCAAATAATTGTCCCATTTGCCGAGCACCTTTCCGTGCACTTCTCCAAATACGCGCTGTCCAAAAAGGAGTCAGTTCTCATGCTTTACTCCAAAACACGCCTACGTCGGCTCCAGGAGAAACAGCACCTTGTGATCAACATATACCACCAGGTTATATACCAGTATCACTCATAGAAGCACTCAATGGACCGCCACAATTTGTTTGTAGACCTCGAACGAATGATGGTGACATGATTGACGGTGTACCTCATACCGCTGTATCCGTCGCAGATAATCATAAAGCAACATCTCCATTAAAACCAAACCAACGTCGAACTAAGATAAAAAAAAATGCCTCGACTTCAACAAATACCAGTGAAATAGGAACAATCACAGCGACTAGCAATGCTAATAATCAAGCGCTCTCTGTAGTGGAAATAACAAACGAAATTAAGGTAAACACTTCAGCTGGCGAAGGATTAGGTTCTACAGCGACACAAAAGAAATCTCTTGCTACGGAGAAAACAGAAACACCCCATAATAATGCCAACCATACGCAAGATAAATTGCCAATTGAAAGCGAACGTTCTAGTTTAAAGATGCCAAAAATCAAACGCACTTCCAATACAAATAGTGCAAACTCATCATCATCACAAAATGATCTGGACGACGACGATAGTGAAAATGAAAAATTATCACCCCTTCTGTCCCCTGGTACTAAGCCGATAAAAGCAACAAATGCTGCGCGGAGTAAAGAAGCAGTTGTTGTTACCAATGACAGTGATAACGATGTAGTTGATAGCTTAGAGATGAAAGCTGTAGTTTCAATGAAAAAGAGCACATCCGGCAGTAATGCCGAGTCTGTAGCTGGTGGCAATGCAGACGACTCAGATTATTACACACCAGAAGACACGCAGAACTCGATATTGAGTCCATTATGTCCCGATCGAGAAAGAGAACGCTCAAAGAGCGGCGACAAGTTAGGTAGTTTGAAAAGTAACGTTGGCAGTTTTAAAGGCGCCAATAACTTAGCTAAAAAGAATCTTCATAAGAAATCTACGTCGGTGGGAAATATAATTGGGCCGGGAAGTAGTGCATCAGTAAACTGTGGAATAGCTGGCAACATAGTTGGTGATATTAAAACGAACGTGAGCTCTCTGCCAGGTACATTCTGATGTGACCATACATTCAAATGTATTTACATATTATATTAATTCTAAAAAAAATTAATTATTTTCTCTTAATAGACATGTTAGATAACCCAATAAACGGCAATACGGCATCTACCCGCAGTTCTAGTGACAGCTATTCATCTAGTTCGTCCACCAAACAGCTACTAAGTTCCAATCCGGCTAATGTGACAGCTAATATCATAGTTGATGACAAGGTTGCTCTTCAAAATGCAGTAAATGTTTAAGGATAATACGTACGAGTGCATACGCTGTGGTGGTACAAACATGTTTGCAAAAAATCGTGAAGGGTAAACGTTGGGAAAAAATTTGCTTTGAAATCATTTAATGCTGCAGTTAGATTTTCGATATACGAGGTGTGTTCACAAAAAAAGGTGAATTGTTTTTTTCCAAAAGTACTTATTTATTCATCAAAATCTATTTTGTCACTTTCAAATTTATCCCCATTGGATATGATGCACTTGTGCGAACGCTTTTTCCAATCTTCGAAGCACTTCTGAAATGCGCTTTTCTGTATGGCCTCTTTCTTCGTTTCTGACTTGAAATCATCAATTGTCTCAAAAGTCTCATTTCATTGGTTTCTCAGTTTTAAGAATAGTAAAAAGTCGCACGGTGGTTGAGGCATGATTACGATTTTGTTTTTGGCCAAAAATTCACAGATAAGCATTGATGTGTGAGCTGGTGCATTACCGTGATGCAGAACCCAAAATTAGTTTTTCCACTATTCCGAACCGTGTTGCTTCACTCAAACGTTGTATATCTTCTTTGTAGTATTCATTATTAACTGTACCACCTGAAGCACCACACCATTGTAATCAAAGAAAACAGTGACCAAAATCTGCGCATTTGATTGACACTATGGTGTGCCTTTTTCGGTATGGGCTCATCTGCCAGCTTAAATTGGACTGATTCGGGTTTGGTTTCGACGATCAAGGGAGCCGGAAAGGGAATACGCAAACAAATCAGATGTCAAATATCTGATATGGACCAGAAGACGATAAATTCCTTTGCAAACAATAAACACTTCAGCAGTATCACTTCGCTGATAATTTGAGAATTGCTAATCATCGAAATTGGCTCCTAATGCAAGCACATGATATACATACATATGTGTCCCATTATAACAAAAACAAAATATCGATATTTGAATGTCACAGTCCGCTAAAAATCAGAATTTATCTTTTCTTTTGAACTCACCTCGTATGACGCAATATTTATTATGCTCGTAAATAGATGTTTTAAGTTATTTTACGAATCACTATAAAATTCGCAAAAACTTATTCTTTTTGAATTAAAAATTGCATCCGAAGAAAAGTTCAAATTTATTTCAGCATTAAAGTAATTTCTCGGCGTTTCATACTATTAATCAACAATCAATAAATATATTATGAAATTACATTATAAATAGTATAATAATGATAAACTAAAAATATAAATATAGAAAATGTATTCTGGAGATGGGGATTTGAAAAAAGTTTATATTTTCGTTTGGGGAAAGCTGGAATATGAATTGGTGTTTGGTTCGCCGTAGGTTAAAAATGTTTCAATTGTTTAATTGAATAAATTTAACTGCAGTTTACTAGTTGTTTGATTTTATTACGAAATTCAAAATTTTATATCCTTGTAAAAATCACACTCTAAAGCAGAATTGTTAATTCCAACGGATTTGCAATATAATTTGCCAACCCAGCACATCCATTTTTTTATAACTCAATTACAATTTCAAAAATTATTTTTAATCACGGTCATCCGTTTATTCCTGGCTGCTCGCATTTCCACTCTCTGGCGCCACATCATTATTAGAGTTCGTCGTTGAACTGCCGGTTTCATTCACTTCTCGATTCCTGTCGCTGTCACTACTTGGATTTCCGGTTTGGTTGGATGGATTGTTAATCTCTTCGGGATTCAGTATACGTTCGCGGTTACGTAGTGAGTGAATGCAAGCCAGTAATCGAATCATAAATGCCGCTGGAACTGTGATTGTGTCTTTAGTTTGCTCTAACATGATTGCATTTCGTTTCATTAACTAAATGGCAAAGTGAAAACCAAAAAAGACTTTTGAGTATTTCAAATTTTCGTATATATGCGTATACATATGTATGTGTGTGTACTCACATCTTGAGCCTCTGGTTCGTCAAAACTAGCGTGTTCTAATATGGGTGCCCATATCTTTACATCATAATCTATGCCCGAACTGGCTAGGTAGGGCAATTCAGGATGCGGTTGTAAGCAATTTACCACATGCTGATCACCCTGCAGTAACATAACCAGCTTTCCGTTGCGTCGATCCCAAATAAAGATATGCCCACAGTCTGAACCAGACATTACATAGTTGTTGCCCCAGAAATTTGCTTCCTTGATCATAGTGCGTGCATTTCTATGACCAACAAACTTCATGCGCAGGTAATCGAAGATCATTTCCTTTGTTTGCATATCAAGCTCCGCAAGTTCGTCGTTTAGAGTGTCCGCCTCATCGTCTCGAAATTGTATGCTTGGGTGCGCGTCAATGCCGCTGCTGTTGTTAGATGTGTCGACATTAAGCGCCTCTGACTGCTCTGTTGATGCAATAGTGACATCTTCTTCTGGCGGTCTACTAGCGTTATTGACAACATCTGGTGTAGGAATCGTTTGAGCCGAAGAGTCATCTGATTGTGGACTGGTTAATGCAATTGAGCGTGTTCTATGTAAGCGACTTGCAACCCTACGCCAATGTGCTGATGTTGAAGGTGCTGAATATATGTAAGAATGGGAAAACAAATTTTTTAACTAAAACATATTTTTATTTATTTAATTTGTCGTTACCTTCTGCCGTCTCTCTTGCTACTGCCGCTAAAAGCGTGGCTTGATTTTCACGATTTAACTCTTGTGCCTGGCCTGACAGCCCCATTCGTGTACGCGGATCGTTGAGCATTCGGGAGATTACCTCTGTCATGCGACTCATTATGTTCGCTTGTAATTGCGGACGCACTTGTCCGATTTCTACTCGACCACGCGGATAGTTTTCAGGGCGTGCGTCCGGTCCGGTATCAGACCAATCACCACGCAACCGTAATCTCCGTGTAACCTGTTCGGCTGTTAGCGCAGGCAAAGATGAGGAACTAGTTACATCTGCTGTGCGCCCTTTCTCATACAACTCATTAACGTCCGCACCTTCACGACGTAAATCAAACAGATACAAATATTCAGAAGAGTAGCTCACCAATAATTCAGACTCTTCTGGGCTATATCTAACACAAGTTATGCGATATTGTCGATTCGTTGTCATAGGAATCGGATAAGCTTTAATTGGTCGCGTGTGCCTTTCAGTGGTTGGTACAGAATTATCACTGAAATCAATAACTGATAAATAACGACGATCGTATATACGCACAATGGCATCGGAACTACCCACTGCCACGTAGTAGTTGCTGATGGGCGAAAGATCCATGGCATTCACCGCAGAAGGACTAAATATAAGTATGTTATCTTTACAGCAAGTCTTATGGCAACTCGATATTTGTCTGAGGTCAAATAAACGCACTGTGCCATCCTCACCGCAGCTCATAAATGAACGTGGCTGAGACGGTATCGTCAGTACTTCGTACGTTGTACCACTTTTATGGCAATTGAAAAAACTCAATTTAGCCTCATTTTCATTATGTTCATATACAGGTTGAATGGGTATAGTAGAAGCAGCTGATCCTGTGCCGCCAGAGCCATTATCATTATTAATAAAAATATCAGTCCGTTGTCGACACACATATGGGGCCAACAATTCTGTATGCAGTACAATACCATCGCCAGAACACGAAACTATTGAGTGACCGTTCGACTGTGGCATGAACCGCGCGCTGAAGATGTTCGCTCTATGTGCGGTTTTATATTTTAACAACACCTCTTGGCTATGTGGATTCGTTATAGCAACACATTGGTCATCACTACCCGACAACAAATACTCTCCCGAGCTGTTCCAACAAACGGTATTCACACAACCTGAATGTACATGCAGCCGACTCATCAAACCTAAACGCTGCACATAATCCAAGGAGTCTGCAATGTTGGATTTTTAATTAGTATTACACCCACCCACTCATATGTATATGATCAACATTTATTTCACCTTTAGTGCTCGCAATGTAGCTATTTGTGGCAGCTCGTGTTGAGTGCATACTTTGATTGTATACACTTCTAAAGACACTGTCCTTGCACAATCTTTTTTCGTTAGACATTCTGATAAGAATGGCTTTTCTTCTGAACAAGATTTAAAAAATTGTGAGGCACGTTTTAAGAGCAAGTGGCGAGTCTCGCTGAATCTTCTGAAAAATAAATGGAATTTATTTTAAGAGATTTACGTAACTATCATATATTCAGTACATATAAATGAGTTTGTAAGGAAGAAGTTGTTCTTATCTTTAAATTTGCATATATATGAATATAGTCGGTAAGAAATTTCCTATATACATATATACCTACTTACTTATGAGCATACATGTAAAATATTGTATTAAATAATCGAGTCCTGCAAAATAAAAATATATATGTATATATGTATGTACATATATTAACATCCAACTACGAACGTATTTCACGCTCACAGCGTATAACACTATAAAATATACAACTTTAATATTTTGATTTCAATCATTTTGGAGATTTCACGTTTATTTGGAAATATAATTTACAAAATACCAGACTTAGAGTATTAACTCTTCCATTATATTCTCCTTTATAAACAAAACAAAGTCCTTCCAAAGCATATACAGTATGTAAGTACGTAATTAAGTACATTAATATGCACATATGCAAGTAATAGCATATTTGGGGATGTGAAGAACTGAATTAATCAATAAGCACGTTTCCCATATTATTTGCGACTCGAGCCAAATAATGCACTTATGGAAAGCTGATAGTCTAACGAGAGTTAAATAAAAAATGCAGGGAAATGGAATTAAGCTTTTGACATAACCGATAAACAAGCCAGTTCCGTGCATCATTTCCTACGTCAAATTGTTTTTCGTTATGATGCTCATGTACAAACGTACATATATATGCTGCTCACCGGGAATCGGTATTATAGTCTTATCTAGTCCCCGAAATATTATAGATTATATAGGAAATTGATAAAAGCTAATAAATACATCCACATGCATATGTATTAATACACACATGTGCAAAATACATTTATGATTATACCACATAAATAAACTTCAAAATAGTAGTGGATTTACGTAGCTAGGTATATGTGTACTTTTGTATTTTCCCTTGTATACATAATCGGCGGAAGCTTACATTTTTCAGGCTCAAAAATTTATGACATTCACAGCTTACTGAAATATTTATACGTACATGTTTAATTAACACCTTAAGCTTTATTACTACTAAAAAAAATTTATTTTACGCTTTTAACTCTAGAATCTAACTTTGGTGTTGATTTTGGTTCATCAAAAATTATTTGTTGATTATAAAAAGATGCTCATAGAGATAATGCACTTTCGAAATACACACCTAAATAACATTATTCATATGCACTTTTTAGCTTTACCTATTAATTTCAAGGCTACGGGTACTAGAATTTACCTCAAAATTTCATAATTTTTTCAGTCATTCACAACAAAAAACATTTTCTCGTAATGTGCCTTGATAAATTATTTTTTTTTTTCGTATTTTTGTTTTCTACTGAAATTTTCTCAGACCCAGAAATTAGCTAAATGTTATTCACTTATGCTTTTTCGCCTTCCACATCAGTTTTTGCTGGTTCTAGACTAATTTATCCGTCCATCCTTCTTCGACTGCAAAAAATCTTATTTTCAGTTTTCTGTTTGTTTTACGGTTTTGTGATTTACAATTTTTGTTTACATTCGATTTTCCTTATTTATGTGCTATTTTTGTTTTGCTAACGTCGATTGCCCAATATTAGCTCTGTTCGGTTAGAAATGCCAGCAAAAATTTGCCAGTAACGAAATTAAAAGATTAAAATGTTTTACTCTCTCAAAGATATATAATATATTTACTGAGAATACACCGAACAATTTATTTCTGCTTTAAGTTTTTTCCAAAGTATTTTAATGAAATTGACAAATATATGGCATTTTAAAAATATTTATTGTATTGAAAATTTATGGTATTGAAAATTTATTGTATTTCAGCAATGATGGAATTCTTCATATTTTATAACCGTCAAACGAAAAAGATGCGAATACCTTTTTCTAATAGTTCTTTAAAAGGATGAAGATTCATATCAAACATGCTTTGCAACAATTTGCTGCTTAGATTTTCAGGAAAGATGAGGGAAATACGAAAATTACTTTGGAATTTATTTTTTGTGTAAGCATGCATTATTCACTCGTCATTTTTGTAAAGTTTCTTCGATTCTGATTAAATAAAATACAATCAATAGATTTATTTTCCTTTTAAACATTATGTACTGTTTTGAGAATGAATTGCAAATCAATTTGTGTTATATAAAAAATAATAATATATTATGATTTCATCGGGCTATGATTTCCTTCCACTGCCACCATATTTGCATTTACTATTGCCCATACTATTATTTGAGTCATTGTTACTAATTTTTACTGAACCGCATTCGCTATGGCTAAAGGACAGTAAAATTTGCACTGAACGTTCAGTTTGCACTGATTTTTCTCACGGAACAGAACTATTATTCTCATCATTCATTTTAAATCAATTTTGTTTCGTTGACGAAAATATAATCTTATGCTCACAAATCAGCTATTTCTCATACTTTCTAGTTTTTACTGTCGAATTACTAATTTTACTAGATTGCTGCCCCACTGAACCCGATTCAGTACAATTCATCAGGCTACCGAACAGAACTATTTGCGAATATGCGCAAGGAAGAGTAAGAAATAGGAAGACTGGCAACTCTAAGTAGTTCCAATACTTAAATACAAAAAAATTTAATAGATTTTCTATTTGATATTCTAAATTTACCAATTCTATGGGTACATTTATACCTTAGATTATTTTCCTTGGTATACACATATATGCATACTTCGAAATAATTTTATCGACGTCTCGCAATCACTCTAACATGAGTTGGAACTATGCAAACGGTTTATCTCCATATAATAATAAAGGGCTTTTAGGAATACCGGAGGTGAGGTTTAAATTGTTTGATTAAAAATTGCATGCAAATTTACCCATGTATGTACTTATTTTCCAAAAGAGATTTGATACTCCTGAAGAAGTAGAAAAAAAATGTGCTGAATTGGTGGATTGGTTGCTCGCGGCTCAGGGGGGTGTGGTGGTACATACGGGAGCTGGTATAAGCACAAGTGCAGGTATTCCCGATTTTCGGTAAGTGAATGAAAATTTTATAATACATATGTAGGTATATTATATAATTTATTCATAGCGGACCGAAAGGTGTATGGACGCTGGAAGAGAAGGGTGAAAACCCAGTAATAAATGTATCATTCAACGATGCCACACCCACGAAAACCCATATGGCGCTAAAAGCACTCACACAGCAAGGATTCATTCGTTATATTGTCAGTCAAAACATCGATGGGCTGCATTTGAAGTCAGGCTTGTCACGTCGTTTCTTAGCAGAGCTTCACGGCAATATGTTCGTGGAGCAGTGCAATAAATGTAGACGACAGTTTATACGGTTGAGTGCAGCGACGACTGTGGGTCAAAAGCCTTGTGGCGGTACATGTCGTTCCGGTGAAATTGGTGAAAGACGTTTCTGTCGCGGTGGTTTACTTTTAGACAATGTTCTTGATTGGGAAGCAGACCTTCCAGAACGCGATTTAGACATGGCATTAATGCATTCTACGTAAGTTACGTCTAGAAAAATTTCCCGCCCAAGCGAAGGTAAGAGTGTTTTGGCCTTTCATTTATAAAATACTTACCAATTTCAGACTAGCTGATGTAAATATAACTTTGGGCACTACTCTTCAAATCATCCCAAGCGGAAATTTACCGCTGAAAAACAAAAAACACGGAGGTAAAATCATTATTTGCAATCTGCAACCGACTAAGCACGTATGTATTTATTCTTTTCCTCCCCCCATGTTTTGGTTAAAATGTGTCTTGTATATTTTAAATTTAAGGACAAAAAGGCCGATTTAATAATATCTACCTATGTGGATGACATATTGGAGAAAGTTTGTAAACGTCTAGGTGTCGAAATACCCATGTATGATTCTTCCGAAGACCCGACCAGAATACAAAACGCACATAACTACGAATGGACTATTCCGGTGCAGGCGGTTAAGGAATTGGAAATGGAATTTAATGCCAAACTGAAAGAGTATAAAACTGAACGTAAAGCGCAGGCAGAAAGTCTCACAGAGGCGAGTAGTGTTATGATAAATAAAAAACGCAAAATTAATTAATGATAACGAGCCGACCCTACGTCATTCATTCCAACACAGCATTTAAGTATTGTCATTAAATAGTTTGCAGTTACTACATTCATACATACATTTCACTAATAAATTAGAAAAGTAATATCAATGGCGGCCGCCTTGCCTTGCCTACTTCCATTCGGAAGGCCCTGGTTTAATTCTGGTGTGGTACCAACGTCGAAAAAGAAAATTAGGTTAGATTTTCTAATTGCGGCCTCCCTTCGGCAGGGAATGTCAACCCCTCTGAGTGTATTTCTGACATGAAATCCTCATAGAAACCCATCAGCCGCTCGGAGACGCCTTAGTATAAACTGTAGGTTCCTCCATTAGTTCTGAAAACATCAAGACTCAAAACCACGAATTGTAGGAGCTCGGCCGAAAATCGATTGAACGGTTACAAAGCGCCAATTATAAATAATAATATCATATCAGCAGCTGTAGTATCTGCACAAGATATTTAAATGGTCATGTTTTGTTTTTTTTTTCAACCCACCTCAGTGATGTGCTTTCTACAATCATAATTCGATATACCATATTGCAGCACCAAAAAAGATGATACACATGTTATTTGAGCAAATATTTCGAGTATTTATTTTTTACTTTTTATATGGCATAGTAGGTTATGCCTTCACTTTTCATTCAGACATAAAGTACGCATTTATAGACCTTCTTGAAATATATTTTGTCATCATTTTAATTGTTCGCCTCATTTTGTGTACAAAAATTATAATACATATAAACATTAAATGTCATTTAAAAATAGTATTTTTATTATCATACATGTGTATGTAAGTTGGAAAACTCCCAATTGTAAAAGGTTTTGATTGCAATAAAAAAAAGTTATAAAAGATATCCTTGGGCAATTCTTATACTTAAGTAAGTAGTTGTAGTCTTCTTAGAGAAATTCTAACGTAAGTAAATAATTTTAACTTCTTTTTAACAATACTACCACAATACAATCATTAATCAAATATAATATTATATGATATCCAAAAGAAATCTATTGTTGATTGCTCTTGGTGTAGGTGATAAGGAAGCAGCTATTGGTCAGGCTGTGAGAAGTACGTGTTTAATGAGCAACACAGTTGAAAGTAAACAGTATTTAAAGTCAGTTAATATTATGATCTTTAAATTAACTAAAATTATTTTTTAATTAATTAATTATTAATAAAAATCATTGCACCGAATATGCTGACAAAATAGCTTAATTTTATAGTGATTATCATTTCACTCAATTGAGGATTTAAAGAGTGTCGACGATAACACTAATGGATTGATTAACTACTAGTTTTTAATAACGGCACTACAGAACGCGAATTATTCTACTTTATTAAATTATATTTTATGACAATGTACAATGAATGTATGATCGGGTATTTAACTTGTTGGCTCTTAAAATATCTTATGTAATTTTTTATTTATATACTATTGGTGTTTTGTTATTATTAATAAAATGATCTCCATCGATTTCTGAAGCCGAATAAACTTGCATTTCTTCTTATTTTGTTTGTAATCTAGTTGATCGAAAAAAAATTGTAAATACATTCAAACTATAACAATACCCAAGGTGGAGTCATGGCTTTCCTTGAAAGGATAAATATATGTATAAGCTGAAATTTAAAGATAGCGTCAGATTCTGAAATAAAATGCTTGGTTTTGGCTCCAAGAGACATGCGGACGTACTTGCGGAAAGTGCTTTCGACACGCGTGCAAAATGCGAAAATAGATAAATATTAATTCAACTGAACTTAATGCAGAATTCTTATTCCGCTGCTACTTTTTCTAAATTTATTCTTGCTTCACAATAGTTGTTACTCTCGTTATTTTACGTTTCTTTCAATTATACAAAGGTTAATATTTATAGTCAAACAACTTTGGGCAAGTCGGGGGTTGAAGTTTGCTAAATAGTGTTATATTATTCGATTATGTCTACAAAATGGAATTTTTACATTTATTATTCTCTTATATTTTTTTATTTTTATTTTTTGTTAGTATTGAATGTTTTTACACTGTTGATTATGAACGGTGTATTATTTTTCAGTTGGTGGAAGCTATTCAAATTCTCGTATAACTACAAATGTCTGTATGTAAATAAGAAATTGGTGAAATGCATTTTTTACATAGTTTTCTTTTCAAGCATATACATATGTATTTCTTTATTTATGTTTAAATGATTGCTTATCCAATAATTTACTTTAGATATTATTTATGAATATATGTATATAATATATTTTCCGTTTAGAACAGTAAAACGTTTTTATGGTGCTGCTTTTCCATTGTTATTCGATACCTAAAATTACATTTAAAAAGCAGATATTTTTATAAATAAAAACTACTTACATTTAAATATGTATGTATGTACAAAATAAAACCAACGGATATTTCAGCAAAAACTAAATTAATTATTTGGAAACGCTTTTAAATATCTAATATAAGAATTTAGCAATTTTTTCTTCGATTTTGTAATTGTTTTACTTGTTTATAGTAGTATTAATGTACAAAATACAACAAACAAGGCCGAGTCATTTCATTTTCTTTACACACGCAATCTCCATTAACTTAATATTTCTTATAAAAACTTAAGTGCATGTGCACATTTGTATTTGTGCACTGTTATTTTTATTTAGATAAAAAAAAAATGGTTAAATAAACTAAACACTGTTACAAATGGCAATATGCGCATAAACAACATAAATATAATATATCAGAGTTGTGGAAATTTATTAAATTTTAATAACGAGTTACTTTTAAAATTTTTAATGCAAATCCTCTTTATTCGCTCAATAGCATCATATTTTCCAAAAAACGATGCATTAAATTGCAAAAACTTGCTGAAAAGTTAATTCAATTTCCACCACTATGATATAAACCACCTCAATGTTGTTTAAATGTATTGCGCTCTCCTTCATAAAAGAAATATTGTTAAAAAAAAAAAATATTTTTTCAAGACGGAAATTAACACATAGGGTTGGTTGCTGCGGTGTTTTCCATCTTTTCCAATCTTCGAACTAAAAGTTTTAAAGAGTATTCTGTATGTATTGGTTACCAAAATGGTGAATTTTTACCGCTTTTAAACGGAAAAATGATAATGCAGTAGGACAATGCCATCACAAAAACAAAAACAAAAACAACTATTCTTATCTTTATCTTTCTCATTCTTAGGCACCGCAACAAAGCAACTAAATAAATAGTTCTAATGAAGTTTACTAAAGCACTAATGATTGAATCTATGACGACCACCACCATGAGGTCAATTCTTGGAAATACCCGTATTGGGCGGCGACGCTGTTATTGGCGTTGATACATTTGTTATCTTGATGTTATTACTGCTGCTACCGCTGTTAATATTCGCTAAATTGTTATATTTTGAAGCACCACCTGCTGTCTTCAACAGAATTATCTTCTGATTCAAATTACTCGTTGTACTGTGGTGATGTTGAAGATGCAGTTGTTGTTGATGGAGGTGTTGTTGTTGCTGTAGCAATGCACTATTATGATTGATCAAATGCGCCGAAGTGTGGTTTGCAACGGTATGTAGAATATTGCTTTGGTTATTGCCACCAGTGGTTATTAAATTCACTCCAACACCAGATGTAGTCAATTTTTTCGTTAGACTTAACGCCGCACCAGTTCCCCTTCCGTTCCCCAAATTATGATGGGTCGGTGCTGGTGTTATGGTTACTGTGCTAGGCGCAAGCGCGTTCATAGCAGCTGTTTGCGATGATGCAGCCAGCGAAGATGCCGGTACGATTGTCGTCACACCGTTTTCATGTTGAATTGTATTGTTATTGTAAATTGCACGAGATGACGATGATGATGATGACGTTGTCGGTGGTGTTGCCGTCTTATTCTGAGATCCCAAATTACTACTACTGCTACCAGCACTGTTGCCCACTGATATAGGATTGATAACTGGTGAAATTCTTAATGAAGCGGTTGCTACCGAACCAAGACGAGCCGCCTGTAAAAAAATAATATGAAATGAGATAACAACTTTAAAATTTTTCAAAATACAAGTTTATCATACACTAGTGTTCGCTTGTTGCTGGTAAAGTTGTTGCATTGTACCACTGTTGTTAGCTGGCATCACAGTCATTTGTTGTTTCCGATTTTGCAATGATTTAGGTGTAATATCGCTTTTTCCCAACATCATGTTCTGGGATTGTACAACTTTTGGATCACCACTTGACAGAAACATGGTGTGCACATTACTTATCACCGCCCGAGTAGCTAATTTTTTCTCAGTATCCTCCTGCTTGAGAAAGTAATACCCAAAATTTATTACTTCAAAATGATTTTGGGAAACAATTTACACCAGGATCGGCATTGTTATAAGTTAACTATCCTTAATGTAATGTAGAAAAAACACTTACCAAAGGACTTGCTGACTTCCTTTCTTGCAGATTTTCATCGAAGCCCGAATCTGATGAATTATCACTGAACTTTGGTGCCGCTGTTGCAGAGGACGATGATATAAGCGAAGAATTAGAACACGTCGAAGTCGGTGATGAGCCAGCTGAATAATATTGTGCAATTTGTTGACCGGGGTGATTAAGTCCACTCGTCGTCGGCTTGGTAAGAACATACGATTTTGGCACATTGCGCATAACAGGTTTAATCTCCTGTAAATCGGTAGCTTTGATACGCTCTATTGCCGCTGTCGTAACTATTCCAGCACTTGGCATGATACTAACTTTTTCTAAGGAGTTCTTTAAAATTTTTCCCGTTTTTATTTTATGCAAAACTCTATTGCCCCCAACGAATGCATTTCCAGCTGTTGCTGTTACCGTTACCGGTAAAGGCGGTGAAATAGTAGTAACTTTAGCAGTGGAATGTCGAGGCATTTGCGCAGCACTCACAGATGTGGCACTAGGAGAAGAAATGCTCGATATGGCAGATATGTTTGCAGTGTTGATTGATAGTGGTAGTGGCGTGGAAATAATGGTACTCGAAAAGCTTGCATTCGATTTGGCTGACATGTGCGATATTGAACTGCTGTATGTGGTGGTGTTATTCTTATTTAGAACCGGATTGGATGCTGGTGTTACTAGGGCTTCAGTCTTATTCGAAGTATTCATTATACTGTTGCTCATAGCGAGATCCGCTTGTGGAAAGCACTCAGACTGTCTTTTGAAGAACAAATGGTGTTTCTTCAATACTGGGGTTGTATTCGATTTCACAACGTTCACTGGATTGGCTAACGGTGGTGGACAAACAACAGCCACTGATGGCGCTGCTGATAATTGTACTACTGCTGGCAATGTTGCTATGATTGTCTTTTGAGGAATTGATTGTTGCTCTTCTTGTGGCACCGTTGGACTGTTTTCTTTCTGCAAGTTTTTGGCTCGTTTATGTTCTGAGCAAACTTGAAACTTTCCACTATCGAGTAATATTGTGTCAGCTAGTGATGGGCACACATACATTATGCCGCAACAGGTCTTACGTTCTTGCCACTCTGTTAAGTCAAAGAATTGCACTTTATCATTGTTCATTTTTAACGCGGCTCGATTCCGCATCGGTGGCATACATTTACGCCGTTTGCTACCAGTCTTCAAAGGACTCTTTCGAAATACAAGATGAGAAGAATTACCACTATCGGTCCCTTTGCGAGATGCGCGGTAGGCTGAAGCTCGTGTTTGTGTTTGAAATTGCACAGATGTGGAATTATTGTTAATATTCCGTTTGTCATTGCCTTCACCACTAGCATCTTCATAATCGCTTTCCATAGAATCATGTGTGGATGCCAGCATATTTTGTTCATCCCATGAAGCAGGGCTTCTTTTACAGACTCCACCACTCTTCTTTTCGACACCAGAACTGGTAATGATTTTGCTTTTCTTATTCTTTTTAAATATTTTGGAAAATTTTTCGGTTATAAGTGATTTAGAATTTTGTGTTCGTCGAACATTTGGGCCTGTTGTTGCTGAGCTACTTGACATATTTTCTGAATCATCTCGAATCTTCTTGTGTTTTGTAATGGACTTCGTACCTGGACCGGCGCGCGCGTCAACCACCTTGATAAGATAAAAGGATTATTTTGTTTGGTTAAGCAGAGTTAATATAAAACAAATATATATGTATTATATATATATACAGCCATGGTCTCGCACATAGCTCAAGGTGTATTATACGAGAAAATGCAACGAGAAAAAGACATATTTTCCTGGATAAAAAAAATGTATAATAGTTACTTATATTATCTAGTTATTCCGTTACCTAAGCAATTGTGTTTTTTGCGTCAATTTATCTGATCGAGCCATTACTTTGTGGTGATCACGCAAATAGCACAGTCGTCAGTTTCATCATTTTCATTCTTTTTTTTATTCATTTCTAGTGGAAGCTAAGTACCGTACAGTTGAATTCTATTAAAATTTACGCAGATTGAAATTAAATATTTCGCGGTGAACACTAAAGAAAGAAGCATTATTTATAACGTAGCAATCACAGGGAACTGTTTTAGAAATTGTAGTTTCATTGTAAAATGGTACATAATGTACTAAAACTGGTTCAAGAGAGTGAAGATTATCAATCTCAAAAAAAACCAAGCCACCAGCACCGCGCAAGACAACGATTTTTGAACACATACGTGTAGGCATAATACGAAAGAGCAAGCTAGATCCTTTTAAATCGTGTAGGCAAATAATGCATGAAATAAACGAAGAATTCGATTTGAATATATCAAACACACTGTCGGAACGCGTTTAAATGAGGCCCAGCTCTTTGGCCGTATGGAAAAAGCACAGCCCCCCGCACTAAGAGGTCACATATTCCTGGCATGGAGTAAGACCTCTTGTGTGAATATATGAAAAAAAAAATGGACAAATCTCAATATCTAGACATTTTAAAGAATGAAATGGAACCATGCGTATTTAACTCCATGCTAATAAATTGGACCTTTATGCAGGATAATCAGCCTCAGTATACCGCCAAGGTCACACAAGATTGGCTTAAGAAGGAAAATATTCTTGTTTTGGATTGCCGAGCGCAAAACCTAGACCTAAATCTAATCGAAAATTTATGGACCGACGTCAAAACAAAAATATCTGCAAAAACTTTCGAAATTTTTTTTTTTAGATTTTTGGGACGACGTCAAGGAGTGCTACTACATATAATACCAAAATAAAAATGTGATAAACTTGTTAAGAGCATGGGACGCAGATGTGACGCTTTTATTAACAATCGTGGATTTAGTACAAGATACTAATTGATCGGCCCACTTAAGACTAATAATAGTTTTTGATCTGGCACATTTGAAATTATAATTACAGGCTTTGCAATATGTGCTATTTGCGTGGCCAGAGCATTTTATTAGGAACTTCAAACATTGAATTATATTAAGTTTTTATTGAATTATTATTAAGCTAACTATTATAAAGGTTGTGTTAAATAATAAGCAAGTGAATACGTCATTACAATATTTTCATATTTTAAGCACAGATATCCGTTCGTTTTATTATTTAAGTCTCGAAGAAAACTTGTGCTATATGACCATGGCTGTATATATTTTTTAAAATTTTAATATTTTCTTACGATTATATTTTTTTTTGAACTTACATGTCCCCAATGTCGGGTACTACCAATAGGTAGTCGTTTGAAGCGTTTAACCAACAAAACACATGCGTTACAAATCTCTCCGTGACGAGGATATTTCAAGTCGAAACATTTCATAGAATCCTGTTCGTATTTGCGCGAATCTGTAAATCTCGAACTGCTCGACTTAGCGCGACAAATGCAACATCCGTCAGTGGAACGGTAAACTCGTGGTTTGTGAAATGAAAACATTTTTTTTCTGTGTTCTTTAGTGTCTCTCTTTATATTGCAGTCTCTTTTTCAATTCAAGTTTAAATCAATTCGGAATACGATATAATTTAGTAAGCTAGTTTTTTAATATCCTTATTTGTTTGGACTTACATTTTTCTAACCAAACCATTTGCTGAAACAAAAAAAAATAATAAGATAAATAAACCAGGTATATATATATATATATGTAAATATGATAATAATCGAGACTTGTTTTTGTTTGTGGATTATATGTTAAATGTAACTAATTTAGTATCTATAGCCAATAAGAATTTATGTTGTTTCTTTAAACATAAAAAAATAGTTTTTGAAAAAGTCTGAAAACAGGTTACTGATATGAAATGTCAAATTTACCGAAATTACCAGCAAAAAATTGCCCTCTCTATATGCATATCGAGAAATTGTTTTGATTTATTAACTGAACTTTTCTCATCTATGTGTATCCAAGAGCGCGGAAATTGCAGAAAAATCAGGAAAAAAAAAACAGGGCAATCAACAAACTCGTTTTCTCTCTCACATTTTCGTTTCTTTTTAAATTTATTTTCGGCTACCTTTTTTACTTCTTTTATTTCAACGGGTTGTTGCGCAGATGCTGACAATACTTGTCTCTTTCGCTCCTTGGCCATACACCGTGTTTTAGTTGGACACAAGAAATTTCAAATCCACCCATAGAAGTATCGGTCCTTTCGGACGCGATGTACCGTCAATATGATAACATGCCATTATATCTTCCTACGTTAATTATTATTACCCGTAAAATTGCATTCTTTTTAAGGTTTTACTAATTGCTTATTTGATAAATGTTAATTCTCGCACCAACTTGTATGTACATTGTATTTTTGCACAAATTCACACAATAATTGTTCCGCTCATACCCACACTCATAAAAACATTTGAATGCATGTATATATATAATACATAACACATCCAAAGTTGGTTCAGCATTCACGATGGTGGTGGTTGGCTACATGCTCTTGCCTCTTTTTTTTATACGCACGCTGCATACACACCGGGGATGTTATTAAATTAATTTTTTTTTTAATCGCGCTCTTGTATCACACTTTGTGCTATAGCTGTAATAGTCAATTCTTAAGTTAAGACTTTTAAATTTAGACCCAGTGCAGCAATAACAATGCCACAAAAGGTGGTAATGCAAGTAATGAAAAATGAGGCAATAAAGAGACGGTGCAACTCAAGACTGGCAAGTTACATTGTTGAAAAGGGAAAATAAAGCTGGTTTCTTTATATGTGAACATATATACGTTTACATACATACACAAATATACATATATATGTTCAAACATGCAAAAACCTACATACATACATATATTTATACCTATAAATTGTATGAGATATACATAAATGATTATACCTGCATACACATACATACTTACGGCAAAAAAAATTGTTTAAAGCGAGAATTGTTGGATTAACCTTTGCATAAATTAATGAAATATACATGTATGCATACATATGTAACTGCAGATATTTATGAACTTTTATATTTTCATTATGACTCTTATAGTACACACTGTTATATCAAATAACAAAATTTTGTATGAGCTATTTAAGAGCGAAAAAACAAAATTTCACTATATCTACACTTTTAAATATGTATGTATTTACATAAAACTCTTTCACACGAAAAATTCTACATACCACTTTGTTAAGACAAATAATTGATATTAAAAATTTGCACCGAACAAAATTTCACTTTATGATCAAGTTTTATACTTCTTATTTAAGCAAGTAAAGAAATTCACATCCGGACACTAAAAGCACAAAGAAAAACTGATCATACTCGCATATCTCAATCTATACGCAAGTCCAATTCTACTTCGGCACAGTCGTCCATACAGTCACTACTCTCCACTTTACTATAGTTGTTTCTTCACACTTTTGCGAACTGATGAAATACACAAAATTTGGAAAGTCAATCAAAAGGAAATGTAAAAAATACGAATCGGTTGGAGAATAGAAATGAAAACGGAGAAGAAATCCGCGCACACGCTTTTAAACACACATTCACACAAATTTATGCGTATACAACATACCAGCACGCGGCCCAGGTGAGTGAGTACATATACATGCAAGTAAATAAATAAATAAACTTACTGGTATGTACATATACGTATGCATACATATATATCTATATAAAAGAATCTCTTAACAGCAGATCCACTTATAAATATATAATAAAAATAAAAGAAGAATAAAAACAATGTAAGAAACGACAACAAAAAATTGAAACATAGTACATATTTGCATCAACTACATAACGCGATAGTTGAGTTGGCATGATTTTGTCATTGGAAAGGCAATAGAAGACACACGACCCAACGCAATTTTATGTACAATGCGCATACGTATAGATTTAGCCGTCGTGTACGAGCACATTTACGTAGAAATAAAATGATGAGAAATGAAATCACCAAATTCAAGTCAGAACTGTGTGTGAAGAGTCGGCAACTCATCTGTCACTCTCTTATACTCGCGCTATCCGCTTATTTATCAAAAAGTATATATGTTTATGAAACGAAGCAAAATAGTAAAGAAAATAGCAAATGGTGCACACAAGCGAAATGATAAGCTGTTAAATGAGAGAACGTCCAAAACGTCTAAAACCTCTCTCTATCTCTCTTTTTCTTTAGTTAAATAAAGACGAAAACGAAACAAAGAAAACAAGATAACAAAAACTTTAACGCGACATCGAAACGCACCTTCAAAGGAATTAATATAGATACACATCGCCGATGTATTTACTACATGCATGGATATAAACAACAAATATGTGTGTACGTGATGACAATGTCGTACCATTTGTACCCACATACAAATGTATATGTAGTATTTACTTCCCAATGCTTTGAATCTATTATTTAAAAAGAAAAATAATAATTCTTTTGCAGATATATACATTCACTTACACATTTGTACATAACACAATATACCTAATACATCCGGATTATGAATACGAATTGCCGTGAGCGTGAGAAGTACACAAAACGAAGTTGAGAAATGGCGCAAAGCGAAGCAAAGGTTTTTGTTTTCATCAACCACATACAAGTTATCAATTTTCTTTTTATGGTACTCTCATTCGTTGGGAAGTACTTTCTGGTATATTCATATGTGCATACATATGTACATACATATAAGTATAACTAAGCAATTTACTATTTATGTTTGTAAAGTCACTTTTCTCTATTTTAGCACCAAATACCTGCTGTCGAGATCTAAAAAGTTTTTGTGATGACATTTAACCTGAGTTCAGTGATACCAACATTGACATCCACAATGTTTCTTAATATTAATAGATAGTGGCATGCTCAGAAGTATTTCCGTATTATCCTATACCTCGCTACATATTTTATCATTATTAACATGTTTTTTATTTTTTTCAAGTAAACGATACGCATTTACAATTGCAACAACACTATTCAATGCAATTTTTGTTTTCATATCATATTTTTAGTATATAACACGCTCGTTTTATTTATCATACTCTCTTTCTCTCTCTGTTTGTGATGTGTTTTCATAACGCTATGCGCGCTCTTTAATATGTTTCACATTTTGTTTTTAAAATAGTTCTCTCTCTCGTATATCTATTGCTTGGTCTATAAAGTTTTTCGCTTTGTGTTTTTAAACAATCGTTGATTATCTACTTGCGATGTCATTCGTAATTCTCCACCGCTTCGCTATCGACGCGATTGGCACTGCTGATTTCTGTTTTGCCATTTGCCCGCTCATTCGTTTTCTATTGTCACTTCGTTTCTTAGTGTGGCTCGTGTCCATTCTCTGCAGCTGCAATGCAAAAACTGTACTTGTGAGCCACCCGACAGACAAGCCACTGTGCACAACGCGAGACATAACAAGCCCAAAGCTTTGCTACAATACACATACACACATCCATACGTTTACTTTTTTAGCTACCAATTATCGGGTATATGCTTTTGTTATTGTTCTCGGTATTTACGCACACATTTATTAATCAAATGGAATAGCGGAAGAAGAAAATGCCAAATACATATACCGATTTGAGAAGTGCAAAAATTGAATAGTTGTTGTACACATGTCTATAAATATATATGCCTGTATACACAAAGCTGTTGATACAATATGAATGTATACATGTATAAGTAGATATAGACAGAGCAGTTAACAAATTTCAGAAAGTAAACAAACTAACAAGCGGCGATTGGCCTTGTTACCACGCTCTTTTCAGGGCGAATTATGCACATACAAACATACATACATTTGTTTTGCTTTAACAATGTTTAAAAAAATTACATCTTGCCTTGCACACAAAAATTGTTGTTGCTATTTTTTCCCAGTTTGTTGATAGCTAGATAATACAAGCTCACACAGCAACAAAAAATTACAAGTGTTTCTTTTTCTCTTTTTCTTGATATGTAGAAAATAAATTTTTACACTTGGCATTCAAAGAAGTAATGTGAATAAAAGAGCACAATCATCTGTTCAGTTACGATATCAAACTAGAATTTTCTATTTGGTAACTAAAAGAGAGTTACTTGTGAACATACATTTACATACATATATAATTTTTTTTCAGTGCTGATATGTATTTCGAAACTTTGTAACTAAAGCATTTTTCAACTGACAGGAATTTCAAAATACACCAAACACATTTATACTCTAGTAACCGAATAGTTACACCAACAGACCTAATAAACGCGCGTTATATTTGTCCCTCATATTTACCAGTTTTGCAACATAAAACTGGCCAGCGACAATTATCATTATGATTTTTAATGGTGATACATATAAACCAGGTGAGTACATTTAGTTTCGTATGCATATACAACTTGCTTGCGTTTGGAACCACACATATTCAGCGTTGCTTACCAAACACGTATGTGTGTATATACATTTAATCATATAAAAGTAAAAGCTTATTCTACTTCGGCCATATAAATTTACGCAGCTACTTAGTACATACTCATGTATATACATATGTATATACATGTAAATAAGATTTGAGCAAATTCTTCTATAACAGTTTTTTTTTCAAATAGAAGTTACATTTATGTTTATGTTCACAATTTTACACTTGTCATTAAAATTTTGTTTTAAATATACAATATTCATGCTTATAGTATATATATAGAAGTAAATATGAATTATCTACATGCATTTATATGCATATATTTGCTTATGTCCATACCAGCCCAACAAGTCAATCAATGAAAAGCATTTGCAATAAAACAATACATACTAGCTATTTATTCATGTATGTATATATGTAGGTTGCTTCATCACCAACTAGTTTTTATGCCTAATGCTTTATTAAATAACAACCGAGTGTGTGAGAAAGAGTAAAAGATAATGCGAAAATCATTTATGCCTACATATTAATTTATTTGCGGTAGTTTTACCGATTTGCATATGTAGTAGAGTTGTATCATTATATTATATATTAAAATAGGGATTTCTGAAATGAAAGCCCGAAGCCGGCACACACACACATATGCATAAATGTAGATATCTATATATATGTAAATATGTATGTATGTATATGCATATTTGAGTTGTCAACTTAGTGTACGGCAAAGACAAAGTGTCACCCTATTTAGGTGCTTTGGAATATTATTCCAAATTTATTTGAATGTGTTGAACACCAAGAGAAATATACAAGCAAATGCTTGCAGCATTGCATTTGAAAATGCATGAAGGCGTCCTATACTTCCGTTCTCTACACACCCACCTGTACCAAAAATAAAGTGACGGCATAAGTATAGTATTCTCGTACATTATATGTACGTCTTGTATACAGTCAATATTATACACAAACGTTTTTAAAACGAAAGGTTTCTACGGGGTGTAGATTGATTTAATTAATATTCAACGAATTGTATTTGCTAAAACTTTCACTTATCTACTTCTCAAATTAATTTAATTAATGTAGATATTACGTGTATGTATGTGGATATATATGTACACACTTATGGTTTTATGTATGCATATATATACATCTTCGTTACCGAAAATCTTGTACATCTAATACCTTCATTCACGTACAAATTATTTACATACTTGGACACAGATAACTGTTGTACATCGACTACTAAATTATGTTTAGAAGTCAAAAAACATATTTTCGGAAAAAGAGCTCAATGAACATCAAAATATTTTGACACTGCAGTGGTACATATTCTACAAATAACAAAAAAAAAATAATTAAGAAAAAAACTCACCTGTTCAATGAATATTCAATTTTTTAATTCGAAAGAGTTCTTCTATTTTCAGTTCAGTAAAGCACTATTTAAACATATTTAAACTCACTTTATCCTCAATAAAATTAATGGTTCGGTTACCCAAATCACGCTCGTAGGCGCTCAACTATATTTTGATACAACCAATTCTGCTGGAATTCACTGCAGAATGAATTTTTAAAATGACGGTTCTGCGATGCCCTCAAGTGTATTTCTTCTTTGTTGTTGACTCTTATCACTCTCCCGCTATGTCTTTCTTTCTTTTATTTTGAGAACGTAAATATAACGAGAAGGTTCAATCAGAGAACGTAAATACAACGTATATGAATATACGTTCTTTGATACCACCGTGTCACCGAAATCGATGTGTACCTTTTCTCGTACAAGAACGCAAGTGGGGTTTCATACGGATGTGGCAACCTTATTTTTAGTACATTTGCTTTTAGGTTTTGGATTCAAGAAATTAATTATTAAATAAAAGGTAAATAAATACCTATCAGTGAAATATTATTTTCAGTATATTTGCTTTTAGGTTTTGGATTCAAGAAAATAATTATTAAATAAAAGATAAATAAATACCTATCAGTGAAATATTATTAACAAGGGTAACAATATTAAAAAATGTCAGTACCCCCCAAATTTGCAGGCACCGGCCTAGAGGAAGTGAATATTCCTGGTCAGGCGTATCTTAGGGAAGCGCTCACTTCATGTACTGATCCATTAAAGGCGATTGAAAGTTTCCAGGTATTTAATATCTTTCAAAATGCTTTTCTAAAGTAAATATCCCATCAGCTATAATATTTTCCAGCTAGAAAATGGGGTACTTTTACCTTCTTTACGTCCAATGCTGCCCCTTCTTGATTTGCATGGTGTTCGCCGTCTTGATTTTCATACATCCCTTATGGAAGTGAGTAAATTACATATTATCCCATGAAATGAATCTAACATTTTTTCCATATACATAGGAATTGCGCGAGAAGCTAATCGCTCATATTAATGAGTTAGGCCAAAAGGATCCACGCGAGCGTGATAAAAAATTAAAGGAACTGTTGGTGAAAAGCTTTCCTGTCGTACGTGTTAAAGCATTACGGCCAGTGGTAATGGCAATTTTACGTAATACTCAACATATTGACGACAAGTATTTGCGGATTTTAGTGCGAGATCGGGAACTTTATTCCGATACTGATACAGAGGTTAAACGCCAAATTTGGCGCGACAATCAATCGCTTTTCGGCGACGAGGTTTCACCACTTCTTTCGCAATACATTCGCGAGAAAGAGCATGTTTTATTCGATCATACAAATCTGAATAATCTCTTTTTTCATCCATCGCCAAAAGTTCGAAGGCAAGGTGAAGTGGTACAAAAATTGGCGAATATGATTGGTCAAAGCGTTAAATTGTATGACATGGTCTTACAGTTTCTGCGTACATTATTTTTACGTACCCGTAACGTTCATTATTGTACGCTACGTGCAGAATTGTTGATGGCTCTGCATGACTTAGAAGTGCAGGAAATCATTTCAGTGGACCCATGTCATAAATTTACTTGGTGTCTGGATGCCTGTATTCGTGAAAAAAATGTTGACATTAAAAGGTCTCGCGAATTACAAGGATTTCTAGATAACATTAAGCGTGGTCAAGAACAGGTTCTGGGTGATTTATCTATGACCTTATGCGACCCATATGCAATAAATTTTCTCGCAACATCCGCAATAAAGATTTTGCAACATCTAATTAACAATGAAGGGTTACCTCGTGACAATACTATACTTATTTTGTTATTGCGTATGCTCGCATTAGGATTAAGTGCTTGGGTGATGATCGATTCGCAAGATTTCAAGGAGCCAAAACTTGATTGTCAGGTTGTTACCAAATTTTTGCCAGCGTTAATGTCATTGGTGGTGGATGATCAATGCCGCAGTTTACATTCAAAACTACCACCGGATGAGCGTGAATCAGCGCTTTGTACGATTGAACATTCTGGTCCCGCTCCGGATGCAGTTGAAGCCTATATTCAAGAAAGTTCAGTTGCAAGCATTTTGGCCATGTATTACACATTACATACGGCACGTCTTAAGGACCGAGTTGGTGTCCTACGGGCACTGGCAATTTTATCAGCTTGTAAAGACGACCGCGCCTATGAGGATCCCTTTCTGCACTCACTTGTGAATAAATTTTGTGATTTTTCCCATTTAACCTTATTGTATTGTGTAAATATTTTCAGATTGCTCTGTTGATACCAATGGCTGATGAATTTTCAACTGAAGATTTCTGCACAATCCTTTTCGATGAATTCCTTTTTGTAGGATTAACTCGTGACAACGTCACTAGACATATGTTAAAACTGTTATGGTATGTACATAATAAACTGCCAGCAAGTCGATTGGCTACACTTATGAAAGCTATACAGCCAACAACGGGACATAACGAGACTGTTCATAAATTATATGAAACACTACAGGAACGAATTGGCACGACTCTACACGAAAGTCCAATGACAGAACACCAAGAAGTTGATTTCGACTCACCACTGAAAAGTGTTCCAACTCCTGGCCCAGCTTATATGCAGTAAATCATTATTTACATTAATTTTTAGATATAATCATATTAAATAAACAAACAATTGATGAACATATGTATATCTAATTGTATTTCTTTACAAATTATGTTTTTATACATATCCGTAATAACGCCAACATGCCAATTTTGTAGAACAACAATTTTACAACCGTTTAGTACCTGGCAGTCATACTTTTATAGAAATTAATAACGCAGGCATCGCAGAGCCTATTTTGGAATACCATTTTCTTCTTCATTAGCAGCAGCTGTATCTGTGCCTGTTTCCTTACTATTATGTCGATCCACCATCTCGATATGAGCATCGATTACATTTGACTTGGAACAAAATTCAAACAGCTCATTATATTCCATATACAAACGCTGCCATTTTATATGCGTCTTAAGTACATTCAGCACGTTCTGCAACAATTGATGCTTTGATACCGACTTTTGTAAGACATGCACAATTATATTGATTAGAATTAGTTAATTGCTAAAAATATTACATATTACCAGAATTTTATGGTCGTTAGAAGTATTACGTGGAGATGGGCCAAGCAAATCATCCAGCAGTAGTCGCAAATGTTGCTCAGTACCGCTTAATGCCAACTGATATGCGTACATGTTGTACCAGAATAATAATTCGTTGGGTGATTTTATGGCTTCCGAAAGCATAATCTGGTTCTCGATAAAACTAAGTTTAGCACTTGATTGCCAGTCATTTAAATTTCTGAAATGTGATAATACATAGTTTAAATAAAGCATGCTGCTCTTGTAAACACATAAGTAAATAATATTTAAGTTTTCTTTCTTGGTATAAGTATAACAACCTTAAACGTCTGTAGTTATTACTTACACGATACTTATATAAAGACATGAACGCCCTTAGTTATTACATTCTCGATACTTATATAATGACTTACATGTCCATTGATGTGCTCATCGCGGAAAATGTGTTTGTGGACGCTTGCGTTGAGATAAGTGGAAAGGAGATAAGATTTTTCTGAAAATCTTTGGGAATCGTTGTTTGAAGACCATGTCGAATTATGGGATCTTTAGTGCTGAGTACAAGCCACGATTTCAATTGCTCAGAATAGGAATAAGCGTTGCCATTAGAAAATAATACCATAGGTACACCGTCTTCAGTGATATTAAACTGCACAACTGTTCCGAGTTTTCCTGTTGCAATCTCATTACAAGTAGTAGCTAAAAATATACGACGTTCCTCAATGTGCCAAATTCGCACGATGCCACAGTCTGTAACAACACCTACTAGACGACTACTGGGACACTAATAAACAAAAAAAGTTAATTTATATTTATGTTTGAAGCTAATAATTTATAATGTAGTTTTCTTACAAAAGCACATTGAACTGCGGCAGTACTTAAACCCATAACCGGTAGTATGGCTTTACCGGTACTGATATCGACCAAACGTAACGTGCCATCCAAACAGCACAGCATAACATACTTATTGCAAAAGTTTAAATTCACTATTGGTGAGCCTAGTAAAATGGAAAAAATTAACAAAGTGAATAAATTATCAATGTAACGAAAGTATGAGAAACGTGCCTATTAAAATTTCCCAAAGCTTTTCTATTTGAGTCGGCCTTGTTATGTTGTAAGTAGTCACTTTTGCCAATAGTCCGCTTCCCGTACTCAAATACCCGTTATGAATATGAACCCTATGATCTAGTGCGGTTTTTTGGAATTCGCATTTTGTATTATGATTTATAATCAATTTGGGACCAGTGGTAGAGGCTTGATATGGCTTAATACCTCCAACTAGCGAACTATTTGTTGTAGTCATTACACTGATAGAATTTGAAGCTGATTTTGGAATAACAATTACGGGAAATGTCTTTACTGTACTATTATCTGTTTTTAACGGCTGCAGTTTAGAGGATGATGACGTTGTCTTTATAAGCCGGGCATCCAACGATCTAGAAGATATTTTAAATAATACAAACTTTTTACTAATAATAAGTAAGGAAAATAGTACATTTCTTGCGCTTCCGTTATCATAGGTTTTGCAAATGATGTGACTGGTAGATCAACTTGTTTAGTTATATCCATATCTAGTGTTGTTGGTGTGCTGTTCGAATTCCAGGAGTGAACAGTTGGCGGTAATGGATTGAGGTCCGATACACTTTTTGGTACACAAACATAAATACAAAAACAATAATTTTTGAATATATCTGAATAACCAATTTAGGACGGTCTTACCACACGTCTTGATTGAGTGCCACAAAGACTGGGGTAATGCGTCGTTTTCCGTCAGCAGTTCGTGTCTCAGTTTGTTTTCTAAGGGAGTTAAAATTGCTTGTGCGTTCTTCGCTTCCGCTTGAATTTAACATGGTGGCAGTAAAGTCGCTGTGATCATTTGATTTAGCCGAAGATACGGTTGGTTGTGTTAAGGTGAGTTTTTGGCTACTTGATTCAGCTGATGGCAGTGTGGGAGGCTTGGGCTTTTCAACAGTATCCACCAGAAGTTCTGGATTTTCAATGAGTATGTCTGCAGCACCAGTTGAACCATTTTCAAGGGTTACACTTTTTCCGTATGTTTTTTGAAACAATGAGTTCTGAAAATAAATATTTAGAGGCTTATTTATATTATCTACTAATAAATGGTCATTCGACATACGAACCTTCTCTTCATCTGAAACTGGAGTGCCCAATTCGGTTTCGGAAAATTGTAGGCAAGCTACAGTACCATCGCCGCTACAAGCCATTAAAATACATTTAGCTGGACCCCAAGATAAGTCTAAAATGCTGTCACTAAAAAGATCATGTATAACAACCAATGGACGGTTCAGTGCTGTCATCCATACAGAGAGAGATCTATCTCTTGAGCCCATTGCCATGCAGCAATATTGTAACTTTCTATCTGCGTTGGATGCAAGTCTTGTCAAAACAGTGTCGTGAAATCTTACACATGTAACAGCTTTCCTATGGCCTACAAAATCTTTGTCACATTTCCAGCCTTCTCTTTCTATAATACGTGCTGTTGGACCACCACCATTCATAGCATGCGCCGACACCAAGTAAAGGCCATCTGGAGACCAAGAGAGGCGTAGTATGTGTGTCGTACCACCACATCCTTTAAATGGTTCGGTGATTGTACTGCTACAACTCCAATCACTCGTTTTCCACATTTTAACACTTCGATCATCACTTTGACTTGCTAAAAACTTTCCTAACGGATCCCACGCAACGCCTTTAACCAAACCAGAGTGTCCACGTAACGTGGTTACCATGTTAGGAAATGACTGTACATCCCAGATTATGATGGTGTTATCAATACTGCAACTAGCAAGCCAGCGTTCATTAGGAGACCACGCTAGGTCTAGCACGTCCCCAGAGTGTCCACGAAGAGTAGCACTACACTTCCAAGACTCAGCATTTTTTTGTAGGCCTCCGGTACCGAACACGCCACTTGGTCCCTAATTAGGTTTGAATTAAAAAAAAAATGCAAAAACTTTTCTTTCACAATACCTTCGACAATTTCCAAATCATAACTAATTTATCGTCCGACCCAGATGCTAACATTTGGCCGTTCGGGGACCAACGCACACAATTTACGCAAGCCAAATGGTTGTCCAATTGGCATAGCATCTTGGGTACACTTTCATCCTGTTCAACTTTTTCCGATAATACCGGTAGTAGATTCCATATCACGACACGCCCTGAATCCAAACCTTGCCCACCGGTTGCAAATTTAAGACATTCTTGATGCACGTCAACCGAGAAGATTGGCTTGTCTGTCAGCAGTAAATTTTAATTAAAGGCATGTGGTAGTAGTTAGAAATGCACTTACCGTCATGATGTACCCAGCTAGGCTTCAAAAGTTTCATTAATTCAAATAAATTGTTTTGTTTACGAATATACTTTGTTACAATTTATCCAATTTCACTAAGATTTCTTCTTTTTAGTTAATGTTAATCAAAATATATATTTTTGTCAAATTATCGCCTTCCGTTTTATTTTCTGCAGTTATTCTACATTCTGTTTCTATTTTTGCGCTTTTTTGCTTTTAGCCGGCAGAATTTTGGAAAATCGCAAAACCGGGCAGTGTTGCCAGAAGTATCGAGAACGTAAATAAAACTCTGACAAATGAATATAAAAATGTCAGTTTTTTAATCAAAGAACGTATATGAACAAAGAACGATCTTTGGTTTAATTCCCCCAAGACCTAAGAACGTATACAGAGAACGTAAATACAACGAGAAGGTTCAATTAGAGAACGTAAATACATCGAGAAGGTTCAGAGAACGTAAATAGTTCTATTTACATTCTCTGCTTCGATAGCGAACAACTCGATGCAGAGAATGTAAACACAACATTCTCTGCTCGATGCTTCTACCAGAGAACGCAAATACAATATTTACGTTCTCTGCTTCTACGCTTTCGTCTGTGAGCAGCCGACTGTTATATAAGGGCGACACTCAGCTGCCAAGAAGTTAGTCACAAAGTGAACTCGTTGGCGTTAACACAGAGAATGTATAATAACGAGAAGGACCAGAGAACTTAAAATATCGAGAAGGTGCAATTGTTTCTTTGTTCGATGCTCGATTGAAGTTTCTACGAGCTAGAAAATCTCGGGAAAGGGATTCACCACTCTGTTAAAATTTGGCTGTAAACTAACAGTTTGGATAGTTTAGCATAAAGAAAAACTGTTATTGACGACAACAGAAGTAAAATCAATAGAAATATAGTATTATAAATTTAATAATATAAATTTAATGGAAATTTACAGATCTACAAGAAATTTCTTTATTATAATAAAAATTTATTATAAATAATTATAATAAAAAATAACAAAATTAATTAATATAATTAAGTATATATGCATACGTACGCGCTAACTACGCAACAGCATAGCACAAAAATTAAATTTTTCCATTTGAAAGTTGAAATTATTAATATACAAAAAGTATTAAATAAAATAAACAAAAATAAAAAATTTAATAATTTTGAATAAATTGAAGGAATTCGAACCTGCACAAGAAGCAAAAAACCGAAAACCCATGTGGATTTTGGACGCTACCAACTGCGCCATAACACCATATAAGAATTCACTGGCATATTCTGTACTTATACCGAATCAAAGAAATAGACCAATAGTTTTTCTTCTTCTTATTCAGTTAAATGTACGAAAGAATTGTTCTCCCCGCGCGCACTTCGTCAACAATCGACTTCGGTTATTTGCACAGTGCGCGCGCGTGCATGCGAACAATGCGTACATTACTTCAAAGGATGATGCTCATTAGTTTATGTTATTGAAAGGTGTAGTATTTCCTAATTTTGATACATTTTGAATTGATTTGACATTGCTAAACTCTTTTAGTTCTAAATTCAAATTATATTTATTAAAATCTTATGGTTTGGGGGCATTTAGGGAACATTAATTTTTGAATTGCAATACATTTGTTCGCCTTATCGAGAGTATGTTTGTGCGTAACGGGTACAGAAATTTCTTCGACTTCTGATTTTTGTGAGCTGTGGCTTGTGGAAGAGCTGCGCGCGGGGAGAGGTATTGCTTTCGCTTACATACATACGCTTTGTTGACGATGCGAACAATATTTTTTGCAAGTTCAACTAGGCGACATATATGTACATATGTATATATGCTGTCATGGCAATGTTGTACATATGTACGCAAATGAAGGCATAATATGTACATACAAATATATGTATGTATGAATATTTAAAGTGGATAATATATGATAGATTTTTGTTTTGAGAAATCCAAAAAATTTAATTAATAAATATAACATTTGAACCAAGTCATAAAATAAATTGGAAAATACTATGAAATGAAATTAGAAAATTAAATAGTTATTTTATATTAAATTATTTAAAAAATTTTTATTTTAATATTAATTAAATATTTTAAATACTATATTAAACATATGTGTGCATACATGTAAATATGGACATTTATATGTAATACCATAAAGTTATTTAAAGCCAAATAACTTCAAATATTTTTATTCATTCATAAACACAAGCCATTCATGCTATCAATCACAAAAACAACTTCATATGCGCAGCTCCTTTTACTCTAGGCGCTACTCTATTCAAAAAGCTATTTGCTGTAAGAAGAAGAAGCATAAGTGCAACAAAAACAACTACCGTATAAAAACCTTCTACTCTTCATCGACAAACAGTTTCCTCAAGCGAAGTCAAATTTTGCTAAAAATCATAATTTGATGTTCAACTCACGCCAAAGTGAAAACTCATACATTTAAGCATTTTAATATATATACGAAAAACGTACACAATCTTAATAACGCGCATGCTCTTCCCTCTTTCATCCCGCCATCCACAAACGATTTCTTTGCGACGATGACAAAATTTACAAAAATCAGAATTCAAGTTGATCTGAAGTTGAAGACACATACATTCAAAGCGACCAATGTGTATACGAAAATCACACACATGCCCAAAAACTTGCCTATTCTCTTCCCCTATACCCGCCATCCACAAGCAGTCGATAGCGAACAACTCGATGAATCTACACTTTCGTCTGCGATCAGCCGACTGCAATATAAGGGCAACACTCAGCTGCCAAGTTAGTTACAAAGTGAACTCGTTGGCGTTAACATAGAGTATAGCGGAGTAAACGCGTTGGAGATTACATTTAAGTGAAGTAAATTGTGAAAGTTGAGGCTAGTGATTGTAAATAGTAAAGTGCATTGTAATTGATTTGTAAATTACTGAGTAAATACAGGACATTAGATAAATTCCTTATAACGAAAGAAACTGTAAATTAAGTTGGCGAGTTTTTATTTAACAATCCAGAGATCGTACCCGAAGGATTCAGAAAATCATCAAGGTTGATTTAGCAAAATCGTAACAATATGCTCAGAAATGTACTGCTCTGGCTACAACTAACATTATTTATGTTAATTTCAGATAACGAATTTTTGTAGGCTTTTTATCAAAATAGACGGGGGTGAAAGCACAAATAACAAAAAAATATATAGTAATTTTACATCGTTTTCAAAATTCTATATTATCTAATAATAAATGTACATACTTACATATGTATGTACTATGTTCTTATAAAGGAATGATATGCCGTCGGCATTTCGCAATAGCGTTTTTTATGAGAAGGATTATTTATTCGTGAATTGTAATTTTAACATATTAATGAGAGATTAATAGTTTTATTAACTTATAAATCAAAAATACATTAATATGTGCATATGTACGTATGTATACACCATACAAAATACTGACCTGCCTCAAGAAATACATGCATACATACATACATACATACATACATATATACTTACATACATACATATGTATAAGAATACACTCTTATACGCATATGCACAAACATACAAACACATTACTTGTGTGAAAACATACTTCCCTCTAAATACTTCTATCGCCCAAAAGCTGAAATCAAATACAATAATAAGATTTTCATTCATAGACTCCCGCGCCCTAAAACAAAGCAAAGTGCGTTCATTCATAAGCACCACCGCGCCAACAAGTTGATTCTTCGCGACATTGTCAAAAAACACAAACACACAAAATCATTAAGGTCGCGCAAAGTGAAGCAACAACAACATACATACATTAGCAAGCCCTTCTTAACCTTTAACCCGTAACATTCATGAGTCGTCTACACAGACAAGCACTGCTTAAAATTCTTGCCACAGACAAAAAAACCTAAACTAAATTTGTTGTTCGCCTATTAATTCATATTGTCCAGCCAGCAAATTCCTTGCCTTCACCACATCTTGTCAGCAAGATGAATTGTGGCGAGGATGATGATAAATGCTACAAAATAAAAACACATACATTCAAGTAATTTAATATGTATACGTTAAACGCACACGATCTTAATAACTCGCATGCCCTTCCTTCTTTCACCCCGCCATACAAAATAACAAAATTTCAGAAAAATCAAAATTCAAGTTTGTCTGAAGTTGAAGACACATACATACATTCAAAGGGGCCAATGTGTATACGAAAAACAGATACATTCACAAAAACTTGCATATTCTCTCCCCTTGTACCCCGTCATAACGAACGATTTCTTCGGGACCAAGTCAAGTATGCATACGAGACACATATGTACATATATGAAACCATGAAAAATACAACATTTTTAATCGTAAACGCATGCGCCCCACAACAACATTCCATGAGTTGTAAGTTGTGTTTACGCTTTCAAGGTCTGGGTACACTTTCTGTGCTCGTCAGTAGTAGTAGACACTTCTCCCACCGACGTTTGGCCTGATAACCAAGACCACTTCTTTTCCTCATTGATCTCATTAGCAGTGGCCGAAGCAGACATATATCTGCATCCCTTACCAGAGAATGTACGTCAGCCTCAGTATGGAAAAGGAGGTAGCTTTTGTTATTCTTTTTACTAAATATTTATGTATGTAAGGAATATATAAATAGATATAAAAATACAACAACATGTGTATATAAAACATTTTTTGCTACTGTACGTATGTATATAAAAATATGAATGTATGTGTGTATATATAGTATGTATATTTAATATTAATTACAAACTATGATCCACTTACTTACATATGTACAAACACACATACATGAATTTTAAAATTTTTATTACAAAATAAAAACAAGTCGCCCCACGACTAGAATATAATAAAGTGTAACATTGTAGAGAATAAATTTAACACCCTTTAAATAATCTTAATTTACCCAAACATGCATTTTTACTGTTGTAAATACATAACTTCAGGTATCTTTTTCTCTGCCCTTTTGACTTTGTTATCAAATTCCTCAGCCACTTTTTTGTAGTACGGCCCCAACGCTTCTCTTACTTCATCATACCATTTACCCAACTTCGGATGATGGTTGAAAGGATCAAATCCAATAAATTCTGCCAATTGAAAAGTAAATGGTAGGTAAAATTTGATTATTTTCTTAAAAAGGAAATAAGAAAATTATCATTATGCGCTTACTTGGCTGATCAATTTCGCATATTGCTATCAGGTCAGCGTAAGAAATTGTGTCCCCTATAACGAACTTGGTTTTGTTTAAAAATAGACTCTCAAAATCCTTCAAAACTTGATTTAGACGATGTGTTGCTGCATTAATCTATTGGGTAATTAAAAAAATAAAGCACTATTGAAATTTGCACTGAAGATGAGTAAACATACATACATTTTTATCTTCCGGTGGGGTCTTATCCAGAAGAGGCAAGAGCCATTTTTGTTGAAAGTAATTGCCGCACGCGTTGCTCACATTACGCTGTTGCCATTCTAAAAACTCATCAACACGACTGCGGCCGTAATTGCGACGTGGATACCAGTGCTCTGGCACAATTTTCTCGCGGTTTAAGTGACGAAATATCGCGACGCTCTCGCTCAAAGACAAATTGTCATCGTTGATTACGGGCAAGCATTTGAATGGACTGACTTTATCCCGAAACTCACCAGTTAAGTGTTCTCCTGTAAAAAATTTGAAAAAATACATCTTAGTATATACATAAGTGCTACTATAGGGGCGATCACAGGTTCGGCCACTAGCGAAAATAAAACTGGTGATTTAAAGCTACTTCCACCAAGTTTTGGTGAGCGTCTGGAGCTTTTTATTTCAGGCCATAAATACACTGAAAGTATTTAATGGACCATTTCATATACATTTGAAGTAAAACATATGGTCAGGATTTAAACAGTCACCACAAATTGGGGTAGCAGCTCGGCCGAAAATCGTTTAATGTATATGTACATATGTATGTTATGAATATTAATATAAAATATTAATATATAAATATTTACTTCCAGACCCAGTTTTCAAAAGAAAGCAAATCAATTGAAACAAGAAAGGTATTACGGTATTTCTTTATAAGATTAATTTTATAACTGAAACATCAACCAATGGGGGCTGAAGCGATGAAGTTTTCCGATATCGATGATGTACGTGTATAGATACCAAAATTCTCGTTTTCATCATCATCTCGCCTGAATAAATTATTTACAAATACGAATGTATAAATCTAAAATCTCAAATCTGGAGAATCAGTCGTATATGTAAATATATGCTTACAAACAAACCGAGAAACGGACAGGGCTAAATCAACTCAACTCGTCATACTGAATAGATCTCTATATACATATATGTATGGCTCGTACTTAAATACGTCAGGCTAAAGTTAATGCACCATTTCACATACATGAAAGGTATAAAAACGACAAAGACTTTCTTTGGCCAAATGTATGTATGTATCTACCCAATAAGTAAACGTGCATACTATATATACTAGTACATATGTACATACATATATACATACATAACATGCACTCATATGTATATTGTTTACTTCTAGACCAAAGATGTCAAACGAAAAGCTAAATTAATCTCGCTGATATTTCATGTTATCAGTTCACGAGTTATTTACGTGAGTTGACATACTTGTATGCACACATGCTGGTATAAACGTACACAAATATACATACACTACTTACATATACATTGCATTTAAAAGATTTCATTAAATATCGATAATAAATTATCTTGATCATTTCTTAAAAATTAAGTGCGATATTGAGAGTTTAGATGAGTGTGTGATTTGAATATAGTAATAAGATTTAAAAATAAATGTTGGGTGTGTTTATCTCAATGCCCACACAAGAACATATCGCACACTAAATCAGAAAACATAACATAACTCCCAATATTTTTTCAATATTGCTTTGTTCCATAAATCTGTTCACAGAACACATTTCTTTCTTGACTGGAAAAATACCATTATGCCTCTTTTCATCCTACTCGCGTCGCCTGAGCAGAGTCACTGGTCATTATATATATTTGCGATTGTTCGATACGTACTTACGAGTATGTCGAGATGTCCCTCATTTACGTCAATACTGACATAACACTAAGATATGATTTTTGTGGAGAACTATTTGAGATACTCAAATGATTCTTATTCAAAAATATAGGTGATTAACGTGGAGAGCGTAACTCCTTGCATAACTCTTGTCTCTGGCTTATTACTTTCTGCCACTCATATTCCACAATCAGTCGTGGTTTCGATTTCCTCGGATGTAATCAAACTGCGGTTTTTTAATCCAATTTCTCTATGTTGTTATTAAAGCATTTTTCCTGCTCAAAAAATAGTGCCTGTGCGCAAGTCAACCAAAATTTGCGATTTATAACTTATATCTATTTAAACAAAAACTACACTGCTTTGAATTATGACGTTTTTTTATCTTTTCTATTTGGGGGAGCGACCCTTCGGCATGCCAGGCCTCCGAGTGTATTTCTGACATGATATAAAAAGCTCCTGATAAACTGTAGGTCCATTCCATTCGTTGGTGTTTGTGGATATGTACACATTACATACATATATACAATGTACATGTACTCAAATCAATCTGTGTTTTATCCGACTTCCTTTGAATGCACAAAATATTAGCATCAGATCTCTATTGTATTGTACCTTTGTACTTAATAAAGTATTTACAAAATTACATAGATACGTTTATCTACTCGTTCTTAGATATGTATGTTTTTGTTTTTATGCATGTTCACTATTTTGTTGCTTGCCTTTGAGTGTTGATATAGGTATCGCCTCGAAGGGTATCTTTGATGCTTCCATTAATATGTATAAGGCACGACTGGACTGATTAATAAAATCGAAATAAAATTTTACAGGTTGCATCTTAATCACTTATTTTAAATTATTATACTGAAAATAAATTAAACTCTTTATTAAAAAATCTGAAATTTTGTAGCCACTGTCTCCGATCGTTGTTTAAATCAAACTGGGTATATTTTGCTAGAGACAACTATTTAATACAAATGATTCGAACGACTTCTTAACGGGCTTCGCTTGCACACCAGTGTGAACGACAATGCAACCGATAACCGAAGTTAAAAGCAGCACCTGCAAAAGCCGGTCAATCGAACATTTTCATTTACATTTCTATTATTTCCATTGGATTTTGTTCTATCTCTTTTAATTGCTGTATTTCCACTATCATGCTCAAGATTGTGGTATGCGTGCTTATTTGCGTGGTTCGCAAACTTATCTTTGTATGTACATGAAACCAGCCCCAAAATTATGAGTATATTGATTACAGAGGTGTACTCGTGTAGTTAAGCTTCTAGGTCCCGCCACGTGGAAATCAGCTGCAAAGAAAAATTTAAACATGCCTCGAATGAGATACCTTTTTCCGATCACGACTCCCGCACATTTTTTAAGGATCACGATTTGATGGCATGCGCCTGGATGTCCTTGTTAGAATAAAAGTTGACATCAGGACAGTACAGGACAATAAAGTTGCCCAAATTTGGTGTGGGATATGTGCTGGGAGAGAGACTCCGTCGCCGAGTACTAGCGTTCTCCCTGATGGATGAACTTCTCACCACAGTTCGCATCAAAGCGACATTACTTAACATATCGTTGCATTGCGGCCACGCTCCGGTAGAAAGGAAGGACGATTTGACCAAAGATGCCTTTTATGAGCGCCTAGAGCCCTGCCACCGACATGATGTGAAAATCGTTCTTGGCGAATTTAAAGCCAGTGTGGGCGAAAATGGTATCTTTGGTACGACTGTTGGAAAATTCAGCCTTGACAACGAAACATCCCCTAAATGGGTTGAGGCTGATCGACTTCGCCGGGGCCCAAAATATGGTTTTTGTAGCACTAGATTCCAGCACAAGAAAATTACCCAATCTACTTTGCTGTCCCCTGATCGCAAAACACAAAACCTGATCGATTATGTTGTGATACGTGTGACGACAGGTATCCAGTGTTCTTGACGTACGTAGACTCCGAGGGCCCAATATCGACTCAGATCACTATATTATTGCAGCGACGATACACACCCGCCTCTATATATCCCGTCAACAAACACAAGGAAGGTTCGACTTCGAAAAGCTGCAATCACAACAGGCTGTCGAACGGGTTTCTACTTGACTACCACTCTTACTCCCTGAGGAAGGAAACAGCTAGTACGATAAGGACTACCGTGTCGCAGAGGAAAGAAAATAGGATGCCTACCTCTCAACGTTGCAATCTATCACTACACGTGCAGAATGGAAAAACTTAAGAGGGAAGCAAGACGTATGTGCAAGACAAAAAAAGAAATATGCTGAGATGTGTAAGTATGAAGAGCTTGAAAAGCTGGCCGACAAGGGTAATGCTGTAAAATTGTACGAAAAAAAGACCCGAGCAGTATTATGGACACATTAGGACACAGATAGTGGATCTAGGGTTGATAAGGTGCGTTTATCAGCTACTTTGCAGGTCGGATGAAGGCATACCCCTCTCCCTCTGGTCCGTATCCTTCGAAACAGCTCGTTTTCTGGACCTCTTAGTAGGTGATACCGGTGAGTTAGACAAACTAGCCTGTCCCTGAAAGGGGACCTCACAGTCTGCACCAATTACAGCCTCCTTAATATCGCAAATAAGGTCTTATCGAGCGTATTGTGTGAAAGATTAGAGCCCACCGTCAACAAACTAATTGAACATCAGCGTGGTTTTAGATATTCACCAAATGCGCCAAATCTTGGCAAAAAAAAACGTGAAAAAAACTTTAAAAAGATTGACACACACCACCTCTTCGTCGATTTTCAAACAGCTTTCGACAGCACGAATAGGATCTGCCTTCACGCCACTGTCTGAATTTGGTATCCACGCGAAACTTATACGGCTATGTAAACTGACTTTAAGCAACACCAAGGGCTCCATCAGATGATAGAGAAAGAGCTGGCTGTACTTGGTATTTCCAATTGACTGTAAATAGCGAAGAGGAGAAATTAATGGCGCCATGTTATTAACTCGGCTATAATCGCGAAAGCGGTGTCTATGCTAGTAAAGTAAGTAAGATTGCATTATGGTTTCTGGGCACCGGTTCTAAAACAAGCCAGGTGGAAAAGGTAGTAAGAAGAATTATTATGTATGAAATAAAAAACGCAAATTATACAATTATATTATACATATATATTTTCTTTAAGCTCGGAGAGAAAACATAAAAACATAAAACAAAGTGTAAATTTATGTTAAAGATGTGTAATAAAACAAACATTTTGAATCTAAACTAGTTACAAAAAAGAAGCTCTTAAATTATCCATTTGCGGTCGTATGTTTGTTCTCGGTCACCTTATTAGGAAATCGTAATAATTAAAATTATCTGCACATATATAAAGGTATAAAAGGTATATACAGATCTTTTGAGGAACACCACTAGAAGGATTAGGGGCGAAAGATATCAAAGAAATTAAATTGCAACACAGCCGATATCCAGCTGCATATTAGAGACTGATTTCAAAAATTCCATGCAATGGGTTCTATGAAATAAAATTTTTATATAAAATATAACATAGCCTTTGAAAATAATTATTAATTCTTGTATGATATATTTCACTGCTCTTTAAATATAAATTACTTCCGACCACAAGGACACCCAGATTTAACACGTCCGAAAAGGCTTAAATATATAATGTTTTGGATTTAGTAGATTAGGTTCTTAAGTGAAAATTAAGAGTGTAGAAAAAGTTGTAAGTCCTTGTGCGAATATGTCCATAAAATTCCACACCGCATTGGAAGTTTTTTCATGTTGTGCAATGGTATTAAACTTTCCATTTAATGTTCTGTCATTTTGAAGAGAATATAAGTAATTATATATTTTTAAGCTCTTGGAATAAAATGAAAAAAAGCCTTCAATTTATTTTTTTTTTGGTCTGAGATGAAAAATAATCTTAAATTTTAAATATAAACTGGCTACAAACTAGAAGCTGTTAAAATAAATAATAGTGCTGTGGAGTCAGTCTATTAGTAAATTAGCCTGAAAGTGAGAAAAAATGTTTTTAATATAAATTTAGGAGTGTAAAAGTAAAGGTAGGTAGGTACTTGTGCAAAACGTGTCCATGAATTTCCACGCCATATTGGAAGTTTTTCAAGTTGTGCAATAGTCTTAAACTTTCCATTTAATGTTCTATCATTTTGAAAAAATATAATGTTAATCAAAATATATTTTTATGATCCTGATTATTAGTTACCTCTGTGTCAATAGCTGAAAAGCCGTTTTTGGGCCTATTTGTGGCAATATTTGTAACTCTTTCCTGGACCCAGAATTCAGTAGATCTAATATAGCTTTTCGATGTTTCTGAATATTCGTTTTCTTTCCTTTAGTGTTCAGAGCTGAGCCATTTGATCCACTCGTTAAATAACTTTCTATAATACTGTCTAATGAAGCGATACGATTACTTTTAGCTGTCTCAGTCCCCGCCAATTTTTTTAAATCCATTGCTTCGCGAATACTTTGTCGTCTTTCAATATGTAGTTGTTTAACAGATTTCCTTTTTTCAAACAATTCCGATGTTGAAGTCATTTGCAAAGAACAACCGAAATTCGATATTTTTGAAGCATCGGTATGCAATCTAATTTGTTCCAGTTTTGAAGAAATACGTCGAGAACGCCGCAAAGTTTCATTAGAAATTCCATATTCCCTTGAGGCATTCAACGAATTGTCCGCCGCCACCCGTTGTGAAATTCGTCTAGAGCGCCGTGTTGTTATATTACTATGCGTAAACGAATCATCAATTTTCGAAATCTGTCCCAGAGGGCGGTTCAATGTTTTATTAGGAGCCAAAGGGACTTTAAAGACAGGACTACTTGTGTCAAACTTAAACAAAATAAGATTAATAAAATTTCTAATAGTAGATTTAATAGTAAAAAAAAATACCAGTTGACAATTTAAATTCTCCCTCAAGGGTGAAGACTCTAGCAATATTGATTGAGAACTTTCGCCATTATCCAGGAGTGTTATCTTGGATTGCTCATCATTCTCTTGCAATACTTCCTGTATGATACTTTTTAATTCGTTGCGCAATACCAACGGCAATGGTCCTGAATTAGTTGCACTTGGCAGGGAATTCGACGAGTCTACAATTTGAGTATTTTGTTGAAAGTTTTCTTTGCTTAGATCCTTCAAAGTATCCATAAAATGGGAAAGTTTATTTTCAATAATATTTTCAAATTCCTCCAAACATTTACGCACTACTGGACTGTAACTATTCAGTGAAAAATTATTAGTACACCTATGTATATCCTTAAACTGTAATAAAACTATACCTTAAAGTCTTGTTTGCCATTGTTCCATCATTTCCTAGTACTGTTGAGGATGAAACATTCAAACTCATTATTGATGCACGAGATTCCAGAGTTTTATCCAATGAAATGCTTGGTTCTCTATTTATTAGCAACAAGTTTGGTTGCATCCCACGGAATTGAGTCTCAAGTGAACCAATAATTCTTCTTTGATCCCTTTAAGTATAAGTATATATTCCTACATATAAAAAGTTTCAATATCTTATATTTTTATTAGTCAACGTACTTCGCCTTTTGCCTTGGTGTAAGTCCTATTTCCGATTGATTCAATTTTTTTGCGTTTCGTTTCAATTTGCTTGGAGTGCAAAATGTTTTATTGTGATAGATAGTATTGAATGCTTTAAATCCCAGGCTGATACCGGTGTTAATATTGGGTCGCTTGGTGGAGGCTGGGGCCATATTTGCTTTTTTCGGTGTTTTCATTCGACTTCCCTAAAAGAGAATAGAAAGTATTACATGTAAAAGTATTTATGATAATGTGTTAATTTGGGTTAGCACTGTACACAAATTCGTATGATGTATATAATTTATAAATATATAAGGTCATAAGTCAGTTTAGTCAGTTAATAACGGATTGCACTAGGCGAAACACCAGCGAGCTAGAATGTGATTGTCCAAGTCATTCGATAGTAAGAGTCCTACAACAACTCGCACCACAATTTCCCTCACAAAATTTGTCGTACAAATTGTTACCGGTCAATAAATAGGGAGATAATTATAATGGTGTGTTTTAACGGGTCTGCGTTCAATCAAAAATCGTTACGTTCATGTTCCAGTTTAATTCTGAAAGTAGCACACAAAAGCAATTTTTTATCAGACCTTTTCTGGGAGAGACGCTAGTGTATGAAGAGATAAACACATATGGATGTTATTCCAAAACTAAGCACAAATAACATTTTTGTTTCACTTTATAGCTTTTGCCAATGGTGAAACTATTTTAAAACAGCAAACAGCAAAGCCTATGTTAAAAGCTTTTATACACATCTTTATAATTCGAAGAGATAATACTAATGGAATACTTGATACTGGTAATGTAAAGTCTCGAATCACAAACGGTGATTACGAAATTGAGTTTTCAGTTTTTACCCCTTGATAAATGAAGAGCCTTATTATGACATGAATATATTTACTAAAATTTACATACACAAGCACTTTGTTGCTTTAGGTTTCTTAGATTGGCATCTTCTGCGATACCCGTGACCATTGACTAAATTGACTGAACTCACCACGCCATGTGAACCCCTGCGGGTTAGGGGCTCAAGAATTTACCCGCGGTAAGGTATGCCTGTCGTAAGAGGCGACTAAAATCCAATAGTTCCCGCGACAGTCGGGTCTTTATACCGGAACGACCCGGATTTTTATCCGGCCAAGGACTGTCACTCCCGCAACATTCCCCAAAAAGTACTTTGGGGAATAATTTTGCGGTTACAACAACAACAACAACACTAAATTGATATACTTTTTTTTTATATTTTGTACTACAAAGGAATTTCGTAAATTACATTATAATGATAATGGCCATTAATCGCACAAATATTCTCTTACAGTCTCGGATCTAATGCATTCCAATTGTTTTCTCGAGGAAATTTTTATGAGGAATTAAAAAAAAGGCGCTATGCCATGGCCATAATTCTCGCAATGATAACCAATAAAATTATGCCTCATTACAAATGGAGTTGCTTAGCGAATCAAATCAAAATCTGATAGTCTTTGTGAAGAAAGTAAACATACATTTGGTGATTGTTTTAAAAAAAAGGAGTAATAATAAAAATAAAATAAAATACCTTGTACTCTGTGACTATTAAATGATTATGTGGTGAGTGTTTTAACTGCTTCACACTCTGAGCAAAACGAAGAGTTGACAAAGTCAGGAAAAAAGGAGTAATAATAAAAATAAAATAAAATACCTTGTACTCTGTGACTATTAAATGATTATGTGGTGAGTGTTTTAACTGCTTCACACTCTGAGCAAAACGAAGAGTTGACAAAGTCTCCGATAAATCCGCGCGGTGTGGACTGATACAAGCCAAAAGTGTTAGATAAGAGTTTTCGCTTAGAGAATCTAAGAAATTAAAGGCATTATTTTTTTTCTTTAAATAATTACTTTAAAGTTACCTTGTAAAACCGAGGTTAAAATACTGTCTCGATATGGTATGACTTTGTGACCGAGGGCTTTCGCTTGTAACACTTTGCCAATAGACAGAAGGCCCTGATTTATGTTGACACCTTCTGACATGGCAACACCCTGATGTCCCGTTCTACGAACACCTTCGGATCCTGCTAAATCTACTAAATTTAATCTGCTGTTGAGTACACCGTTTCCAGATACTGTATACAAATGTATTGTAAAAATGGCGTGTGATCTTGAACTTTTTGAATTCATTTTTGTAGGTCGCACATGACGATTTTTATTGCCTTGGAAAAGAACACTATAACAATCGTCCAATGATTTAAGAACTTTTTTAGTCCCTCCTTTGTATTTGTACCCTAATTATATTTAAGAGTTGGATATAATTAGGTGCCTTTTAATGCTGTAAAATACTCACCACGTGAAACAATAGGTTCCGTCGTGTTTTCACTTAGTAAATCAAATACTTTTTCGTTGTAAATTTCAATGAAAGAAGCAGATATCTCACTTGAAGACTGTTGATCTGAATTGATGTCCGAAACTGATGCAGCATTCCCAACCAAATTCAATATCTCACTCAAACATCTGGGTATTATTCCAACATCCTGACGTTCAGACTATTAAAATCCGGTATAAGTCTTGCCGACAAAATAAGTAATTTTACTTACATGTAAGTCTAAGCCCATTGAATACGATTTCCCAGTTCCCGTTTGCCCATAAGCCAAAGCTGTGCAATTGAAGCCTTCTTTTACCTTCCCAACCAAAGGGCTAATATCAAGAAAAAGTTGCTCCTGAGAACCGGAAGGTCCCAAAACTTTATCGAATGTAAAAGGTCTCCCATCTGCTATCAATATCTAAATGAACCGGAAGCTTAGACAGTGATATTTCAATATATAAATATTTTTACATTCGCACTGGATTCGGAGTACGAGATGACACTTGAAACTTCTTCTACACCTTCCGTATCTCGAGCTGGCCTTTCACGAACGATCACCCGCACAGCAGAGGAATCATTGCCATAATCATTATTTGACATAATTATTTCCAATTTCCTAATTTATTATCAATTCTTCCTTTTCACTTAATTAAAATATAATCTCTAAATGTTGCTGATAAAAAAAACGCTTGGTTTCTACTTTTTAAATTTTTGCGGTCAATCGAGTACAAATTTATCGAATACAGAATTGCACCTATCACTGTAAAGATGTGACAAACATTTACACTTTTGCTGACGTCACACTATTGAGAAATCATTTGTGTGATGTTGTATGAATGTTCGATTTTAAATGGGTTAAAGTATAAAAATAGATATAACAATGAAAAAATTGCAATTAGACTTGTAAGAAAACAAAAAGAAATGATCAGAAACAACTCCAAATTCAAAATCATTTAATATTGTGACGTCGTTAAAAACTCAGAAAATTATTAAAATCGATAATCCACTGTTATTGGAGCAATATACATATTTCCACAATGCAATGTTGTATTTTATAGAAAATATGGATTTTATTTGTTATCGCTGGCATTGTTAAGACCATGGCAGATAAAATATCTTTCGGACGTTCATAGTAGCAGAGGTGGGCTTGGTGCGCCCTCTTTCTTAACTGCAAAGATGTAAATGTTTTCCGTCGCCAACAGCTGTTTCGATAATATAATATATATATTTATATAGGTGTGAGTTTTTGAAAAATTTTAAAGCCTTTATTTTTTGTTATCCATGATTATATATGTGACCAAGCCGCCACCACAAAAATGTTTCATTTCATACATTTTGCAATGCGAAACCACTTAACAGGAATATTCTACAGGTTAAAATAATTTATAAGAATAACAAATCATATACCAAATATACAGTTCGAATAAAAATGTTTTAATATTAGTATTATATGGTGTTCCTCCTAAATTTGGAAAAAGAAGGATTTCAATAATCTCTCCAACGCTACCAAGTTTTCAAAAGTTGGTGTAGAATTTTTTGAAATATAAGTTTTAAAAAATTTGAAATTTCCAGTTCGCCCGTTATATCACAGATAATGTAAGTTTCCGCCAAAAACATCATCACAAAAAGGGCTTTTTAATTTTGTTTTCATTTTTGCGTTGGTTGACATTTCTAACATTGCTAACAAAGTTAAAAACGCCAATGCTATAACTTAATAGTCATTTTTTCTTTTGAAGACTGAAAGCCTTATTAACTTGTTTTAAAGATTTCCATTCAATTATTTAGAAGTATCCTAGAAATAAACGAGGGCGTAAAGATCAGAGATGACCAATTATTGACGAGAGCGTTGTTTACGAGGTAAGATTCAAAGACATTAAAGTCAATCTGCCACGCAACGCGCGCAAAAAGCCTATCGTCGGTTTTAATGTTTAAATGAATTATCGCATGATACAAAAAATGGAAAGGGTGTTTCACCTAAGAAAAAGATTTTTTTCACGTTATGTGTACCTTATTTTCATTTTATTTTCAAAATATTGCCACTTATTTAAAATATTTCATATATTTATTTTTGGTAGGCCAGGTGAAAATAATTTTATTTCCATTAGATTTTTTTTCTCTATTTCTTAGTTTACATTGAAAGGTTTCGCTTCTTTTGTAATATGTTTCTTTTAATTTTAAGAAATTGAAAATTTATTTATTTTTTAAATGAGATCGGTAGCAAAAAATAAACTTTTTATATCAGATGGTTAATATTTTTGAAAAAAAAATTTGAGTGAAACTATCTTGTTTTTTGTATCATGATCTTTTTTTGTTTAATACCTTTGAAAACGTAACACAATTTAATAATTTGTGATGCTATTCTCACTCTTCTGTGAAGTTAAGAAAACAAGTACCGCTCCATCTAGATTCTTAAGCTCAAACTCAAATTGATCCTTTTCGTTCTCTGTTACTACGATGGCAATCCCTAAATCGAACAGCTTACAAACGGCTAATCTTTAAATTTTACCAAAATATCGGAACTATCAATGATTTAATTGCGAAACCCCTTGCTTCGCCACTTTTTCACATCAGTTAAAGACTAAAAAAAATACAATAAAAACCCCATGATTTTGTTCATCTAAAAGTATGCGAACCAGAAACTATATATTTAAATTTAGAAAAGGTAAATGGAGCAGATATTTCATTAACTCTTAATAGAGATTTATGCCTTCCAAACAGCTAAATGCCTGACTTAATTATAAATCGAGTGAAACCATTACTTAACATATTAAAAATTTATTGGTTTGGATAAACACATGAAGTTGGATCGGTTGATAAAATAGGAGGTAGAGGAAAATTATTATCAGGGTGAACCGAGGGAGTTAATTCGCTGGAACTTTCTGAAGCAATACCACCGTTTGTGCCATTAACCGGGAATGCGACTCTTTTATTAAGATTCAGTCGGGGACGCCCAGTAGGCTGAGATACATTATTTAAGCACGGTGGATCGTTCCATCCCGGAGTAAGTGATCCTAGAAGTAAAAACTTAATAATAACTTGTCTATAAAACACCATTTAAGGCAATGGTGTAAAACCATTACGATCTGGGCGGTTAAATACCTGGAAATGGTTTAGAAGTATACAAATCGGCAGGCAATTTGTTTGCCATTAAAATTATTTGCTTGATTTCACCAAAAAAAAAGGAACTAGTTAAAGCTGACATTGCTGCTTGTTTATCGATTGTTGATGCCGCCTCCTTTCTTATACGGTATTTCTACGATAGCCCAATTACGTGTTTTGCTCTCCCAATTACGAATGCGAATTACCCCCATTCACACGGTACACAGTTTGACAGTTTTCGGTTTCGCTTGTTTGTTCCATTTAAAAACGTATGGAAAAGGAAAGATTTTAGTAAAAGTTGACAAAATCTTGAATTGAATTGGTAATCTAATGCCAGTTTCCTTAATAATTCCTTATTTTTTTCTTCTTTAATATACAAATAGTCTTTGTTTTCAAATCAATGTTATTGTGTTAGTGTCTTCTTTTATGATTCTCCTCTCTTTTGTTTTGATTTGTCAGCTGGTTTCGATAAGCATTAGAGAAGGTATCGATTTGGTCGTAATTCGCATGGGAATTGAGAACGAATTACCCACTTTTGCTGTAAGTCGCTAATGAAAATTTATATGGCGAATTAAAAAATTCGGCAAGTAATTAGAGTGCGAATTACGATTGAGAGAGCGAAACTCTGGGCTATCGTGGAAATGCCGTGCTATCTTGAAAACAAACTGCGTTCCAATATTATATGATTTCCATTTGTATTTTGACTTTAACTGAGTACAAATTTACAGATGAAACCAGTAGCATGAAATCTATTTAAAGAAATCAATTAAATACTTATTTTAACCCTTAATCAAAAATGCACTCATAAAATAATATATAAAAAATTATCAAGAACAACATCGCGTTTGTGCACAATTTTTTTAATAACATCTAAAACAACAGGTATTTTGAGTTATTTTCATTGAAATAAAAGTTAACATTGTTTTAGATATTAGCCCAAGAAGCGATCATTGTAAATCTTGAAATATCTTATCCAACGTCAAGAAGTAGATCAAAACAAATAAAACTTTTAGAAGCAAAGTTACGAAGTCAAAAATAAAAGAGGGAAGGAAGTGCTGCTGGAAGGTACAAAATATATCGTGTGGTTAATGAAACATCCTCAGACATCTTCCCCTGCTCTTATTTCTCACTTGCTTAACGTTAAAGTAAGTAGGGACAGCAGGTTTTGAATCAGTCGAATACAACTTATCGATTTTTAATTATTTTAAACTCACAACAAGGAAGTATCGTTGTTAAATCAATACACATACCTTCCATCACTATTATAAGTACATAAACATACATAAATCAAAAAACAAACTTTACATCAAGCAAATGTGTGATCTGGTGAAACTAATAAAAATAGAAGCAAAGCTGAATCAAATAAAGCCAAGAGATATATTTAGCGACGATAAATTGTACTTTAAATTATTGAAAACTTCTCAATTCAGAGTGTATTACATATATGGGCAGAAGCTATCTTCCAAATAAGATATAAAATCTAACAAACAATTTGATGGCAAGTAAATAATTAGATATAGAATGCTAAATCGTTCAGTTTAAACATTTTTTTTATTATTTTATTTAACTGCGTCATAAACTTTTTGTACCTTTGCACACACGTATGTATTTGTTTGTTTGTATATGTTTTTTTTACTTTGGTTTCTTCACTTTGTTTTGCGTTTCCATCGTTAGATTAGTGTTGCCACACTATTTACGTAAAGCAATCGTGAAATAAATTTTATATGTTGCAAAACGATACGTTATAGCCAGATAACCTAGGTTAGCAAAGTGGAAATAATGCTGCAACTATCCAACTCACGTACCAGCCGTCCATATCAACCTATCCTATGAGAGCACCAGTGCCGGTTGTCCCGCAGAAACCAACAGCGATATGATTTTTTCCGTAAAACCTGCTCGGCTCATTTCTCGTTGCTATACAAGGTTGCCAGTATAGTCTTTCTTGAAGTAATATTAAATAATCGAAGATAATGCGTAATTTTTTTTGAAAAGAAATGAAAACTAAATACGTAACTAATATTTGTTGCCGTATAGATCATGTATATTTGTCTTCCGTTTATATTCAAGCAAATAAATTATGAAATCCGTTAACGAAAATTATGAGTTTGTTCAAAAGTATGCAAACATACTGGCAGCTGGCAACATTTCGCCGCTCACAGCAACGTCGACAACTCGTGTGTATATCTCGCCTTGACGTCGGCTGTTATGGACGGATGGTAAGTAAAATGGGTAGTCACAGCATAAGGCTACGAAGTATAGTAGATAATAATTATAAGCTGATAAAATGTTTTTAGTAATTAATATTTAATTATCAGTTACTAGATATCTATTAATTTATTAAACAAGTAAATCATATTTACTATTCGTTATATTTATTATTCGTTTAAAATAAAATATTAAAAAGAAGTATGAGAGAAAACTACGATCAACTGGGCAGGGGAGAGAGAAAGCAAAGGCCACGTCAGGCTACATGAACTTTTATCGGAAACTTTAAAATTTAAGTAAAGGGGAGTTACATGAATTATACTACCGTTTTCTGCGTAAATTGTGTATGGCACCAGTAAAAACACATAGTTAATTTTGTTAAAGCAACCTTATATTGGAAACGCATATGTAGATTTAGATTGAAACGATTAATAGCATTTTTAAAGCAGAGGCCTACTTTTTTATTTTTCATTGCACATGAACTAAGTGGTTTCATAATTAATGTAGTACCACATATTAATATACCACTAGATATATCTAGTTCGGATAGGAAAATTAATCCATCGAATGGTAGGTAAATGTGTAAGTAATTGTAACAAATATTTTATTTTGTAAAATTTTCTGGCAACACTTTCGTAATTCATTCGAAAGTAAATACTGTTTGCTCTATGAATAGAGAAGTGAGATGAAAATATTAACAAAGGAAACCACAAACAGTGAATATAGCAGAAAATATTCGATTTCGTAATTTTTCTTTGTTTGTGCTTGAATAAAACGCAAACAAATACGCATTTTTCTGTTAGATATTCAAATATTTAAATACTCTCAATAGACAAATATAATAAGAACAGTACTAAACATTGAGTGATATTTAAAACAATTTTCAAATTTTAGGTATGTACATATTTGTATATAAAACAATGTCGCATTTAATATTCACTGGTTAAACCCGAAAAATTTCTTGTAATGTGCTAAAAAAAATAGGAGTGCCGTTTTTAAACATCTTTGAATGAAGATGAAGAAAACAAATGTGTTGGTATTAACGTATGTAAGGTCAAGCCATCTAAAAAATCAGCTGCTATATATAAACAATTACAACTGCATACATTTGTATTTAACTACATACAAACATCTATATACACCTTTATATAAATACATATATTATCTCAGCATTTATATTAGAACTACGTGCATACATTTGTACTTATAATATATTGATTCACATTATACGTTGGCTGTGATATCTTCTGAATGTAATTTTCTAAATACATTATCCATATATTTGCATATTTTTGAAAATTCAAAATTAAAAGAGCTCAACTATGAATCTTTGTAATTATACACCTGAGAAAATTCATACCTGTATAAAGGTGTAATCAGACTCAGACTACGCAAAGAAGTCGTTTCCTCTTTCATTAAGTACATTTTAATTTTCGAAAGTGAAAATTCATTTAGCAATGTTTCTTTCTACATGGCAAAGGTAATTACTTTTGCAACCGATTTTATTTTCCATTTTGACAGGCAAATCTGAAGCATTTTTCTTGTCATATCTGCCCGCACTTTATTCATTTGTGTATACCTATGAACAGACGTAATATATATGTATGTATACATTGAATTTCCTTACAGCTAGTACCAATAGTATTTTGCATTAGAAGACGTGTAAGGAAATTTTAGATTTTTTCCGATTTTTTCTAAATTTATTTGAAAACGCAGTTCCCGGTTTTTATAACTGTAGCTTTCTATTAAATAAATATTCAACCTTTAATAAAAAAAGGTAAGAAAGTCTTGATCATAGGTCGTAAAAGTATTTTGTTTTCACTTAAGTGCATTTAAAAATTGATGCAAGGTTTTGGGATATGTTTTATAAAATTTTGGAAAAATATAGCTGAAATATTTATCATTCTGAGAGCAAAACTAATTCAGTCTATCAGTCTCTTGTTTTTATTGAATTAGGAAATTGGTAGTTTTCGCCAAGAATATCAATCACAATTTTAATTTCTTCTTGGGTTCGTACAAGATATCTGCAATGAATACTGGCGAATTGAATAGAATTGAAGGATGGCCTTAAAATCCTTGTTTCATATATCTGTCCATATCGATGGGAAGAATATCTTAATTGAATTGTGTGAAGCTGCTTCACAATATGTATGATGTTAGAAAACTGACAATTTTCTACCCGATAAATGGTCGGTTTTATCTAAAATACTTTGTAAATATAAGAAAGGATTATCGAATGACGCGTGCTATCGCATTCAAGGCGGTTGAAACTTATAAACTACAAATGATTTTCCAACTAAAATTTATTATTTATTATGGCGGGTTACGATGAGTAGGTGAAGATTACTGCTAGAATGTATGGTGGTTATATATATCTATAATATTATAATATTTAGCACTTAAAAAAATAAATTTTTCTAGGCAGTGCTTAACCAAAGATGACTAGATTTTGGTATTTTATTACGAGCAACGACATCTTTGATTGAAATTTTACTACGATATTTTATTGAGAAACAATCAAATGTTTTCTCTTCCTCTGCTTCCACAAGCGGAAAACGCAGATTTTTGGGCATGATACGGTAATCAGCAACGGATCACGAATACGACCTAGTAGCCGCTGTCTCCTTTTTCGCTGAACTATGCCAATATCGCCGTAACTCGTACAGTTCATCGTTCCAAAAAAAAAAAAAAAAAAAATAGTATCTCCCCTGTAACAGATTTTTTGTAAAGTAACGTCAGCACCAAATCCAAATTTCTCACCCAGAGCTCACCCCTAAGCTTCATCCAACAAACTCATAGTGTAAAAGTAGGTATGGTCATCCCTGACCAACTCTAATTTTTTCCTATGGTGTCATACCCGACCTCCATTAATTGCCAAACGGCTCTGTGAATAAATTCAACGATATTATTGAACATCACCTTCCCTACTGTTCGAGGCCCACAGAGCGGACGGGAACTGTATACTAGTAACGGGATGTAGAAGCTGTATTATTTATTGTTTTGTATGTTTTTTTGGTTGTCTTGCATGCACCGAATGCATGAGTTTATGCTTTTAAATAGCATACATATATGCAATAACCGCTTAAGCGATCTTCGGCTGAGCTCTCTGCCTTGGAACATGAAAATTGAAACTCTACTCCAATGTATTAATGAGAATATTGACATTGGAATTGAATGACTGAAATAACACCACATGTATTGGTATTGGTATGTATATTCCGCCCATCAAATCGTTAAGGTTTTGCAGATCCGGACCTCTCTCATTATTAACATTCTTATGTATATATTTATGATGTATAATTAATAAATTAATATCGTCATAACTAAAACTAAATAGCTTCCATACCAGTATTTATTATATTTGGTATTGGTATTTAAATAATCACATACATTTTTGCTATCATTCTTGTTGAGACTTGACTCTTTGTTTCCGCAAGTTTATTATATTATTACAATAAAATTCCCTGCATATATTTATTTATTTTCAGAAGAGCGTAAGATCGTCTCTGACCAATTAAAATACAAGGAAAATAAGCAATAAGTTTAATACACATTGCGTTTGGAATTAAACTGTTTTGCTGTTTGGTGCGATCTTAAGCACTACGTCGGCAGAATATTTTAAAGGGAACATGTCTGCAGACTCACCACGACGCCAGTCGCGAGGTATAACTGCACCTGCGATTGTACCCCCCCAAGTTGTGAGTGATCGGTCTATATTGGACTCGGCATTTGGATTTATAAGCGACGTGACATTGGTTACTCATCAGTCTCATACAGAACCGAAAGATACTATAATTTGGGCACGATTTGAGACAGCTGCTGATATAAGCGATCCATGCTTCGGAGTAGACTGGGAAATAGAGGGCAATGTGGCGCCACCCTTGCTTTTACTTCTCGGCTATGGACTTGGTGTTCAAGTATGGGCTATACCCGCCAATGGCGAAGCAGTCGAAGTGCTCTCATGGCGTCACGGTGTTGTCTCAACCCTGCGCATTCTACCGACACCTACCCAGACAAGATCAGCGAATGAGCATGGGCGTGCTGATGAGAAAATAGATATATATGCAGATAAACGTCCCATTATTGCGTTGGTGGATAGTAGTACAGCTTGTACTCAGATGCAATTTTGCACCATGAATTTTGTCTCGCTGAAAACTGGAAAACAAATAAAGACGATTAAATTCAAGAATCCAGTCCTGGATATATTTGCAAACCGTTCATCTGTAGTTGTTGTATTCCACGAACGTATAGCAGTTTTTGATGCAAGTACTCTGGAGGATCGACTGTCAATAACTACATGTTATCCGAGTCCAGGGTAAGTAATTTACATTTTATTACAAAAAGGTGATAAATAATGGTATTTACACTTTTGTGTGTTTTAAAATATTAATGTATATACAAGAATTTCAAAGTTACTCGCAGACTTTCCACTGAAATTGTGATTCCTTTGTTCATGTTAACCTTGACATTCAGCGGCAGCAACTTTTTAAGAGGTGAAGTAACAAAGGACAATGCCTTCATTGATATAAGTACAGTTGTATAATTCCTCTTTGTTGTTGGTGGCCGTTTTTCTCACGTGTGCGTTTGCGTTTATTCCCAATAGAAGTTGTATGCTGTTTACAACGTTTAAGTTATACCTTTTTCAACTTTGCACATTCGTCTCAAGATTTAGGTCATATTTTTTGCGGGAATTATTATTATTTTTATATTTTCAATAATTGCGTTTGGATTTTATAAACGGTTATTTATTTTAGCTAGAAGTACCGATCAAACGTTGCTGTTTGTAGGAATCTAGTTTAACAGTTATAACTGGCAATTTTAAAGTTTTAAGTTTTTATTTTACGGAATTTTAAGTTTCAAATATTTTCATTTTTTGATTATTATACAATAATTTCATTTTCAAATATAAATGTTTTGTTGAAATAAATTTTTTTTAAATAAATTTTTTTTAAATAAATAAAAACTTTTATATTAGTACATACATACATATATATATCTATATGTAGATACATTTGTCTATACTGAGATTTTCTGTATACTACTCGACTTTGATAATATAATGAGTATAGTAAATTAAGTTTCAACTAACTTAAAATACAATATGGAATTTTTGAATATATTATTATTATTGGTTATCTACCTAAGGAGGTGGGATTCGCCGATGGTCAAGACGAATCGCCTTTTCAGTTTTGGAATACTTACTCACTTGGAATACTCACTGCAATAATCGAACGGTTATCACTGCCATTCGGAAGGTCAGGGATCGAGTCCTGGTCCTGCCAACATTAAAAATTATGGAATTATGATATTGGAATGAAAAGTTCCTCACTGGAAGAATATATATTGTTCACGAAAAAAATTTAGATAAATTGAAATTTACATATGAATTTTCGAATGAGCCGGTCCTTCGGCGTGAGCACCGCTTACACGACTATAGCCGAATCAACAAGAGCGGTTCATTCGCTGATTGGAGCCAGCTCGAAATATCAAGTGAAACCAGGTCGATCTCCACCTGATCCTCCACCGGCGGCTACTAGATCGCATACTTTCAAAGCTGGTCCCCTTTCATCTATTCTAACAGCCTATTGTTTCATCCAACCAACTCAGGCCAAAGTAGCACCTGCCCTCAAGGGTGATCTTGTGTTGGATTTCAAGGCTAAAATTATTATTGTTGTTAATGCTGTTCCCTAGATAGACGAAATTATCTAGGACCTCTATGTTATAAATATCAACAGTGACATGGGAGCCAAGCCTTAAATGAGCCGACGTTCTTCTCCGGCTTTGATGTTAGGTTGGCTAAGCGTACGCATATTTGCAATACTTAATCGATTTGATTGCGCGATTTTCGATCCGGCGACAACCAGACAACTTGATAGATTTTCTTGTGCGGAGTCTTTTACTATAGACAACCATATTTCGGGTCCCGGCGAAGGCGATCAGCATCAGACCCTTTATGCTGTTTCGCCATGAAGGCTGCACATCGCCCTAGACGTTCGTCAAACGGTGTGAATGCTAGTACTCGACGACAGTCTCTCTTCCATCAAAAAATCCAACACCAAATTTGAGCTCCTTTTTATGGCATACGCAGTAAATTCTTTCCTTACTTGCGTAAATTCTACACATGGCCTCATCTTCTCGGTACACTTCTGGTAAAAAAATAGGTAAAAACCATTCTCGAATCCACTTGTGACCGTCAATTAGGAGCAATATTTGGTCAGAAGAAGAGGACGCTTAAAGTTTTATTATAACCACCTGCAATGAATACACAAAAGAGTGAAAATCGTTAATGTTAACAAAATCAAAAGAAAATTATTAATCAATTATATCGTTTAAAGCATCAATCCAAACCCAGTAGCTCTTGGACAACGTTGGCTTGCATATGCTGAGCAAAGGTTGATTCCTTCCAAGCGCAGCGGTGGTGGTTGGGATGGCGAGGGTATAGCCAGTTATACGGCCACTGTGTTGAACGCAGCAAAATCTTTTGGTAAAGGGTTGAGAGAATTGGGTGAACAAGTGGCTGCAGGTCTAACTGGAACATCTAGCAGTGGCAGTATATCAAAAAACAATAGTTTCGATTCCAATAGCGGTATTGAGGCGAAACAAGCAGGCATTGTTACGATAATGGATATAGAGGTAAACGTTTAATTAATAACCTTTGCAAGAATATACATTTGTAATATTTATGTATTTTGTTTTACACCAGCAGAAACATGTAAAAGAGTATAGTCCTACGACAGTAACACCCGCCAGTGGCGTTATTGGTGACGAATCAATCATAGCACACTTTATCGCCCATTCAGAAGCTATTGTTGCTATGGAATTTGATAATTCCGGCATGTTGTTATTGACTGCCGATCGGCGTGGTCATGATTTTCACGTTTTTCGTGTTCAACCTCACCCCGTAAGCCCCAGTTTATCAGCGGTACATCATTTATATGTGTTACACAGGGGCGATACAAGTGCAAAAGTGCAAAATATTACATTTTCATTGGATTCACGCTGGGTGGCGATTTCAACTTTGAGAGGAACTACTCATGTTTTTCCTATAACACCGTACGGTGGACCAATGGGAGTTCGAACACATACGTCGTTGCATGTTGTTAACAAGTTATCAAGGTTCCATCGTTCGGCCGGCTTATCAGCAGAAGGGCGTTCAAATTCTCCAATCTCGCACTCGGATAGCACTTCTTTTATGCAGTCTCTGCAACCTTATCATAATACGACTTTACCACCATTTCCACGTCCCACAGTTGTTTTACCTTTAGCACAACTTCGTCAGCCGTTTGCACTTGGTTCTCCGCCAGGGTCTGCCGGTCTTGTTATGCCCAGTAAGATTGGTGTAAATACAAATACACCGAATGCTACACAACGTCAAAGACACTCTTCCTTATCAGATGACAATGGGAAGCCCTTGAGTGTGTGTGCTATATTTGCAAAATCACGTTCTTGGTTACTTGAACCGCCGAATATAACTCGGGAAGCATCTCATCGTGTGCAACGAAAATCAGTGGATTCTCTTTTTGTAATGGCTGGGCACGGTGCTCTTATTCAATACGATTTGGATACAAAACTCGCTTCAAGTAATTTAATTGAGGCTATGCTAACTATAAATTTAATTATTTATATATATTTTATTAACGTATTTAAATAGATATTGCCAAAGATAAAATTTGTGATGATACGCCAATTGAGCTAGAAGTCGAAGCTAAAGCCCAATGGAATCTTGGTAGGCGAAGGGATGGATCTCATGAGTTGGCTCCACCTTTAGAAAAGGATAATTGGCTGCTAAGAGATAGAAATTCTTGCTTACTAGATAGTTTGCGTCAATACGATGATTTGGAAGAAAAATCTGAAAGTTGGGTATCACAGGTTGAAATAATAACACATGCCGGACCGCATCGCCGTCTATGGATGGGGCCCCAATGTGTATTCAAAACATATAATACTCCCAGCGGGTACGTAGTTTTGTTTTTGCACATTTCAACATAAAAACTAACTAATAACATAAACATAACAAAAAAATTAACCATATAGATCCAATTTAAATCACGTTGATGTTGAAGCCGTTGAAATTGGAGTATCCAAGCCCGCATCTGCAGCCTCTACTCCGAGGTCACATCCGTTAAGTATGCCAGTAACTGCGGCTGCACGTTGCGCCCTGCCGGTGCTAATCGAATCGGGCTCTTACAGTCAGTAACAAATCGGGTTGTTTATTTGAACTGAATTTTATTAATTTTTTTTTTTTTTTTTGAATATTAGGTAGTATAGAGCAAAGCCCCAAATTAATGGATCGATTTCGTCACGAGCACTTGGATTCTGATTTCGCAATGGCACATGGTGATTCTCGACTAAAGGAGGACTTGGCTGATGCTATGCGTGAATCTCCCTCTGTCTCAGAGGCTCAAAAAATTACTTGTAAGTAAAATTTATTTTTTAATATTGTGCAGTGGTGCATGCTTTCCGTGTTTTTGAGTTTATTTCCTTGAAAGACGGACTTGAAAATCCACAACAAGACTAAAAGAATATACAGCTGATATAAAATATGGGTATTCTCCTATGCACCATGTTTGTTACATGTACTCAAACTTAATTTGACATATTTTTCTACTGAGTTTAAATTTTGGTGTCTTTAATTTAATTTGGCTCAAATAGAGCGCTTATGAAAAAAATTAAAAATGTGTAAGAAAACTTGGATTCTTTACTAATATGCTCGACCATTCATACAAGGATGACTTTTAAAATATAATGTACTATGCTATATGTATGTGTTTAATGAAATCTTATTTACTGAACGCTTGTTAACACAGGCCGTTTCTGTAGTTTTAAAACTTAATTTATTATATTCATATACGTTAATATGCGTATATATGTTTAAACATATCCATTTTATTATTTTTTTTTTTTGCTTTTAAACCATACACAAATTACTAAGCAATATTGACGTCGTTTTGAAGTCATTGACTGAGGGTGAGTTCGAAAACGTCAGTTGCAAAGCAGCCATACATTTTGATGCTTTCCTAAATGCAACTGTTAAAACTTTGGCCATGTGTCATGTTCCAAAATGTTTCGGTAAAGTTATTGATGCGCAAACAAAAGCAAACTGCGCATCGCCAAGGTTTGTGACGCATAATTCATCTTTTAAGCATTATTACTAAGATATTATTTTACCACTTCTCTAGACATTTCACTGAAAAGCAACTTATTTGCACGAAAAGCATTCCGAAATATCAGCGTTTGCAAAGTATTGTTGCTATGTAAATGATCATCATTACAAAATATTTTTCTCCGAAAAAAGTAATATGTATATTTTAAAAACACATGACAGGTAGAGAGAGGTTTCCAAAAAAGTAAACGAACGCAAAATTATCTACTATTATTCAGAAAGCTAAAACATCAGCTATTTTTTATTTTGTGATTTTTCGCTTTTTACAAATAAAACTAAAAATTTAATTGAAAATGACCGGAAATTGGAAGCTAGATGTGAAATGCTCACATGGAAAATGAAATGCATCAATTTGTTTATAAAATTTTCTTCAATAGGTTAATATGAATTTGGATGCTTTGTTCATTTTTTCTGAAATTCGAGTAATTTCACATACTAAAGTTTTATATGAGTTTCCAGTTTAAAGTTCTCCATGTTCTCGATAATCATCACCAACACTTTCAGGTACACTTAGTCTGGAATTATAATAGTATACATTTTTAATATTACAATCCGTAGTTCAATGGTAAATTATGATAAATTGGAGAATTCTTAAACATTCAATTCTCATGATAGGAACCAGGGAATCCTAAAAATGCATTAATACATTTTTTCTTTTCATTGCATTTCCGGTCAATATAGTCGTATATAGTTTTATTACGATATGGGTCCCTTCAATGTACCATAAATTGCAAATACTAAAATTACATTTTTATAATGTCTTAGTTTCATGTCTTACCTGTAGCGTTGGAAAAGAAACATTTGCTGGCAAAATTTTGCTTGACTCTGCTTCTGTTGGGAATTTCATGATGTTCGGGCTCATAGAACTCATAAACATAGTAACTCTATTTATTATCAGTGGTCCGTAAATGTTCAAGTATTGTCAAATCTTTGTGGTCGTTATTCCTGAAGATGAAGAGTCCTCAAAAAATTAAGTTATTAAACACGCAAATTCGTTCACTGCCCGTACAATATTATCCATTACCGTAGCAGGGGTAAGAGATCTATCCGTTACTAAATGGCATCTATGTATGAAAAATTAGTTAGAACTATGTTTAAACGCTTTGATAATTGATTTTCATACAATTACTTACCATTTTGGTTATATATTTTCTTTCGTTTTTTTTTCTTTTTAATTGCTTTGTTTTATATTTATTTATGTACACCAAAAGCGATCATATGCAAAAATTTATTTACAAATAATAGTTTCTCCAATTTGTATAAATTATAAAAGTGTTTCAAAATTTATGTGATAAAGAACGGAGGCACATATATTGTCAGAAAAATAATTTGGTGCCAAATGTATATTAAGGGAAACCCAGCCAAATTCAGATAAGGTGAAGTTGGTAGCACAGCGCTTTTCTTCTTCTATCGTTTACAGGACTTCCAGAGTGGTAAAGAAAGAGTATTTTTGATACTAGTTTTCTTAATATTCAGTACAATTCAATTCTTTATTGAGTCAATGATTTTACAAATCTAGCCATGGATGATTTAATATTTATAAACATACTCGTACATCGGAAAATATAAAAAGGTAGGGGATTAGAGAAATGAAGTAGAGCAAGAGCAAAACGAATGTACCTACGTTGGACGGTTTTGTGTCTAGAGAAATGTGTAGAATAAATTCAGCTAGCAACTCCAGCTTTGAACGAACCATAGAATTATAAAGCATTTTACGTTTGAAATCACCATCATACCGCCGTAAGAAAACAAGGTTAGAATAACTTTTAGGACTAATACAGTTGATGTGATTAATGATGGTTAATCCTGCATGAAACAACACCTAATCCTAAATTTATTAACAGAATATATCCTATTAACAAATAGATAATAAGTCGACCTGAGCACTTTTAAACTCTTTGAAAAGGTAATGTTAAAACATTTTTTGATATTAAGGTGCAATTTATTTCTAATACTCCAATTAGCTAAATTGTTAACATGCTGCTGTAATAGTAAATATAACGAATCGGAAATACAACGAATGCATTTAAATAGTTTTTAATCGCCTGCACAAAGAAAGAAGTTTGAATTTCTAAACCACTTGACCACTTGACAACTTTCTCGAAAAGGTTCGAAAAGAAAAGTCAGGTTAGAGATAGTGGCTATTACTCGGGAATGATTATATAATATTAAAATACATTTGTATGTCGTCGGCGATAGCCTTGTGGTTAGTGTTGTTGTTGTAGCTGTTCGTTGCCGATAGGTTAGTCGTGTGTACGGCCATTATACAACATTTTAAAATTAATTTAGGTAACAAATTTAGATAATTTTTTAATAATATATAAAAATACAAATTAATTAAATAAATTTTGCGCTCAGCCCATTTTATAGAAATGTATTTTCTTACGTTCTGTTCATTATTATTTCTATTAAGATTAAAAATTCGATTTATCCAATAAGTCCGTGTAATTCATGTGTTTGTTTTAATGGAACACCATATTTTTGTTTTGTTCCCTTAAATGGAAAACCCATAACAACAAATGAATTGAAAATAATCAAACTTAACTTTTTACACTTTCATGTGACTACTGCGCTTTTTTTAACTACAAAGCTATACAGTATGAAAAACTGCCGAACAACTTGACTTCAGCAAAGCTATCTTTTCAGCAAATATGCGATTTGTATAAGCAGTATTAACTCATGCAGTATCAAGTTCATTAATCTATAATGATCATTGGACTTGTGGCGAAATGGGCAGCTGAATATTTGAGATTTGTTTTAGACCTTCCCTGTTTGAAATAAATATTGGTGTATAATCGATACTAAAAACTGTGAATTTGTTGAAAGAAATATCATCAAATGTACACATTGCGGCATCAGTTCCTACCCAGCCCGCTTCGCTACGGCCGTTACATTTAAGGCGTGCATAAAGAGTTTTTTTTTGTTTTTTTTTTTTAGTTAAAAAGTACTGAACTGTATATATTGAATTATTTGTTTAGGTGTTTAGGTTATACTTGCAACAAAAATATGTATATAATAAATTCGACATGAGACCAAAGTATAAAAGTAATACAACATAAAATGCACTCTGAATTGTTCTATATCTTTTGCTCTACTCCCACCAAATACCTTTTACCTATTATTACGTTTAAATAAATGTATAATTGAAAATATTGAGGCATTGAAAGAGAAGAACAGAGAAAAATAGTTACAGAAAAAGCCAAAGGAAACGGTACAATTTATTAATTCAGTACTGCAGTGTCTGTTGTTGATATGTAGGGTGTTGAACGCAGATAATAACTAAATTGGCTTAGCATGGAATCTTTTATTATATTGATTGGCAAATGCTTTCTATACACTTGCTTACGCACCTATGTATGTACATCATTTAGATTAGATCCACATATTTAGACGAGGAAATTTCATAACTTTTGGTTCTCTTAAGTTACATTTTTGTGTTATATTGCTTTGCTTTGGCTAAAATTTGTTACTTGCACTGCGTTTGTCAAAACATGAATATTAACCTCTTGTTTTTGCTGAAATTGAACTTCTAATTTTATACAATTTAAAGAAAAACTCTTAAAGTTAATTTATATATGAAAATAGTTTTATTTAATAAAGGATAACGGATTAATGTGCAGACACCACGGCACTGCAAAAAGTAATTTACGACGATAAATGCCTTTGGCTTTTTGTTAATGCTTCTTTCTCACGATATATATTTTTTTTCTTCTCTTCCTCTGTCTTTCCATTGAAGGTCGATTAGCTTCTGAGGTTGCCTCGTTTGATAATGTTTCCTTCTACGATGCCCGCACAGATCCAGATATTGGTGATGATGATACCGATTTCAGCCTGAAGTCCATGCTCTCTAATCCCTCCTCTCTCGGTTCGGCATCAGAAACAGTGACGACAATGAGTGATTGGAATTTAGTTTCTGATGTCGAGGCCGAAAAATGTAAAAAACCTCAGCTTTTTTCAAATGCGTTAAGAAAACATTCTGAATTTCCAAAATCTTCCACTCCTTCAGTAGAAAAAGTGGTAAACCCTCTGGGAACTGTAACAACTATTATTTCAGGCAATTCAACCGAGATGAAAAGAGATATTCTGGATGAAGTGGCTTCACAATTAGCTGCTGAAGAAATTGTTATACATGAAAATTGTGATGAGTCTCTGTTTCGTCCGGTTGTGACAATATTTTGCGATGATAAGAAACTTAAAAGAGCTGGAAAGCAAGAAGCGCTTTATAACGAAGAATTTTGCAAGCCTCCTGAGCCTATAAAGGATAAACTTATTGTACCGGTTATAGCAAAAGAAATAGATGCGGCACTAAGCAAAAAAGAGAAGGACCAGAATAGTGGTAAAGTAAAAACGAAAAACTTCTCGAAATTAAGCAAGCCAACAGCGCAAAGTAAGAAGCCAACTCAAGAAACTTTAAACCACAATGCAAACAAAATGCAAGATAAAATCAAATGCGACCCAGATCAAACGCTAAAAACTTTTCCCGAAAACAACAAAAGTGCTGGTACGGAAAAAACGGACCTAACTGAAAATAAAATAGGTAGTGTTAAGACCAAAAAACACGTAAAAAAAATGCCAACATCCGATGAAGAGCCAATTGAATTTAAACGAATGACACCTTTGCCTATAACAAAAACTCGAAATCAGCAATCACTTGTAGTTGGTGGTGAATGCAGCAAATTTGAATCATCAGAAGACTTACCCATAACGGAATGCAAGGACCCACCTTCACTCGGATTAAGAAAAGCTTTTAAAAAAGAAATGTCTTACAAAGAAGATAACATTCAAAGTAAATCAGAAGATAGATCTTTAGATGAAAAAAGTGATGAATTTCCAACCCATGAAAATGAAGTCCAGAACATAAGCCTTTCACCAAACGTTATACAATCAAAGGAATCTATAGAAAAACCCGAACATAGCTCTTCTGTAATGAATAGTGAGAACATTTGTAAAGAGATGAAAAGCTTATGTTTATTAAGTAACGAAATAAAAGGTGGAGAAGTTGATTCGGAATTGGAAATTAAGACAGCTTTTATAAAGAAGCCATGCGATAAAGAAGACAACAACGAAGCTTCGACAAAAAAGATGCAGACAAGCTCAAACAAAAATATTAATATAAATGATATAACGGAATCACCAAAATCCAAAGCATCCAAATCAATAGACTTGGACAAGGTGAAAAAACAAAATAACTCACCAACAATCAAAAGCCCAGAAATAAAAGTATCACAAATTGTGAATAATAAATCAAATGAAATAAAAAAATCAGATGTTAAACAATGCTCTGTACTACGGCCGTCAGCGGAGAAAGAATTTTTACAAGAGCAAGGGGGAATAAAAAAAATTACTCAATCAGAATGCTGCCAAGAAGGGAAAGGAGTTATTGAAAGTAAAATTACTAAAGTTGAAGATAGCAAGGTTAAGATTTCAAAAACGAAATCTTCATCTGATTATGTTTTTGAGGCGACTTTGAAAGAAACAACTCCAATAATCTCAAAGGAATCTGCCAAAAATTTTGAGGCAATCGGTGCTGAAAGAACCGAACAAAAAACTTATTCTACCTATCTGAAGGATGTAATGGAAATAAAAGAATGTATGCAATCAAACTCAGAAAATTGTGAAAATTTGCGAGTTTCAAGCCCAAAAAATTCAGTATGGAGGACAGCGAATATTGAAGACCGTCTAGAATCAATTAAATCGATCGACAATTATCCAAGCTTGGGAACAACAGGTAAATCCAAGAAAAGTCTTAAAACCAAAGAAGTTGTAACTGAACAGAAGATAAGCATAGATGCAGACTCGTATACCGAACAAAAACCTTGCGTAAATTACTCAAGTTTAGGAGCAATCAGTAAAACTAAAAAATCTGCCATTAATGAAAATTCGTATTCCAAACTGAAACTGAAACTGATTGAAAACATCCAATGTACGGAAATGAGTGGTAAAACCAATGATAAAAAAGGTATTGCAGAGCAAAGCAAAGGTAAACAGAAAGCTCTTGAAAAACTCGATACTGGATTAAAATCCGATGAAAACAAATATATAGAGGGAAAGTGGGCATCATCTTTCGATGGACTTTCTTCATTGCAACCGCTGGAAACATTGCCTCCGCTACCTACCTTGGACCACTTAGATATGCATTCATACAGTGCATTCTTAAAAGAAAAAGAAAATAAATCATCAAAAAAGACCAAAGATAATACCAATGAACAATTCAGTTTGATTAACTTTGATAGTCCGTTACAAGAAGATCCGAGACAAGACCACAGAGTTATTTCACCATCAGGAAGACTTAGTGAACAAAATATAATTTTTGCTTTATGTGGGTCGCTGCACTATGAAAATGAGGACTATGAAGATAAATCTATGGATTATGAAACAACATCCAAATCTGAGTTAAGAGAACAACCAATGCCGGAATATAAATTACTCAACGAGAATGAAGAGCAATATTTGAGTTTAGAGCATAGTTCTCAAGAAACCAACACAACCAATACAGTTACAACCAATGAAAAGTCATCTAGCTCGGCAAATTCTTCAACATCCGAGGAAATAGTTATTATTGAAGAGAAAAAATTAAGCAAGAAACAGAGACGAAAAAGGCAAACATTAGAAGGAAAACATCAGATCGAGGAAGCTGTTGGTTGCAACGATGACGAAGAGTTATGTCCACTAATTGGTGTAACAAAACCAAGTTCGGAAATCGAAGGATCCTCTTCGTTGCCTACTTTTAATAACATAAATGTTCACATGCTAAACGACAATATCGTTTTAAGACCCGATTTAGTTGCTCGCTCATCTCCAACTACAACTACAGATAGTGAAGGACCCATCCCAGCTACTACTTCGGATGAAAATATTTTCATTTTACCAACAAATGTGGCTAACAATAATGCTCCCACAAAACTGAAAACAAAAAGACTAGAACATAAAATTAATCTTATGGCCGCAATAGATGCTGCAACATCGTCTTCTACATCTTCCGCCGAAGAAGGCAATGTGGAAGCAGATAGCCGCAAAGCCGGGTCCGATCAAGAACTGCCATCTCTTGGTGCAAGCATATCGCCAGTCCAAATAATTTCAACCAATGTAAATTTGGTTACACCGTCATGTACAACAAAGAAGAAAACCAAGCGACGCAAGAGATAAGAATTAGTTCTCGCTCTACTTTGTATTTTATGTGTAGTCATTACATATTATCTCTATAACGCATACTACGCTGCTAATGGGGGTAGTGAAAGAATTTTCGTCAAAAGTTAATATAGTAATTATTATGCATGCATGTATGCATATACGTATGTAAAACAACCAATTGTAAATATAACTAAGAATAAAATTATTAAAAATATGTTTGTATTGTATTAATAGCGAGGTTAACTGCTGTCACTTGGTAAATATATGAATATCATAATGCATGTGCTACAATATGTTCTGAGTTGTAACAATATAACGATTGGGATCGTACAAAACATATGTAAACATAATATAACAAAAAGAAAAGTATTTATTTTGGTTGATAAGAATCGGAGATTATTGCAAATATTGTAAAATCTCTACTCACCTCTCTGAGGATGGTTCGAACTTGTGGGTTTCGTGAACACTTTTCGTTTACTTAGATATCGGTTATGTTTGGTTTGAGAATCAAATCCATTTATAACCTGTTCGTTATGTTTAAACCAGTCGCCCACATCTTTCTTTAATAATAATACATATACAAGGTCTCATTTAATAACCATATATACACTTCACAAAACACATATATATATATACATATATAAATTTAAATATATTTACATACATATATACATATGTCCTCATTGCATTTTTTGAATTTGTTAAATAAGTCGATGCTTTCCTTGTTTAAAATTTGATGTCGGCTTAACTTTTCGTGACAAGAATTTATATCAAATTTGTAAAGTGGCAAATATCATATATATTTTAATTATTATATAATATAAATATATAACTAAGTTTCGTCAAGTATAAATAAAACGAAATTAACAATTACTGTAAGTGCAATTTTCTTTATCTCATTTATTAAGAAGTATTTACGATGGTCAATACAAGTGTATCCCAATTAAAATATGAATACGGCAAAACTATCTTTGAAATGCAGAAACATCACCAGGAGAACGGAAGCCAGTAAGAGCTGGCGAGTTAAAATAGCGATTTTACGAAATAACTTACGAGTGAACCAAAAGTTATGTAATCGTTTTATGAACAAATTCCAAACACTTAATTTCCACTTTTTACATCAATCCGTTAATTTAGAGGATTTTCACAAGACAATAAATCGACTTGGGCTTGCTTTTTAAAATGAGGAATATCGAAACTTAATTGCAGCAGTCGCACATGGCATGATGGTTAGACGTAAACAAATTTCAGTATCGACATGTGACCGCTCTGAAAACAGTTTCGGCAACTTAATATCCTGTAATTGCAGAAAGAAAAAGTTCAGTGTATAACGGCGCTTTTTATCTGCAAATTGCATTCCGTAATTATATTTCCAATTGCTTCTACTGCATTGAGAAATAAACTAATTTGCTTTACTTGTTTTTTTTTTACATGTTACTTTCTAAATGTTTCATTTCGATAGCAAGCCAAAATGAATTAATAGCTCTGCCTTAACGTTTTTGTAGCTGAAAAGTGGTTTTGAGTGTTCATTTTGTGAAATTTTTCGTAGCAAAGAATAATACTATTTTTTGCACTTTTTATATCAATAGCGATTCTATGTACTAGCAGTTAATTAGTTTTTTAATTTTGCATATTTTTATGTGGCGTAAAAGGAATTTATTGCTAAAAAATATAATTTTAATTGAGTTTTTTCCACAAAGTTATCGATTTTTGATTTGGCATTATACCGCGCTGAATACTAGGGCTATTTCGAAATTTGCTAGTTTGGATGCTCTTTTTTAAAAAATACTCGATTAAAATAAAATAACTAATAGCCCATAATAATAATAAATTTTTATATGTATATATATTGATTATTTTATTTATTGATTCAACGAATTTAGAGCACCTCAGTCACGTTCAAAGTAATATATAAAATATGAGGAGCAGTATGTAGACACAAAGTAAACAAGAAATCTCTTCAGATATCTTGCCTATTTACTATTATAGTTATTACTAGCTAAAATTTATGCAGCAGAAACAAGCGACTTACCCCCAAACAAAGGTCAACTTACTCTCTCAATTTTCCTTTTTTAATGAGTTGGAACCTCTCCTATGAGCTCCAAACATTAGAAAAAATTTTAATATAATGTAGCTTGAATGATTGATTTGATTTAAAATGAATGTCAGTTTCATTTAATAATGTTTTGTAAAGTGTTAACAGATATACATATGTATAAGTCTAATCCTCGTAATTTTTGTTCTCCATTAAATTTTAGGCTCTGGATTAACAGCGATTAGAAAGGAAATTTCTGAAGCTATTGAGAGAAATAAAAGTACATGTGCCAAAAATCGAGATAGCAGTGGATCTGAACGAGAATTACAGCTTCAGAAACAAATCAAAAACTCTTGCGAAGCTAAAGGAAATGAACATCTGCTGGACACTTCAAAGCCCCTTAATTATACACTTATAAATGCCGATCCTAGTAGAAATACTTTGGATACAAATTACTTTCATGGAAAAGGTGGTGAACAAAATACAATTATCAACATTGATATTTTTGATGATCAAATTAGCGTCAGAAGCCTACAATCATCCTCTTCCCTAGACCTAAACGGTATTCTAGATAACAACCTTATGGGATTTCCAGCAAGTGGTGAAACTGTTGACGAAGAGAATGCTAGTTTTTTTGGCGAAATCGATTGTGGAAGTAGCCTATATGATGGTAATGATCGGGTTGAAACGAATAGCGATAATTCTTTGTGAGAGTTAATGAAACGATCTTCGCGTTTAGGCGTCTCCGCAATTAGTGGCAGCGCATATATCAGTAAAATCTACAGAAATATGTTTCACAATTCAACATCGAAATAAGTTCATTGTACATGATGTGTGTTTCATTCAAATTGAAATCGAGTGGAATATATGATAAGTGATATACATCTATAAAATGAAATATTTTTGTATATGTTGAAGAAATGCTGAGAATAAGTCCCGTGTTGCGTGCATTTATTTAAATTTCTTTTGAATTATTAGATAAATCTCGTTTCAATTGATCTTTTATGTAGTGAAACTTTATAAGATCACATAACAGCATATGATGTAGGATTGAACTGAAAAGGGGACTGCGGGCTGTGAATTTTCTTCACTGCTTTATAACTTCAATGTAAACGAAAAACCTCTGGCCATACTTCTCTGTACCAAACATAAGAATAATTCCAATTTTTTATAAACATTATTAAATTCTAGATCTTAAATCTCATTTAGACATGAAATTGTTTTCACAATAATTTTCACATACTTACAGCATTATACAATTTCATAAATGTATTTACATAGTGTAATGCATAACGCACGTACTGTTATATGTAATTAAATAATCTAAAATCGAAACAGATTTTTTTCTCTGCAGATATTTATGTTTGTAAATTAGTAGTCATTGATATTTTGTTAGCTACGAGTGTTTTCGGTAGTCTTCCGTAAGACAAAAATATATTATTCATTCCTTTGGGCAATTTTAAACAATATTATAAGAATAGCATGTTTAAGATTATATTTTTGCACACATGCATATACAATCCATATGCACACATATGTATAAATTTTTCAAATGTAATTTGGACTGAGACGGAAATGCGCAATTATGAAATGAAGAAATGAGGAATACCATATATATACATATGTACTTCACTACAAAAATGAAGTATGTATATTATGACATTTTATAAATAACTAAATATAAAAAATGGTTATTGAGAGTTATGGTAACTCATAAGAGCATAGTTAATAATTATCGCCTTTTTAATTTTTTATTAATATAGGTATATACTTAAAATAAAATATGTACATATATGTTTGTAGATTCTATGAATTATACTATTATAAAGTTAGCATTATGTAATTTTGCATTTTGTCATAAAGTAAAACTCTATGTAATTTATGTAATTCTGCAATAAAATTTTTTAAATATGAGTTTAATATTTTTTTCAATAAGTTAAACTTTACTTGTACGGGTAACTTTACGTGAAACGCTCAAATGGATGATTGTCATTTCCGCAACATAATGTTTGAAAGTTGAATTTTTTTCAGCAGCTATTTCAACCGTATAATAAAAAACCGTCAGCCGTTCGGAGGCGGCTTAGTATAAATTGAAGGTCCGCCACTTGTCGGAAAATCATCAAGACGCAAAATCACAAATTGGAAAAGGAGCTCGGCCGAACATCGTTTCAGCAGTTACAAAGAGCCAATTATTGTATATATATTTTATATACGTCTGTTCATGAAATTGATGTTATGTTTAATAACGTCACACGGTATGTGTTTGGTCTTTCCAAATATGAACATGCCTCGTCTTGGAGAAATCAACTTTTGGGATTATGACTCCATCTCCAATCTATATATATTTCAAGTTTTCTTTTACTCGATCCGTTAGAGTAGGTAATATTACGAAAGTTTAACAAAAGTTCGTTCCATACCGAACATTTTTCCGTAGAGGAAGGGCCCCTAAAAGGCCGACCAAAATCTTCTACTGATGATGTCACCGTAGCTCTGGTGAAGTCCGAAATTTGCTAGATCTAAATTTTACTCCCTGCGGTAGCATCCAAATAGGAACTGCTTGCACAGCAAAGGATTATGCTCCTTAACTCGTAGCATGGATGCTTCGTTGTGCAGGTGATACTCCGGCGACATCAGAAGGTTTCCTGTCGCGGTCCTGAGTGCAGCGTTTTGACAAGTCTGTAACTTCTTCATCTGCGTCTCGTTCGTCCACGGCGCCCAGATCGGTGCACCATGCACCATAGTTTACAACCGGCCGGCCAATTGTTTATAAGTTGCCAGCAAGGCTTCTTTATCTTTAGCCCAGGTGCTGCCGGATAGCGCTTTGAGTATTTTGTTGCGGCTCTGAAGTTTTGCGGCAATTGCGGTCGTTTGCAGAGTGAAGGAATGCAGGCTGTCGAGTGTGACTCCCAAAACTTTGAGGTTATTTATAGTCGGAATTTTCATCAACCTTCATATCTAATTCGAGCCTGTATATCGTCGGTTGTATATTAAGTTGTCTTGCAGTGAATAAGTGGGACAGGTTCACTTTGGAACAAAGGCCATCAATAGAGGAGAGTTTTTGGACGATAAGAGGGCGAGCTCCAAACGCCAAAATACCTTGTATTGATACAGTTGCGAAACCGCATTATTATTGTACTATGCAACCTTGCATTCTATAAATTTGCCATGCAACAATACTTTGCAAACTCCGCGAACTCAAGTAAGGTAATGTTTGAAGAAAATAATTTAATATTTTCCTTACATCGAGTACAATTAGGCTGGTCAAAGGCATTTTGAGGACCTTGGTGAGGAAGTCTTCTCCCGCTGGTCCTAGGTTTTTTAACATCAGCATGCTTATTGCGCCGGTGCCGATTTATTTGGAGGCTTTCGCCTTCCCGTTGACCCCCTGAACCTCTTCTCTGGAGAAATCAAGCGCCGAGCTGGTGTTTGGCAGTTTGCACAGGCGCCGGGTTACTTGTCCCATCGTTTTGTCTACCAAAGGATGCAGGGTAAAAAGTCAACTAAAATAGCTCACACATCTCTTCGGGTCTGGCGAGGCGCGTTCACCGAATGAAATTTCCACTCGGTCATCGCCTCTCGCCAGATTAGACAACGATTTGACAGTAGCCCAGAGCTTGGTTGCTCCAAAGAAGAGATTACAGGGCCGTTAGTACTTCTCCCACTTTTTCCACTCATGGTTGTTAATCTCCTTAAACCTCTGATTAAGGTATCTCCGGGATTAGCGTTACGAAGAGTGTTTGTTGCTAAAACCGCGCTTCTGTCGGGATGAAGCGGGCGGCAGAAGCCATGACAATTCTGCGGAATAAACGTTTACCAGATGTGACGTCTGATGGAGTGGGGAGAGCAAAGAAGGCGCTCTCAGTAAATTTCGTGAATCCGGACCAGTTAGCTTTTTTAAAGTAAAAAAATGGCGGTGGAAGTAAAGAAAGAATTTGTAAGAGGCTTTCTATATATTATAAATAAAAAGGGAATAGTTGTAATTGTTTACTTTTTTCGGCGGCAATATGATTTTATCTGTAAAACCGGTTCGGATCATTTTTCTTTGCTATACAAGGTTGCCAGTATTGATTTTTTAAACTTACATATTATATTAAATAAACTAAGAAAATTACAGCAAAACCCATTTTACTTATTCAATTATTTATTACCATATAAATCATGTGTATTTGATTGGCTTTTATATTCAAACATATAAATTATTAAATTTATTGACGAAAATTATAAATTTGTACAAAAGTGTGCAAACACACTAACAGCTGGCAACATTTCGCCGTTGTCAGTAGCGTCGATAACTCGTGTATGCATATCGCTCTTCCAGTCGGGTGTTATGGACGGAAGGTAAGTTTGATGGGTAATTGCAGCATAATGCGGTATCACATCGTGTCAACGTCACTTCGACCCAAAATTGGTATTGAGACGATGACGACAGCTCATCTATAAAAAATGTCGCGGTCATCGAGCATACCAAAAATTACAAAATCACGAAGAACTGCAGGTTCAACTGTACACTTGCAGTACGCATTCTGGATTTGATTTGCTGTTGGTCACAGCTTCTTGAAGTGGGTAAAGAGTTACTAGTTTGCACCATCCACCAGCTGTTGCATTGTACTTGACTTTCTTTTTTAATAGCTCTTTTCGCATTGAATTTGTTATTCCGCCAGGCCTTAATATGGTCCTTTGAAGGTAGAGCCCCAGGATATGTAAGACCAGTTCTAGCCGAGGCGGATAGAAACGTCTTACTCATGCCTATTCCTTTACACTTCCTCATGTGTCACTGCTACTACACGTAATGCATAATCTGTTTGCATGGTATGACAATAGGTTGTGGCCAACAACTGTGTTGAAGTACTTACGCGAACGTGTAAGCAAGAAATGGTTGTACGCTTTACTGCTTTTCCATATGATCTTGGTTCGGCTTTTCGGCCCTGTCTAGTGTTTCCTTGCTCTTAACGACATCTATCTCAGTAGTTACTCCATAGCAAAAATACTGCAGTACTCTGAAATTTCGAAGAGTTGCTTTAGGTCTAGCATGTACTCTGGTTATTCATTTTCTGTGAAATTTTATTTTCTAACATACCAAAATGAGATCGCTTTCTCTAATTGGAGACCCAATGGTATTTCATTTTTAAAATGCCTACCACTGCAGCATAAAATTCGCTGGAGAAGTACCCTTTGCTTGAAAACCTCTCAAGAAAAATACGTATAGATACGTCCCTAAAAAACTTCTACAATCGTCTTAAAAAAATGTATTGAGAAATATATATATATAATATATATTTTTATGTATACCTATAGTTTATCCTAAGCCGTCACCGAACGGCCAATGGATTTATATTAGTGATACACTTGGAGGACTTGATATTATCTGCCGAAGGGATTTTTGGGGAGAAAAGTTATGAGGAAAATTTATGGTCCTTAGCGCGAACAGTGGAGCTGCACGAGATATTCGGCGTTATTGCGTAGTTCAGCAAATAAAGTGGCAGCAGCTCGAAATCGTTTTGAGCCAACAAATCAATGAGGTTATAAATTCGAACGATATCTAAACTTTCAAAAGTATTGTTGCAGAACTTCTAGTTTTGGTACATACTTTCAGCAAAAATCAGTAAATCGTTTGCTCGGAACGATGACGAATGACAAGTGCTGCACAGAGTATTTATTATATAGTAAGTAGGAGTATTGTGATATAGGTAGTTTGTATCCAAACAGACAGCCAGATATTGCGAAATCATTATACACCCCTACCACGGATATACGAGGTATAATTAAAAAATAACCATGATTTTCAATATTTTCAAAAAGTATTGATATATTAATCAATAACTACCTTGATTCCCATCAAAGTAATCCCCCTCAGGTATAATACACTTATGCCATCGTTATTTTCCAATCCTCGGAACACTTCTGAAACGCGTTTTGTGGCATAGAAAAACACTTTCCTTTCATAGGTGTTTTCAGTTTTGGGAAGAGAGAAATGGCAGTCAAACAAGCATCGATGTATGAGCTGGTGCGTTATCATGGTGCAAAATCCATGATTGGTTTTCCACAATTCTGCACGCTTCGGCGCATGACTTCTAGATAGTATTCCTTATTGATGATGCACCGCGCCATTCCAGTCGAAGAAACCAGTGAGAGAAACCTTCACATTTTACCGAACAAGCGAACAGGACGAGCATTGACATTGACATCTTCTCGACCTTCCTTAAACCGGGTATATCACAATTGAAGTTGTGTTTTGCTCATAGTAGACCCGGCAAACGCCACAGTCAACATTTCAATTGGCCTTGTGCATTTAATTTCATTTTTTACACAAAACTTAATACAGTTTCTATGATCCATTTTTTCGAATAGTAAAAAATCGAAGAGCACACCAAAATACGACTAACCTTTTTATCTGTCAAAAACAAAATGACAATCCAAAATGGCTGTTATCACCACCATATATAGCAGACCAACAAAACAGAAAAAAAGCGAAATTTAAAAATAACGGATATTTTCTGAACACACCTCTTACATACATACATACATATGTAACTTGTTTTCTATTGTTTTTAAGGCTTCTTATGAAACAAGTGTAACATAGATGACGACATTTATCAATCATTTTTAATTTCATACTTACATACATGCATTTATAAATAAATATGTTAAGCAACGTAAGATACGTGTACATTTCACGGATACCGTGGCGAAATTTAGAAATGATTCAAACGAAATCCCCTTTGTTAGTAAATGCGAGCGGGAAAAGGTGCGAGAAGCAAGCAAAATAATCAAAAAAATGAGTTTGACAATTTCTTTAACGAAAATGAATAAGCGGAATGCGAGTGAAAAGTGACGATGATGTGATGTTTTACGTTAAATTGTAAATTCTTTTTTTCTTCATTCAAATTCTAAATTCCAACAACCAAAAATTAATTTAGAATTATTTGTATTATATATTTATAATCAAATACAAAGGCATAAATTTATTTCGTTTTAGCTCTTACAAAAAATACGCCAATATTTGGGTAATACTTCTTCTAGCCATTACTGGCGTTACTTTGGGTTTGATTATTGGATTGAGAAGTAAGCCGAACATTCCATTAAAACTTGGTTATGGAGCTGTTGTTTCAAATGGTGATGGCTGCGCAGATGTTGGTGGGTAAGTCGGAATACAATAACCGAAAAAACATTAGCATTACTGCAAGAATTCATCTCAATATAGAGGGATCTTAAATAAAGGGGGCTCTGCAGTGGATGCCGCCATAGCTACATTGTTATGTGAAGGTGTTGTGCTGCCGCATAGTATGGGTGTAGGTGGCGGATTTGTGGCTACGATTTATTCTAAGGAGATGGGAAAAATTGAAACATTAATCGCGCGAGAAACGGCTCCGGCCGCCGCAGATGAAAATATGTTTATTGATAGAAAAATTACAGGTAATGCACTGCTTACGTACATACGTGTATGCATGTACATCACTTGCAAAATATAGTAACTAAACCTATATTGTTTAACAACAAAAATAACAACATTAACTTGAACATTTTTTCAGGCGCTATTGCCGCTGCTATACCGAGTGAAATATATGGATATTATTGTTTGCATGCCAAATTTGGCAAATTGCCTTGGAAGATATTATTTGAACCAGCAATTGATTTATGTTTTAACGGTCTTGCAGTATCAAAATATTTGGCGCAGGTACTGCAGCTATATGGCGACCACATACGAAATGAACCCTCAATGGCTGAAATTTTTATTAATCCTGATACCGATGATTTGTTCAAAGAAGGTGAAATTATGTACCGTAGGAAATTGGGTGAAACGCTTCAGATTGTAGCTGAAGAAGGTCCAGGTGTGATCTATAAGGGAGGCAGAATTGGTAAAAAGCTTGTACAGGATATAAAAGAAATGGGTGGAATAATTACGGAAGCAGATTTGCAGAATTACCAGTATGTACTTGTATGTAATCTATTTTATATGCAACATATTCGTATATACATATATATTGCAGAGTTCGATGGGAGGAATCAGTGGAAGTCCATTTTGAGAATGGCTTCACCTTGCACACAACTCCTTTGCCAACCAGTGGCGTTGTGCTGGCTTTTATACTTAACGTGATGGGAGCCATGTATACTACAAATGAAACAGTTTTTTGGCATCGTTTGGTTGAGACTTTCAAGCATGCATATGGACATCGAACTTCTCTGGGCGATATTTACTTTGAGCCGCACGTTACTGTAAACTATAATAAATTGCTTGATGTAAGCTTTGCTGTGGAGTCTAGAAAGCTTATTTCGGATGATCTAACCTATGCTGATTTCGCCCACTATGGCGCGAACTTTACAAATGAAGAGGATCAAGGTACAGCAAATATTGCGGTCTTGGCACCGAATGGAGATGCAATTGCAGTAACGAGTACAGTCAATAGCCAGTAAGTAAGTCATATATTTAATAAACACATTAGTTTATTCGTTTTACTGAAAAAGAAAGACATAGACAGAAAGCTGGGAAATAATTATGTGTACCCATTCCAAAAAAAAAATTTAAAATCCTGTTTAACCATCTCTTTCAAATTAATCCATGTATTTGTTTTACTTGTCAAAGTAGCTCGAATTTGTTGTCTGGAAAAATAAACATTTTTCAAAAATAGTTAAGAATTTTTGTATATATGTACATACATACTATGTACATAAGTGCAAAAAGATAAGGAAAAGAAGTGGAAGTTAATATGTAAACATCTTTGATTTCACGATAAGTATTTTAATGTTCTGAGAGCGTATGCTTATTCCCCTTTCTCAAAATCAAAAAAAGAGATTTGATTCGATTCTTTTGTTTTGCAAGCTTTGGCTCAAAAGTTCGGTCGCGTCAAACGGGTATAATACTTAATGATGAAATGGATGACTTCTCCACTCCAGGAGTTATAAACGCTTATGGCATCCCCTCATCGCCGTCTAATTATATCAAGCCCGGGAAGCGTCCTTTAAGTTCGACATGTCCTAGCATTGTGCTGGATCAAAATGGAGATGTTAAGCTAATGGTTGGTGGTGCCGGTGGATCTCGAATTACGACTTCTGTTGCACAGGTATCGCCAACATAAGTATCCTTAATATGCATTTATCCATACATATGTGTAGACTAAAAATTTGCATCCACTATATACATATATTACAGATATTTAATTAATTTAATTTTACCACAGGTTATATTACGGTATTTAATGCTGAACAATACTATACAGGAGTCGCTTGATGCTGGTCGAGTACACCATCAGCTGGCACCAATGCGAGTGGACGTAGAGCCTGAAGTATCAGACACCATTAATAATTATCTGTTAAAAGTTGGACATGAAATTAACTACCTGTCTGGAGACAAAACATACTCAGCCCTAACTGCTATCGGCTTAAAGACTGAAGTACCTCAACCCGCTTGTGATCGTCGTCGAGTAGGCAGTTGGACAATTATTAATTCAAATCCTTAGTGTTTAGGTTCAATTTTCCTGTGAACTTACCCTTACGTCCATGGCTTAGTTTTCATATATGCATATTGATAAATAAAATGCATTAGTATGTACGGTGATATAATACTAAAATGAATAAAATATGCTAAAAAAAAAAACAAATGAAGCCGAGTGATCGAGCTCTTGTATTAGGATAGGCCACTTTGGGCCACATGAAGGGAGAGAGGGGTAGATATTAGTTCCGTTTGACAACATTTAATTCCCTCATTTGATCATCTATAATAGCATTCAAAGTAAGGGAAGTCACGAAGCCAGCACATCCAATTCGTATTGGATCTGTCTATTCATTGATTTTTAAGCGCCAACTCAAAATAATTAAAGAATACTTACATAAGTTTAAGAATTTATATATTTAGCTTTGTAAAATTTATTATTTTCTCTTTTTAGATTTTCCGCGGTTTCATTTTTTTTTTTGAGTTTAGATTTGTATATTTTACTGACTTCAATCCACTAATTACATCATGCTAAACTTCGAATTACTTTTTTGTCCAAAACGGGGTTCACAATAAACCACACCTATTTATTTTGTCATCCTTACTGTCAGAATATCGCTCTTCTATTTTTCGATTTTAAGTTTCACCAAACATTGAAGTATACAAAATAATACAAAAAGAATTATCGAAAGCGGACTACGTGGCAACGGGGTATGTATAATCTTGCATATGGTTAATTTTTCAAACTATCGATCTTACCAAATTCCAGCTAAACCTTTTCAAACGAAAAAAAAATATCAATAACGGACCATTCTGTAATAAGTGATGCGCGGCCATACATAAAAATAACCCACATACGCGAAAAATTAGAAACCTTTTCCTTGAGTTGAAGGTAGATCTACAGTCCAAACCTACGTGAAAGAAGTTTTAGCTAGCCCACGTACTTCGGAAATACTAAGTGAATTGTTGAGATGCTCACATAATCATTGTTAGTATATTCGAGCGCGTTTTTTTTTCTAAGCGCACTATACATATATACATATATATTTATCTACATCCATACATATGTAATTAATTAAACAAGTTTTGATTTTTTCACAATTCAACAGCTGCTATGAAATAACATAAAGTTGCACATTAAGTCTACATTTTATTCTAATATGTATGTTATAATGTATACTGATTCGATCGTGTGCAATGTAAATTGTATTGTTTGTTGTATTGCTTAGTGTGTATGTATTTGTGCGTCCCGATATCAGGTGTAAGTAAGTATGAGCTGTTGAACTTTTTCAGTAGAGTTTTGATCGCACAGTCGAACTCTACCTGTATTACGGTTCGGACAGTCGCGACGATATGTCTCTGTATACATTGACGAAATAAAATAAAATAAATATTTTCAAAACCTAAATTAAATTTCAAATTTATTCCTTAATCGCAGCAGTTACATATATTATTTACAAAATATTGATAGTTACAGCAACGCTTATCATGAGGTGAGTCAAAGAAACATTTGTACAAGTTACAGGTAAAACAAAGAGTGCGTGTGCTCTAAGTGACTTCGTTTAAATATATCTTAATGATCAATCATTGAGAATCGATCAAGAGTTTATTGATATATGCATATTCACATTCTGAAACAATAAAAGAGGAAATACAGACGAGCTCATAGAAAGTTAGAAAACAAAATCAAATCAAATTCGAAGTTCGTACCTGTTTTGTAAAACACTTGTGCCAACATTTTCTCTTATTATAATATTCACGCTTTAAGCTGCAAAAAATCAAAATAAGTACAACTTATTTGTATGTACACAACTGCATTTGTGTAATTGTCGCTTTTGAATGCGCGCAGAAATATATGCAGTTATACTTGTACATATACTGGTATGTATGGCATTAAGGTAAATGAGTAGCATTTATCTCACGACCAGATGTTTGTTCTTCGGAAAAAACTAGTTGTTTTTTCCAGTAAATGGTGAGCCTCTGGCAGTTGGATCTTTGAGCAGTAAATTAATATTATATTATATGCATATATATAATGTACATATATATGAATGAAGGAAAAACGAAAATGCACAATTTGTATTTCTTTATGAAGGGTGTTTTGGTATATTTCATTAAAAAGTATTTTTTTAGCGGTAATTATTTGAACCAATACTTCTTGCCTGTTTTTACCCATTTAACTGTAAATGTGCGTCACATACGTCACATATTTTCATCCAAATCAGAAGTTCTGAGCAGCCGACCTTCATAATGAAACTAGGTTTCTCATAACAAAATGTTCAAAATCGGCTTAAAGCAGACGGTCGTTCTATTATAGTGAAAAACATTAATCCATACAATTAACACGTGAAGTCGTCTCTTTTTCGGTCTAGATTAAATTCACTATTTTCCTTTGATTTGTGTTTCTACAATACAAAAAACTTTATTAAAGTCAAACTAATTTTGGCAATTTAAGCAACTCTTTTCCTGGCGTTAAACTTTGCCACTTTCCGCTTAATCACAAATTACAAGCTTATTTACATTTATATGGACAAATAAATTATTTTTTATAAATCTTGATATGGATTCCAAAAGAATTCTATTAAGTAATTGGAAGAATTGATTAATTAAAATATCGATTATAATATTCAGAATTACAAAATCAGTGAATTTACTCGATAAGGGTATACCTCTTTTCCTGCAAAAACTTGCTAAAATCGGCCTTCACCAGCAAAGCCAAAGAAGATGACAGGGACCCATTGATCGATACAAAAGGAACTAATTCGTTACTCCTTCTAACTGAGTAATAATCGAACATTGTTTGGATGGGCTAATTCTCTCGCGGTTGCAGAAGTATAGACGAGGAGTCGGTATAGCACTACTACTGCCACTGGCGCTAAGTGAGGCTCATCTTTTTCTCGGTAAATTCTATTTTGACTACTTAGTCTAGTAAAACTTGCTACGGGGAGTGCAATTTTGACATTCAATTTGGAGGGGAAGTTGGAAATTCTTGTTGGGAAAATAGCTGTGCTCGTTGAGAAATGTTAGTAAAAATTAGTAAGTAACGAAATTGAGAGATTAAGATGTCTTACTCTGCCAAAGAAAGAAATTTTAATGAGTTTTCACTAATAAATTATAGAAATCCAAAAACAACTTGCGCAGCACAAAATATAATATATTCTAATTCTATGCCTTCCAAACATCTAATTTCTCAACGTAAGCGGGCGATGATTCCACTCCACTGCCGCTACATTTTCATTTAACAAGTGGCTTTACTATTGTTGGAATCATTGGTATAGTTCAGTTAAATTAAACAACGATACATTTAACCACTTACTTTCTTGGCATATCATTCATATAAAAGAATAAAAATTATTTAAATGATTACAAATCAGCTCTTTTTCATACTTGCTAATTATTACTGGGTCAAATTTTCCCAGCACAAATTTGCAGCTTTCTCTCCAATTAAAATCAAAATTGCACCCTTTTGCTACCAAAATTCATGAATATTGCCCACATGCGTGGGAAAAAACTTCCAAGCTGATTTTCGTATTATGAAGAATGTAGAATTTCATCATTGGTGCATTACAATCATTTTTGAATACAATTGACAATTTGCCAATTTTATTCAATTAGATCATCATCAGGTATCACAACCAGCCAACAGGCCTAAGTGCACTCAATCAAGGGATCCCATGATTAAGCGATTTTTAACTAACTAACTGACTTATGTACATAACATAAATAAATTTATGTATGCATATAAAAATATGATGTAGTGATAATAAGTCTTGCGTCAATAATGACTTTAGATTTCTTAAGTTTTATTACATATACATATGAACATACTTATATTTATATATCGCAATAATAAATGACAACTGACATTCATACTTATATACATACGTACAAGAGTAGTAATATATAACCGAATAATTACACAATTAAATCCATATTTACAACAGTAAATGCATATTATAGTATTTACATACATATAACACCTCGTACGACAAAGTAAATTTATCACTATCAATGAGCTATAATATAATACTACAAATGGAAATCATCTTTAATTGACTTATCAAATAACGTGCATCTGATCACGTTCATGTGATTACGAATTATTTTTAATCAGGCACCCTAAATAACTTTTATTAATATTAAAGTTGTTATAACTTGATAAAAATGTGCAGTATACGTGTACATGTATATATATATATATATTTATGTGTACATGTATGTTTTTATATATTAAATACCACACGCAATTTCTTGTGTGGCTTACGCTGAGTTTATAAAAAACCCATATTTGATGCACGCATTCATGACTATATATGTATGTATGTATATACATGTATACTGTCATTCGGAAGACCAGGGTTGAAATCCTGGTAAGACCAACATGCAAAAGTAATAGAAAATTAATTTATATAAAAAATGAAGTTAAATTTTCTAATTTCGGACGCCCTCGGCAGGGGATGTCAACCCCTATGAGCGTCTGACATTAAATAAAAGCTCCTCATAAAAAAACCATCATAAAGTATAAACTGTAGGTCCCCCAATCAAGACGCATACCACAAATTAGAGGAAGAGCTCGGCCGAAAATCGCATCAGCGGTTACAAAGCCCCAATTATATATACACGTATATTTCTTTAAAAGTTTTCTCTTGTTAAGACTGGAGCCAGCTCGCTGCTGCGTTACTAACTTAACCTTTTTATGCATTTACCTATTTATCGTATAATCCATCTAATTTATTTTGGCTTCTCATAATTTTCGTTTTCAATGTACATAGTTTTTAAAGACCAAGCTGTTTTCCTTAAGCTAAGATCACTACATTTGCTACTTGGCACGCATGATCTTGCCACCCACCTCTCCCCCAACTGAAGAAGTGTGAACTCGAGGTCGTTCAGGAAAGGTCCCGGTTACACCTATCTCTTAAAGGCCGAAAAAAACACAAAAAACTCGCCACGGTAGATTAAAAAGCTGTAACGTGAATAATTAGAAGTACGTTTCGATTAGGATTCCCTTCACTATGTGTTCCGGTGGGTTTCATAACACGGAATATGATTCAAAATGTGTCTATCAGAGACGATCTTTATCGCTGCGGTGTACTTCTCACCACTTTTTGCTCGTTGCGATACTGCCTATTAACCCCCTTGCTATGTCATTGTCTGGCTGACAAGAAGGGATATCCTAGTTATTTATGTTCTATGGTGCTTGAGGCTGGACAGTGACAAAGTTAATGCTGCCAGACTCTTACTCTTCTTTGTCTCTGCTATTTCAACAAAACTCATTCGCAAAGTATTCCATTCTCTTGCCGTGAAGACCGATTAAACCGTGTCCACTAAGGATACCAGTTGCGAGTATATGGTGATTGATTGGTTTGTAACTAGAGCTAGGAGCAACCATTTTGCGAATTTCGTGATTGCCATAAGTTCTGCTTAAAAGACGCTGCAATAATGTGGTTGCCTACCATGTAACACTATTTTTGAAGAGGTATATAACAATCATCGCTTTTAATTTTGTTGAAAAAAAGAATTCTGGTACATATATTGTACGTACATATATATGTATGTATATGAAGGCTATCGTAAATATATATTGTACAATAATATATAAGTAGCAGACTATCAATCGAAATTTTTATAGAGCAACAAAGCATTCAGCATTCATAATGTTATGTCTTATCAAAGTACTACTCAGCTAATTGCCTTTTAATGTTTTCGTTGATGAAAAAATTTACAAAGATTTTTAAAATATCTCATAGACATTAATGAAGAAATACAACTTTACTACTTCTAGAGTTGTAATTATAAATTTAGCATTGCAAATATTCTTTTCATTATGTATGTATAGCTTTATATTACTGTACTCAAATATATATTCATAACGATTTTTTACAGAATAATTTTTAGCAAAAAACTGTTAATATGGGCTATGATATTCGCTCTAATGGTAGTTGGCATTACTCTTGGATTGGTTTTCGGACTCGGTCAGAAAAATGAAACCTACGTTGTTGCCGCAGTTGTTTCCAATGGAAGAGGTTGTGCAGATATAGGCAGGTGAGATTCGAATTGAATTCAGATTAACCAGTGAATGTACGATTGTTTATATGAGCAAAAAATATATTTTCAGCCAAATGTTAAATGATGGTGGATCTGCAGTAGATGCCGCTATCGCAACCCTGCTTTGTGAAGGCATAATTTTGCCACATAGCATGGGAATCGGCGGTGGTTTCTTCGCTACAATATACACTAAGTCTACTCGTAAAATTGAAACGTTAGTAGCGAGAGAAATGGCGCCTCTTCAAGCAAGTAAAGACATGTTTGTCGGTGAGGAAAACGTCACAGGTTGGTAGCAAAAGGGTCCAAAGCAGAGATGCTTAATTAACGAAGCGATGCCAATTCGTTTTGTTTATGTGAGAAATAAACTTAATGAAATGATTGTTGAAACTCATCTTCAACGTTAATTTTGAAATGGCAGCTTGCTATGATATAATAAAACAGGTCAATTTTACCTTTAATATTGTCTGTTAACGGCTTAACATTAAAGCGTAAAAACGATATAAAAAAGCTAATTGTCAGAATTTCTTTAATAAACGTGAAATTTATCGTTACGATGCATTTGGATCATAACAGCCCGAGATTAGATAAATACTGGTACAAATTTTATGGGGCTTCATGTGTTCATAATACGAGCACATATTTATGCATATATGGAACTGAATGCACATAAATGTACATATTTACGTGGGATACTATGAAATACATACGTACGAGTACATTTATAGGTTCTCAATGAATAGGGAAATTTAGGAGAAAGTTATAAAATTTAAAAGCCAAAATTTATTCGTTATCTTAATTATCGTTTAATAGTACACACATGTAGTTGACTTTGAATTACGACTGGCATTATTGCTGCTTATCTATATATGTATGCATACATAAATATTTATATCTCTGAGTGGATATGGTCGATAATGATCTTTATCGTTACGCGTGCCGATTAAATGGACTGGAGGTATTCATTCAGTGAATTTAACAGAAAATATATATATTGGAGTCGGTTCTAACCGAATCGGCTTATTACCACCACTTGGCGATGCCGTTACGCACGTATGTACCGTAGATACTCAGCGGTGACTTGACTTTTCCCATAAAATCAACTCAGCTAATTACGCTCTATTGTACAAGATTGCCAGTAGATATTTATGCAAGCAAATTTGAAATGAATTAAGTAAACTTTATTTTCAAAATAAATGATTGCTAAATCGTAAAATTATTTATTATAATATAGTTACTGCATATTTAACTGCCGCTAATATTGAAACATACAAATTATTGATCATACATATACATAATTAAAGTACGCACACCGATAGCTAGCAACATTTTGTCGCTGCAAGCTACAGCAATAACTTTTGACGGCATATTCCTCCTCCATTCGGGGGGTGCGACTTTGGCCTATAACTTTAATATTTTTCACAATGACGAAAGTACGAGAGAGATTTACATAAAGATAATCGTGTTGGCAGGAAGACTATTTTATACACGAAACAGTTAAACGAAACTATCAATTTTATAATCAAGAAGTATTGATATACATATATTCAAAATATTATTAAGTGATACATCTATAATGATATAAATATGTACACACAGGTGCCCGATCTGGAGCTGTGCCCGGAGAAATTCTTGGTTATTGGGAAATGCATCAAAAATATGGCCGATTACCATGGAGAGTTCTGTTTCAGCCGACCATTAAGCTTTGTAAAGAAGGGCATTGGGTTTCGAAATACCTTGCTGCCGCCATTAAATCCAAAGAGGAAAATATTCGTAATGAGCCTTCGATGGCAGAAATATTTCTCAAAGAAGACGGTTCTCTTTATGTTGAGGGAGAATATTTAAAGCGGCCTCAACTAGCTATCACTTTAGAAAAAATAGCTGAAAACGGTGCCGGAGAACTGTACGATGGTGGAGAAGTCGGTAAACAGTTTGTGGAAGATATTAAAGATTCGGGTGGAATTATTACTGAAGAAGATTTGAAAAATTTCAAGTATGTACAATGAAAAATAATGAAAAATGTTTATTAATTGAAGTCATAAATATATTTTTGGTATTGAACAGAGTTCGATGGGAGGACAATAACCACATCATTGCGAATTTAACCGGGGGATATACACTTTACACGACACCTCTGCCATCCAGTGGAGTTGTACTTGCATTTATGTTAAATGTTATGACTGGCCTATATACCGCAAATGAAGATATTTACTGGCAACGAGTAGTAGAAACATTTAAGCACGCTTACGGGCAACGGACTTACTTGGGTGATATGGAAAATGAACCTGAGCTCAAGCAGTCGATTGAAAAAACGTTTAACAATTTAAATAGCCAGGAATTCGCTAACCATATTCGCGCATTAATTTTCGACAATAAGACCTTTGATAATTACGAATACTACGGTGCAAACTTTTCCAATACAGAAGACCACGGAACAGCAAATATGGCGGTATTAGCTGCAAATGGTGATGCTGTAACCGTTACCAGTACCATAAACAATTAGTAAGTTGGAGCATAAATTAATTTCATTAGACTTGAAAGTAGATTAATCTTCGGTTTTGAACAAGTTTCTGACTTTATTGGCTTAGGTGTCACAATGAACCCTATGCTAGATTTTAGAAATCATATAAAATTTGGGCCAAGAAGTCAAAAGGAAACTTAGCTTCCATCAAATGTAACTCATCGAACCAACTTTACCAAACTACTCTTTACTTTACTTATTAGGCTCATTTTGGAAATGATTCAGTTGTTCAGTACACATCCTCACTATCAACTGTAAAAAAGCAATTCCTATTATTCGCGTTAAAAAATTCGCACTGGGCTGTGAATAAGAATCTTCCTCCTTGCAAAAATGGTTTATATACGTATATGTATAATTGGCGCTTTGTTACCGCTGAAGCGATTTTCGGTCTAGCTCCTCCTTCAATTTGTGGGTTGACAGTCTCTCCCGAGGGACAACCACAACAAGACAATTCAACTTAACTTAAAATTGAAATTCATTTATTTAACTTAATTTTAAATAACTTTTTGATTTTGGTCGTACCAATATTTGGACCCGGGCCTTCCGAATGGAAGTACGCAACTCTCACGACTCGTCTACCGCGGTCGCAAAAATAGTTTGCAGCTAGTTAATCTGTCCACACTCCATAGTCGTTGAGAAGTGCTTTCAATAGCCGATTCATATTTCGTGAGCTTAACTTTAGCATCCTTTTGAGATCCTTTAGACACTTTGGACTCCTTTTATTGCGTTCATACAAAATACTTTGAAATGTACGACCCATTTTTACGTTTGTGTACCTATATTAATACTATTCCTTAGACCGTCTTTTGTGAACCAAAAAGAGCTGACAGCTTTCAATAAATCAGCAATTCCCTTCTCTTTTTCCAATATAAAATACACTCGCAGATGAACAAATCTGTAATTGCTTATTATATGAGACTGTCTAACGTAACGTAGTCATATTTCTTAAATTTGGTTGATAGCCCTACCAGCCATTTACTTGGTTCCTTTCAAAATTATTTGTAAATTCTCCAATATCAACCTTGTACAATAAAGTGCAATCAGCTGAGCCGATTTAATGAGAAAAATCAAAAGTAAGTTGTATCAGCTGAGTCACTAATTTTTGGCTGATTCGGCTATATGACGGACAACGAATTATGAGACAAATGAGAAACGACAAGTACAAGAAAAAACGCATTCTGATTTACCGTGTGATGCAATGAAACGAGATGATGTGAGTGACACCTTCATTTCTTTGGTCCCCTAAGCCCAATGTTACATTTTGGAAAAACAAGGAAAATTCATATTTTCTTAACAAAATATGCGTGTTTCTAGTTGTAAATTAATATGTTCAGAAAGAAATAAGTTTATCATTAAAAAAATTCATTTCAAAATAAAGCAATGTTCAGACTCTTCGTCTAGCAAATTTTTTGTCGCCAAAATTTTTGAACAAAGGGATATTTTTTTCGGCATGGATTGAAAGCATTTCTAAACTGATATCTGACTTTGTAAAATTTTGTTAAAAATAATAGTTGTACTAAAAGTGAAGTTACTTTTATTTGAAACTACCCGGTCCCACATACATGCTATATAAAATTTAATAATAATTTTGGGGTTTATCTTTTTTGCAGCTTTGGCTCCAAGGTTCGCTCACGTCGCACAGGCATTATTCTTAACGATGAAATGGACGACTTTTCAACTCCTGGTATCGTAAATGGTTTTGGTATACCTGCTTCTCCAGCTAACTACATACATCCAGGAAAACGACCTCTCTCTTCCATGTGCCCAGGAATTGTACTTGATCAAGATGGGAATGTGCGAATGTTAGTTGGAGCGGCTGGTGGTAGCAAGATCACCACTTCAGTTGCCACGGTATTCATAAATTTGTATATATCACTTGTTTGACCACATTTGTAACATTACATAAGATAACAATACCTACTTTACTTTAGAACATTTTCTGAACGATTATGTGTAATGAAATAATCTTTATTTTTAGGGAATCATCAAATATCTCATTTTAAATCAAACTTTAACTGAAGCAATCGACGGAGGAAGACTACATCATCAATTAGCTCCAATGCAAATTGACATCGAGCCTCAAGTAGCTCCATCAATACGTCAGTACCTAATTAAGGTGGGTCACATATTAAACGATTTACCAGAAGGCACTGGATTTGCTGCACTAACTGCGATTGGAGTGCGTGACAATGTTCCGGAACCATTTTTCGATCGGCGACGAGTGGGGAGTATATCCACCATATCTCTTAAAAACAAAATGATGCATTAAATGATGTTTAGACCACATCAAGAATGCAATTATGAGTGCCATTTCTAATAAAAAGTATTTGAAACAGACGTATGTATATAATTTGTATGTTTAAGAAACCTCTGTAAGAAATATTGTATTCTCTATGCATACATTATGTATGTACATGTGTTTGTACATATATACGAAAATACGCTACGAATATATTTACTCGTATTTAATTGTGATATATAAGTGATAAACACCATCGTTTAGCATTGGATAAATAAATAGTAAAAATGTGATTACCAATCTCAATTATTATTAATAGTATGTTTATATTTGTGTTTGTATGTTTATACTACAATAACATAACTCGTTCTGTCTAAAATAACATTGAAAGATTTTTACAAATGAATGTCGAGTTCTTTAATCTGATTTCTTTCCAAGTAGTTTCGAGATCGAAAAAAGTTACTTAAAAAAATGTTTGTACATTTTTTGTGAAATTAAAAGTACTATTGATGAGTTACATTTAACCGGTTAAAAATTATTAAGACCTTGCTCTCTTACGAACCAATTTTCCGGCTGGTGATAACTAATGTTAACGAATTTTCTCTAGATAAATACGAGGTGTGTTCAAAAAGTATCGCGAATTTTGAATTTTCGTGGGTTACGTATAATCGAATTTCGATTTTTTTGGTGGCGTTGTGTTGTTACTCATATCTGTCACTTATGCCGAAAAGCTCGGCCATTTTGAATCACTTAATTGTTGGCAGCTGCTTTGCTTGCACGTGTTTTGGATGGTCTTCGATTTTTACCTATTCAAGAACCTGTATCAAATTTTGTGTGAAAAACGAAATTAAGTGCGCGGATGCATTCCGAATGTTGACTGTGGTATACGGAGAAGCTACCTTGGACCGAAGCAACGTTTATCGGTGGTACAAAATGTTCTCAGAAGGCCGTTGGCACAAGTGTATAATATCTTATGCGGATTACTTTGAAGGAGATAAAATAGATATTCATGAATAAATAAATAATTTTTGAAAATACATAAAATTCGCGATGTTTTTTGAACACACCTCGTATGTATGCGCATATATTCAGATACCGGCACGAATTTTGCAGGTGTCGAAAAAGAGTTATACGCTGCATATCCACGTTCTTTGAAAAATGAAAAGCTATCCACACATTTGACCAACATGCAAGTGACATGAGGTGAAGCGTAGAAACCACGCACTTGACTTCCAGTGGCGGAAAAAATACATTGTTAACTTACAAAAACGAGTTAAATGGTTTCGACCCTCATCTAATCTTAAATAAGAAGACGTCGTCGTCATGCACCACCCAATTGGCCCACCTACTAAATGGCGACTTGGGCGTGTAATTGTGTCATCGTGATGAAGATGAAGTGTTTCGGTGCAATCAATAGCGAAGCTCGCTTATTGCCAACAAAAAATTATATATTTTCTTTGCAATACAAACTTGTAAAATGTAAATTTTGAATCTATATTTTGCAATGTACTTAATCTGTTTATATTTTTAAATTTAATTTTGAGCTTGAAGCAGTCTTTCAAGTCGGCCGATATGTTCGTGGCGATATGGCAACTATGTATTCATTTGCAATTCGAATAGAATAACGGAATGTAGCAGAAAATAAGAAGGCAACAAAGTATTAAATAAATTGTTCCACTGCTAACATTGTGTTTCTTAGTTCGCTAAACGCGCTTTAAAATCGAATACACTCCGCAATTATATCAATTGCTTCCGTTTAACCCGCTTAATTTTCTGGTTTTCTACCATTTTTCGCAATAATTCGCAATTTCGCTTTCGTACGCAGCACAATTTCTTTATTTATGGACGTTATCTGATTTTCATTTTAGTTATTTATACATCTATATGTAAGGTTCTATTACTTAAAATGTGTTTTGAATATCTTGTGTTTTAATCAATGGAACGGTAGGTTTCTAACAAAATAACAGTAACAAGCCTACATATCTACATATGTTCATGTACATGTATCTTTCATATTACATTTTACCATGGCAGTTTTTTTCCATCGTATTGAAAGAAGCCACCATTGTTTGCCTCATTGAAGTTAAAGAGTGTTTCAATTATTTTTGTAGTGCTTGTATGCACGTCAAGAGGGGCATTGGAGCCCCCCATGTCGGTGCGCACCCAGCCAGGATGTAAACACACACAAAGTATCCCGTCTTTGAGTAGATCAATGCTCAGCGATTTGGTGGCAGCGTTTAAAGCAGCCTATAAAAAAGTGTAACATAAGTTTGACAAACAATTGTACAATGTACACATATTACCACTAGGGCAACCAAAATGAAGCACTAGAAATTCCATTTTTAATTTAGCGCGATAAAAAATATCGTATGTACATATTTTAAGTACTGGAAAAATATTACCGCATCCTTCACTTCGATTTTGGAAGGTAAAATGATAAGAGAATTAATAAAAAAAATTGTCTGCTGAATTAATATCCAAAGCAGAATCCGTGATTTAAAATGAAAATCGATCTTATAACGGCGATAAAAAAAATAGATTAAATCAAATAACCTACGCTTATTGGAAAACTAATCATTTGCAAGTTTATACTTTTTTTCCAACAACCCATATCGGGAACATATACAAATTCTTAATTTTGGTTGCTAATCATCACGGTACATGTGAATGTAAAATAGCTTTTATCTCACCTTTGAGGTACGATACGGGTACATGGCACCATCTGTATTAGCCTCAATCGAACCGAGAATGGAACTCATATTAATGATGGCGGCACGTTTAACACTCATTCCCATTTTTCCATTGGACTTAGATGCCTGTTTCAATAACGGAAGGCATGCCTGAAAGAATTTGAAAATTTTTTAATCGTTATCATTAATTAGAAGTATGCATATATACGCACACATATATAGTATATATGTACATACTATATAAGATTTAACAGTTACGTAATTTACAAGGCGAATTTACAAAGGTAAGGAGAGGAGAACAAATACAACAATTATGGCAATTTTTCGCACAAGCCATGATCACAAAAACATAACGTAGGATATTATTCTTGTTCATGGATGAAATATTTGAGAAGTGTTTGAGGCATGTTATACCAAGGATAACATTCAACGTAATATTTTCCTATATTTAAAGCGTAGTCACGAAATTTCTATACGTCAATATCGTGCGTATTAGAAACAACTAAGAGCATCTTCTTTATCAAATTTATATCAACTTTAGTAAATGCTGCTAACAGCTTGGGATTTTGAAAGAATTATTAGATTTCCCAAAGCCAGGTAATAATTGTTTCGAACTTGCTCCACATAAATAACATTTTTGTGTAGATATCGTTTCTGCTAATGTGTTGCATACTTTTCCATCAACCATAGATAAAATTAAACTGTGTTTAACTTCCAAATATGTATTTCCATGAGGTAGAACCGAAAATACATGGTAAGTCAACCGTTGACCAGATATTCACCATGCGCCAAATCTTGAAAAAAACCAGCGAAAAGAGGATCGGCACACACCACCTTTTCGTCGATTTTAAAGCAGCTGCCTCTACTTTACTATGCCTGAATTTGATATCCCCTCAAAACTTACGGCTATGTAAACTGACCCTAAAGAGCACTAAAAGCTCCGTCAGGATCGGGAAGGACCTCTCCGAACCGTTCGATGCCAAACGAGGTTTGACTTTTTTAACTACTACTGGAGAAAATAATACGAGCTGCAAAGAAGGTAAAATCTTCTATAAGAGTGTACAGATGAGGGCAAGACGGAATATATATATCAAACAAAGAGTCATCGCTCTCTTGACTCGGCTCTCACGTCAATGTTGACAGTCATAACTTCTAGGTCGTAGATAATTTCGTCTACCTTGGGGCCACCATCAACACCAATAATAACGTCAGCCATGAAATCCAACGCAGACTCACTCTTCCCAACAGGTGCTACTTTAGGCTAAGTAGGCAATTGGGGAGTAAAGTCCTCTCTCGGTGACGAAAACCAAACTCTACAAGTCGCATGCCGGTCCTACTATATGGCGCTGAAGTGTGGACGATGTCGGCTCTAGGAGTCTTCGAGAGAAAAATTGGAAACCGCCAATACCGTAGATGATGGAACGATGAACTGTACAAGCTATATGATGATATTAAATTGTTCAGCGAATGAAGAGACAGCGGCTACGCTGTCTCTGTCATGTCGTCCGAATGGATGGGAGCTTTGAAAGTATTCGAAACAGTACCCGCTGGTGGAAAGATCAGGTGAAGAGTGACCTGGCTTCACTTGGTATATCCAACCGGCGCCAGGCAGCGAAAAGAAGAGTGGAATTACGGGCTAAGATTGATTCGGCTATAATCGCGTAAGCGGTGCCAACGCGAATAAAGAAGAAGAAGAACCGTATCAACGAGATTTACTATTCCTATACGAACTCTTTCGTTTATTTTGCAATTGCTTTGTTTGTTCTTGATCTGCATTAAGAAATTCGGGTATATTTGCGCAATATTCTCGCAAGTTTTTTTTTTTTGCAAAAAGAAACTACAATATCCACAGATTATAGAAATGAAACAAGGTTTACTTTATCCCGCTTAACTCACACCTATATGTCTTTATAAAAGGTCAAAATCCTAATATTTTAATCGCGCAATAAAAATGCTTAAAGACACGCAACAAACAACGGGAATTACCTTGAATTTACTTAATTACCTTAACAAGAAGGTTTGTTTATCACTTTCGCTAGATGTTCCCAGTTAAAATAATAAATAACTTTGAAAATTTGAAAAAAAAATTACGTATAACACTGTGTGCACACAAAAATAAATAAACTTGAATTTTTTGGAGAATATTGCAATAAAACTGTACATTTTTTGTCAAATATTTGTTTAGGTAGTGATGGAGATAAAATATCTACTTTCGTTTGGTACCAAAAATTTCCTTAAATTAATCTCCAAAATCGCCACATTTTACCCCATTGTGCAGCGGTTATAAAGCGCCAATTATATATAATATAGTTGTTAGTTCATGGATTCTCCAGAGTAGGACAAGAGATGAGTAAGTGAGGTATACTTATGGTATCATCAGAGAAAGGATACTGGCTTTTGAGACTACCGCTTAATAGGTGTGTATTGATTGAGATCGATTAACCGATGCAAAATCTGATATATGGAGTAATGGGCGAAATGGCAGATGCAAAAATACGGCAGACGATTGAACGGTGAGCTGACGTTGACATTGTTAAGCGGATAAAGAGATAGCGGCTGTGCTGACAAGGTCATTGTAGGAATCTACTGTAACATTTGTAACTTGCTATTTTCAACTTTTCAAATTAGACATTTAGAATATATTGCACAACTCACTGAGGATATTCGATACATTTGTGGTCAAGATAATAAACTTGCTGATACTATTTTTCGCATCCCAGAAATCAATTAAATTTCAACAAAAGATATAAGTTTTCAATATCTTTATAAAGAACAACAAAATAACGGAATACTTAAAAAATATTATTTCAGATCCAAATGCTAATAGTAATTTAAAAGAAATTAGCACACCTATTCTAAATCTTATTATTTGGAGTGATCTTGCACCAACATTCCTATTCACCATATTTTCCCAATTCAATGAGAAAAATTAATTTTGAAAAAAAAAAAATCATTATTTGTCACATCCAAGTGCTCAAACAACTCAACGTCTCATTCAATCTAAATGTTTTGGCCTTATATGTGTAAAGAAATTAATAGTTGGACATCATCCAATTCAAAAGATTAATATTCCTTCTGGACAATTTCAATATATCCATATGGATCTTGTGGGACCGCTTCCAGCTTCAAAAGAGAACCGATACATATTAACAATCATTGACAGACATACTCGATGGCCGGAATCGTATCCACTTAAAGACATTTTAGCGGTGTTGCAACTACATTTATTAAAAGTTATGTTCCTAGTTTCGCTATTCCACTTAATATAATGGTAGATCGAGGAACACAATTTACTTCAAAATTATTTAATAAATTAACAAAACTATTATCAAATGTCAAATGGAATGACTGAGTTCATTGGTCTGAAATTTTACCGCTGATCATTTTAGGTTTACGAACAGCGATTAAGGAAGATCTGGTGAAAGCAGAGGAAGAGGTTCTGGTAACTCTCTCTCTTGCGATTAACAGCGAAAATAGTGCGCTAGTTTTGATTCGGCTATAATCACGAAAGTCGTTCCTATGGTAGTGGATCAAAAGAAATTACTTCAAGAAAGCAGGCTTTGTATTGGCCTTTTGCAATTGTTTTAGGTCGGTAACAATCAACACTCTCCACGGTGAGAATTTTACCCGCCAAAGTAACTCGATTTTTAGGTACCTCATTATCCTTCGCAAATAGAGCACGTTAGCGGGATATGGCTAATAAAAAGTCTTATTTTAAGACAATGTTGGGACTGGTGATATGTTTAGAATAATGTTGATGAGGAAGACTACTTATTCCACGCTGTCCTTAAAAAAAAATATTGGCCAGATAACTTAAATAAAAAGTTTCTTATTGGCTGTCCCACGGATAATGAGAGCGCAAAGTTTCATGAGCAACATTAAAGCTAATTTGCTCAAGCAGCTCTGGACAGTCTATAATAATGACTGGATAGATCGCCGAAGAGCAAGATACCTCAGGTTTATTAGCATACATCGAGAAGTATAAGAAGGTAGAGGATCAGAGAAATGGAGCGGAGCGGAGCAAGAGCAAAACGAATAAACCTACGTTGGACGGTTTCAAGTCTAGAGGAACGAACCAAAAAATTATATAAAATTTTACGCGTGTAAGAATCTTTAAAATCACCACAATAACGCCGTAAAAAAACAAGGTTAGAATAAGCTTTTGGAAGTTCCTAATGAATGCGCTCAGATCGCAGCTTCTCGGTGCTGTGTGTTTGTTGACGGGTAATCCTTGCTGCCCAGAGGCTGGTGAATATTTTAGTTGCTACAAGATAATGGTCCGAATCGATGTTGTGACCTCGGGTCGCGCACACGTTATTAACACTGGAGACATATCGTCCGTCTATCACAACAATATCGATCTGGTTGTGAGTTTTTCGATCCGAGGACAGTCAAGTAGCTGCATTTTTCACCATTTGTACCGAATACATGTACATATGTTATTTGCCCACCTTGGCGATAGAGTTGCGAGGCACATTTTTACATTGTGTTGCGGGCAGTAAACTCCCTTTGCGTTTGTTTTGGCCTCTTTTGCATCGCCGTGGGTTGGGGAATTACCCTCTTAATCGTTCTTTGTGCTAAATTTTAAAAAGTTTTTGGGCAGAGGGAAGTCAGAAGTGAGTAAACCTGTTGTGTTTGGAACTATTTCATCATTGATTATTTAGTAAATTTGTAAGCGTTATTGACAGGGACCGGTCATCGTTTTACGGTATTTAAATTTGTATGACATTACGTCCAGTGCGCAGACTTAAGTGTAAGTAGTTATGGTATATTATTTGTATTACTTACATTTGAAATTTATATTAATATAATTTTCATATATGAAAAAAATCATTCTCATACACATCATAACGTCATCATCGTCAAAGTTGCCGGTGCAGAAGCGAATTGATTGCACGCGGCACGACCTGACAATAGTACCACGGCCGGACATACGTGTATTTCACTTTAGCGATTGGTTGCAAGGATTTTCGGAGCTAGTAGCTAGCGCTTGTGTCAAGTGGGAACGGAACCCGGTTTTTCCATAATCGGGATCTCAACAGAGGCGTTCGCAGTGGAAGTGCATTGAGATTTTTTCTTGATATATGTACACACATATTTCACATAAAACTTCGTTCCATACATAATTATTTAATTAAAAATTTTAAACTCACTTTTTTGCCTCGCTTCGCTGTTACGCGGCTACCGACCAAAAGAATACTAAAACACATAAATTTTCAAAGTCAAACCAAAGTCTTGCATTCCATTTAAAATTTAAATAATGCGTAAAATTCTTCAGACATGTTGCTACTGGGTAGTTGTACCCAACGAAGCGCACCGTGTCGCTGAGCTCGTTTGAAACTCTCTTTTATTTTGGTTTTCATTTTGAACTGATTGTAGCTGGCTTAAATTTGAAACGAATAAATGCCGAAAGTTTGGAAATTGAAATTAAAAAATAGAATGTATTGAAGAAGCCTTTGACAGAGAATGTATAACAACGAAAAGGACCGATTGCGGACAGCATGTGAACTGCCAGAATCGACGAAAGAAATAAGAGACTATTTCACCACTGCCGCCAGAAATTGACTCTGTTTGTCAACATTTCTAAGCAAGATAATAATAAATTAATAAAGTTTTTGTATCCCAGATATCATTATTCTGTAAATAATTTGTCAGTCTCTCAGACTAACGTTCAAATAGTATCTTCCTAATAGTGTATAGAGGTGAAATAGCCTCTTAGCAATCCCGTTGGTGAAATAAATGGCAATCGGCACGCCCTGGTCCTTCTCTTTAATATATGTACGTTCTCTGGTTGAGATTGCCTCTGATGAAAAGGATGATATATGTATAGGTTTGTAAATAGATTACACTTTCGAAAGGATAGAGATGATGTTTAATCGAATCTAAAAAGATATATAAGAAATAGATAAATAAAAGCTGTGTCATCCTTTACACACACATTCTTCTTCTTCTTTATCGGCGTTGACACCGTTTATGCGATTATAGCCGAATTAATTAAAGCGCGCTATTCACCACTTTTTTGCGCTGTTTGGCGCCATTGGCAATACTAAGTTCGGCCAGGTCACTCTCCACCTGATCCTTCCAACGGAGTGAAGGTCTTCCTCTTCTTCTGCTTCCACCAGCGGGTACTGCAACGAATACTTTCAAAGTTGGAGTGCTTTCATCCTTTCGGACGACATGACCTAGCCAGCGTATCCGCTGTCTCTTCATTCGGTGAACTATCTTCTGCGATATTCGTCGTTGGGAATGCGCAAATTACCATAAATCGTTCGCAAAACTATTCTCTCGAAGACTAACAAAGCCGACTCATCAGCTGTTGACATCGTCCATAACTCTGCGCCATATAGCTGGACGGTTATGATGAGCGACTTGTAGAGCTTGGTTTTCTTTCGCCTTTACTTAGTCCAAAGGAGCACCTGTTGGCAAGAGTGATTCTGCGTTGGATTTTAAGGTTGAAATTATTGTTGGTGTGGATGCTGGTTCCTAGATAGACGAAATTATCTACGTCTTCAAAGTTATGGCTGTCAACAGTGACATTGCATCTTGTCCTCGTTCACTACCAGACCCATTCGCTTCGCTTCTTTATCAAGCCAGGAGAAAACAGAACTAACGGGACGGTTGTTGAGGCCGATAATGTCAGTATCACCGGCGTACGCCAGTAGTTGAACACTCTTATAGAAGATTGTACCTTCTCTATTCAGCTCTGCAGCTCCTATTATTCTTTCCAGCATCAGATTGAAGAAATAACACGACAAAGAGTCACCCTGTCTGAAACCTCGTTTGGTACCGAACGGCTCGGAGAGGTCCTTCCCAATCCTGACTGCGCTTCTGGTGTTATCTAGCGTTAGTTTACACAGCCGTATAAGTGCCGTCCTGCTGTCGAAGGAAGGCTGCTTTAAAATCGACGAAGAGGTGGTGTGTGTCGACCCTCTTTTCTCCGGGTCTTTTCCAAGATTTGGCGCATGGTCAATGGTTGACTTACCAGATAATAGTTATAAAGAAACGAAAGGCAAATTGTTTTTTTTTTTTAATTACCTTTGACAGCATTACAGGTACAATTGTATTAGTTTGCAATGATAGCATCAAGTCCTTTAACTTAACGGTAGTAATGCGAGTTGATTTGGGAGCATAGCCAGCATTATTCAATAATACATTCAATCCCTCATTTCGTACTACATCGCCTATTTGCTTCACTAAGTCGTCGTATTTTTTGAAATCCATCAAATCTAAAAAATGCACTCAACTTGAAAAGCATTAAAATTAAATTAAGATTCAATTAATACCAATCTCCATAATATGAATTGAAGGATGACATCTTGCTAAGTCCTGCAGCTCCTAGAAACAAACGGAGGTCAAATATATAAGTGCATATTTATATAAAAATATACATACGTAAATATATACGCGCTTGGAAAAGGGAATGTTAGTTAATACAAAGTGATTACTGTCTAAATATTGGTCAAGTAAAAAGTACGTTCGGTTTTTTTATTGATTTTTCAGTGTACATTTGTCCGCTTTAGGTCAAATATGCGCCATTTTGTTCGTAAACTTGTTGCAAACTTCAATATATCCCTCTCGTAGAAGGCTGCGCGTTCGCCGTGGACAGAAAAAGATGGTAATCACTTGGTGCCAGCCCCGGACTATAAGGGGCTAATGGACCTCCCATCCGAGCCCCTGGAGCTTCTGGCGCGTCACCAAAGACGTGTGTGGCCTGGCGTTGTCCTGATGGAACACAACTCGTCCTCTGTTGATCAAAGATGGCCTCTTCTGGGTGAGCGTTGCCTTCAAGTGGTACATTTGTTGGCAGCAGAGGGCCTAATTGAGCGTTTGGCCATAGCGAAGCAGCTCGTAGTGGATGATTAAATACCTGGAATTCTTTGGTTCGGAAGCGTATTTATAGGGAAACCGCACTGAAGGGTTTGTAAAAAGTGTGTTTTGAGTAAATGAATTATTGATAATTTATTTGATTTTACAGAAATAAAACAGCAGAAATGTTTCTTTCAGCACTTACTCGTTTATGCATCGGGAATTTTTTTTTGTGTTACTGGTTAGGCGGAATAAAAGTGAGGACTGCCAGTCGGATGGCAAATAGTGCCCGTAGCTGCAGCGGCTTGCTCAATCATTAATATCTGGTCAGAGATTATGTTGCTAGGGTGGGTTATTTGTATTAAAAACCATAAATTAATTTTTTTTCAGGCTATGGCCATATATGTACATATATTAGATACATATATTTTGTACATTTAATTTAAAATCATCAAAGTCTTTTTCCCAATAAAAAATATATCGAATGAACTTCATTAAATTATAATGTTATTTACATTTATTATGCAAAAAATATTAAAAAAAAGAAAACAGAAAACCAAATTATAAGGAAATACCAGATTTCATGGATTTTTTAGGTATTCAAAATGCAAATTTTTATGAACTTGGCTTAAAATATTCACAATAATCAAACTAACCAGAAGTTAAGTAATCTGAACTTGGTGAAAACGATGATGCCACATCAGCTTATCTGACGGTTAGTTATCCTCCGATTACAGGTGAAAACGGGCCTAAATGTGATATTGAAGAACAATAAATTGCCCTGTATGTCTTTTTTCAATGAATTGGGAGGGGCACATTTAGGTCAAGCATGCACTCATCTTACAAAAGAAGGAGATGAAACATTGTTTTTGTCAGTTCTTTGCCACCATATTTGAATAGCTCAGCTGGTAAATCATAGGCTCCGGTCGCTTTGCTGATGGTAAGTTTATTTCGAAAAAAAAACTTTCACTTCTCTGAAAAAATTGTCGGATTGGTAATACGAAACTTTTCCTTTCGTGAGAGCGATCAAAAATACGATTGTTTTATAACATGGAATTTTTAGAGGCGAAATTCGCTATTCACATAAAAGCTTCGTCTCGCTTTCTCTCAGAGTTTTGTTTTAATAGACATGTTTTGACATTGGCATTCGATTTTCACTAAAATATCGTTCATCATTATTGTTAAATAAAGGCTTTATGATTATTTTGCAAGAACCCTTATATACTCGGAAGCCATATGACTGAAAGGTGGTGTCCCTTATAAATCACAAAATCTGCCTATATATTGTACAGATCGTTGGGGAAAACTAAGCCATACGTTACTGTAGGTGTGAGTTTTTTACTCACTCTTTCAATTCCATATGAACACACTATGTCTATTTCACACGTCCATTTTAAATAAGGCATGCATAAAAAAAATAATTAATAACAATTACTGAAAGAAAATCTTATGTAGGCAATTTAGTAATTTATTATATAAGAACCGAAAAAAAATTTTAAATTGCTTCATATGAGCACTAAAGGAAAGGAATACATAAGGAACAATGTAAGAACGGCAAAAACGATTATATAAAGACCATTAAGGTTATTGAATGAATATTAGGGAGGTTTTAATTATTACGTTTTTGTTCATCAATAATAGGTGTTTGAGGCAATTTCGTTTTCCAAGCACTCTATGAGGCGCCAGCCTACAGTAAGGGGTCATCTTTGGCAAAGGATAAACAGCGTCCTGCTGAACTCTCACTTCGCTGTATTATAACGAAAAACTAAATGAAGTCGATTTGAAAAAGAAATGTAATACATACCTGGTAAACAATCCCAATAATATTTCTTTAAAAATATAAACTTAAGGATGAGAGCGCTACTTTGTGGCCTTTAATTTTTCGGTCATCTTATGATACAAAAAACAAAATATCATTCTACCTCCCTTTTTTTCTATAACGCGTATTAGAGTAAAAAAAAAAAAAATATTTGTTATGTTAAGAAATTGCCAGATATTTTTTATTATAAATAAAATGTAAAGAGTTGAAATTCTTTCCTTTTTTTAAACTTAAATTTTTAGATTTTCTCGAGTGTATGCGAAGCATCCGCTGCTCGGGTACCTGGTCATTTGGACACCCAAGCGAATTGCGGGGCTGATGAGCGGGCCGGATAGGGAACAATGATAACAAATGTAAACTCTGCACATGGCGTGGGCATACCTATTTCCTCGGAAACTGTGTTGTGGGGCTCATGGTACAAGAATGGGTCACTTCTCAAAAGACTTTTATAGCAGCTGCAGGGATATGGATGAGGAGAAATCGGTGTAGCATTATCTGAGCCACTGCTCACCTCCCAAAGCGCAGCGTTATTGCTTCCTCGGAAACTGCTTCTTCGATTGATTTGCAGATCTTGCATATGTAGGCATCACTAATCTCATTACGGGTCAGTAGGCCTATGAGCGCTTGATCAGGGTTCCGTGATCGAACAACCTATTTAACTGACTAACTGACTAGATTTACAAACCTCGACCTAAAGGACTTATAGGGTAATTATGAAATTTTTACGATTAACATTATGAATATGAAGTTCTAAAGCCTTGCATACATTTTTCTTAGCTAATAATAATCACAATAAAAACGTTCTGAATAGTTTTATGACTAGCAAATATATTTTAATTTTCAAAATTCAGTTCATTCCTATAAATTAATTATATATTTTAATATTATAAAAATGTATATAGCTAGTAACTCTAACTTTTAGTGTCTTGTAATACGAATGGCATGTTTTCTTTGTCTGCTAAAGAGCTTTTGAGAAATGGATGACCCATATCTTGTGAAAAAACCGTGATTAAAAATTCAAAGCGGTGAAAGTGTGCAGTAGGATATTGTGGACATAAATTTGAAAAAAATTGTGAGTGATTTATATCAATATTTTTTGAAAAATTAAAACAAACATGCGATATTGTAGAATACTCCTTAGCCGATCCTGAAGTGGCCAAATATGTGACTGCTGGGCCGTGCGCAAGGGGGTTTTGGGGGTTCAAGCCCCACCCATGGTCGAATCTAAATTGAAAATATGATTCTCTTTTACATCAAAGGCGATTACTTAAAGAAAGGTCAATTTTCGTTTCTTATGAGTTAAATACAATATTTAGTGATTTGAATAAAACATAGGTCTGTTTTCAAAGTTTCTTCAAGCTACCAGTTTGCAGTGTGTAGTATCTATTGATTTTTTCTAGTGCTAATGAATATTGCTGATATATGCTCAGTGGCATTAAGTCATATGTCATACGGGAATGCGAAGCAGCAAATTTCATAGTGATATCGGCATAGAGAAAAATTTTTGCATGAGATGTCCTTGTGTGATTAGTGCCTTTGGTATCGTTAAATTCAATCGTACATTGTTAGTTTTGTTCGTTTACTTGAACACATCTCAGCGCAAAATAGATTACACTTCCATTCAACATTTTTTTCCTGACATTCTTGATATTGCATTTGTTGTTAAGTTTCTGTATCATATTGTTACGATTTTACTAAATCAACCTCGATTATTTTCTAGATCCTTCGGGTACGATCTCTGGATTGTTAAATAAAAATTCGCCAACTTAATTTGCAGTTTCTTTCTTTATAAAGAATTAATCTAATGTCCTTTATTTTCTCAGTAATTCACAATTCAATTATACTGCACTTTACTATTTATAATCACTAACATCAACTTTCACAATTTACTCTACTTAAATGTAATTCCCAACGCGTTCACTTTACGTCTTCACTGATGTTAACGCCAACCAATTTGCTTTGTCACTGCTTGACTTGCAGCTGAGTGTCGCCTTTATATAGCAGTCGGCTGCTCGCAGACGAAAGCGTAGAAGCATCGAATTGTTCGCTATGGAAGGTTCTTGTTTTATCGTTTCTAGAACGTACTAGTTATCGGCTTCTCTCTTTCATCTGACATTTACCTCGCATTTTCGCAACAATATTATATAATTTCGAAGTAACTGAAGTCCAGATAAAGATGGGTATTCGTCGTTTCTTATGTAAGAGTAAATATATAAAAAGCGATAAATTATTTCTGCAACATCACTTTGACGTTATTAAAAAGCAACATTTGTTCATGAAAAATTGAATGTGTTGTTGAACGTTGTAAGATGTCCTCATAACCTAAACTAATTTAATCCAAATTAATTATAATTAACTATTTATTTGTTAGAAAAGCGAGTAACATTACAATTCGTGGATTTGCGGATAGACAAGAGCGAATTGTTATAGTGAGTGCAAGCACATCGTTCTCTATAATTCGATCTGACTTGATTACCAAAGTAGTAAGGTCATTGCCGGTAGCAAAACTGAGGGCAATAACTGGAAAGGATACCAGGGTTATAGGAGAGGTAACGTGCGGAGTGTTGTTATTGTTGTTGTAACCGCAAATTTATTCCCCAAAGTACTTTTTGGGGAATGTTGCGGGAGTGACAGTCCTTGGCCGGATAAAAATCCGGGTCGTTCCGGTATAAAGACCCGGCTGTCGCGGGAACTATTGGATTTTAGTCGCCTCTTACAACAGGCATGCCTTACCGCGGAAAAACACATAGGTAAATAGTAAAGCGGAATAAACTGCGTGTTCATAAATAGTTGTATAGTTAATACGCTGTGTGAAAATTGCAGAGTTTTAGAATTTTAAAATAAGTCCCTGGTTATAACTACGACTTTTGCCGAGCAGCCCAGAATCGAACTTGAATGATTTGAAAATCATCATCGATATGTCTTTCGCAAAATCGTCACAATGTTTATGCCCGTTTTCCCAATGTCCGTTTAGCTTAACCTTTACCCCGAAGATAGCTGATGTGGCATTTTCGTTTTCACCAAGTTCTGGTTAGTTTGATCATTATGAATATTTTAAGGTAAATTCACAAAAAATTTCGTTGTGACTACATCAAAACTGCATGACAGCTGGTATTTGTTTACGTTTTTCCACACGATATGGTTGGAGTAATTCTTAAGATTTTCCATTTTCTCTTTTATTTTCTTTAATTTGAATTTGTGGCTATGGAAAAAAAATATAACTTAATGAAATTTATTTCATACAGTTTTATTTGGGAAAAGAACTTTGATGGTTTTAAATTACATGTATGTCCTTGCACCTCAGCTATGTTTTCTTCGGCATCAACGGATGATTCTACTAGTTTATTCGATTGAACTACCTCATCCAAATAAGAGTCATTCTAAATAGCAAAATTGTGCAACACTCTACAGGCAACAATAATATTTATAGTTGTGCTCAGCTAAACTTTCAATACATAGCTCCTCGATATGCAATTTCGAGTACGGATTTGATATTCATTGTAAAGACGTTCGGCGCGATCTTTTCTTCTCCAGGTGATTGGATTCTGACATGAGTGCAATCTAAACACTCCAACACCTTTAAAAACTTCGCTATTCGGTGAATGTGCACATTGTGCTTTCAATTTTCCTGCGGAGTGAATGGACAAATGCCGCGATTGTAATGAATACTGTTGCGAAAATGCGAGGCGAATGTCAGATGAAAGAGAGAAGCCGATAGCTAGTACATTCTAGAAACGATAAATCAAGAACCTTCCATAGCGAACAATTCGATGCTTCTACGCTTTCGTCTGCGAGCAGCCGACTGCTATATAAGGGCGACACTCAGCTGCAAGTCAAGTTAGTTACAAAGCG